GTCTGTGGACACTGCATGCACAAGCTACACAGAGACGCAGGGAAACATTCATACACACAAAACAATACAATAATTTTTAAAATTCCTTTTTTAAAAAAACAGTGACCATTTTCAATTTTGGGGGATATTTTTTCAATATAGTCATCGCCCACTATAACTGGAAAAAAAAAGTTTAGTAAAACACCAAAAGAACACGTTTATTTGCTGATTTATAGAAAATACTGCAAGGTCAAATGACTTACAGTGTTTCCTGTGATGGCTTGCTGAATGGAATTATTAAAGACAAAGTAAAAAAAAATGCTTGAAGTTTCTTAGCTGATTGGATTCTGCAGCTGTGGTAACTGACGGCATTACTGTCCTCAGTATTCCTATTTCCGTCCGTCTATACTCTTTGATTCTCCCACCTTCCAGGAACTCAGGGGCTGGTCAGGTGACCCTACTTTGATCAAGGAGATAGCAGCAAATCTGACAAGGTAGGTCTGCATGTGTCCCCTTTCTCTAGGAACCTTCGATCTCCTTGAGAACAAGTCCCGGAAGCCTGCTCGGGAATAAGCCACTGCGAGGCAGAGCTGAGCCATCCCAGCAGAGACCCCCTTGCTTGTCATCTCCAGCCAGACCGTAAGCCAGCTGACTGCAGATCCCTTTCCTACCCAGCAGAGCCCTGCTTTATCAACAAAACTGCCCGACCGTGATGTCCTCAGACCCACCCCAAGACAATGGAACCAGCTAACCATGGGCTGAAAATTCTTGAAACCGGGAGCCAAAATAAGCATTTCTTCTGTTTAACCTGATGATCTCATGTATTTTATCAAGAAATGGAAAGCTAACCAGAACATCTATGATGATAGATTCTCAATGGCTGCAGTAAAAACAAACTCAGCTTTGTCTTATCTAACACATTATCCTTGTTTTTCGATCATCTTAGCAGCCAGCATTTCTTAGGAGTTGGGAAACAAGGCCAGGTGGTGGTGCATGCCTTGGATTCCAGCACTCGGGAGGCAGAGGCAGGCGGATCTCTGTGAGTTTGAGGCCAGCCTGGTCTACAAGAGCTAGTTCCAGGACAGGCACCAAAACAAGCTACAGAGAAAACCTGTCTCAAATATATACATAAAACAACAGCCAAGTGTTTTATCTTTCACCCCAGCATAACCCTTTGAGACTTGACTTTGAAGTGGCCTTATAACCTGTGTGCTTGACAGAAACTAAGGGAATCTATGAGATGGTGTGCCCTTGCTCTATTCTTTCCTTGCCTCATCCAGGCCATGTGCATTGCCGGGTGGTAGGGAGCAGTTGGAGACACAGAGTCTCATGCTATCTCCAGGTCTTTACTCTTGGGTGTGTAAAGGGTCAGACCATCCCTGCCTGGGACACAACTGATAGCAGTTGCTTGGCCCAGAAGACAGTCACACACGAAGCATAGACATGTTAGTCTGTAGCCCGCTGTCCTCCCAACCTCATTCCCAAGCCACAGAGACTGGGCAAAGATAGGGAGGAATGCAGGTATATTAAGAAATAAAAGTAAGCCGGGCACGGTGGTGCACTCCTTCAATCCCAGCACTTGGGAGCAGAGGTAGGCAGATCTCTATGAGTTCAGGGCCAGCAGAGTGAGTTGCAGAACAGCCAGGGCTGTTACACAGAGAAACCCTGTCTTGAAAAACCAAATAAATTAATTGATAATATTAATAAATAAATAAAGTAGTTACATTTTGAGGGGAGCTCTTAGTCCTATGCCTCCCTGTAAGCCTCGTAGAGGGAGCTATTCAGCTGGGGTGATTGACATGTGACCCCCTCGCCTGTCTGTTCTGCTCCTCCACTCTAATGAGTTGTCAAGTAACAATTAGTCACAAACACATCTGTATTCTCCAGTGATTCTGGCTGCTTGACACAATCACTGGTTTGGCTTTTTGAAGATTTTGCGTGTGTGTGTGTGTGTGTGTGTGTGTGGTGTGTGTGTGTTTATGAGAGTGTAGAGACCACAGAGGTGTGTGTGTATGTGTTTATGCGAGTGTAGAGACCACAGAGGTCAGAAGAGGACACCAGATTCCCCTGGAGCTGGAGTTACAGGTGACTGTGAGGCTCCCTTGGGCATTGGGAGCTGAATTCAGGTCCTCAGCAAGAGTCACTCTTAACCACTGAGCCATCTCTCCAGCCCCAGACCCTGTCTCTTACAGAAATAAAAATAATAATCAAAGCAAACAAGGAAAAAGAAAGCAATGAAAAAGTAAACAGTGAGCTCAGTCTTACTGATCTTGAGTTGGCTTATGCTTCCCCAAGTCCATAGTTGTATTCTTCCTGAATGGGGAGCAGAAGGAGCCAGCAGCTCTGATTTCCAAGATCTTTAGTTGGTTCCTGAAGGCTGGAGGCTATTATTTCCCGTTGTTAATACAGTGGTTCGCAATCTCCCTAATGCTGCGACCCTTTAATGGAGTTCCTCATGTTGTGGTGATCCCCAACCACCAAACTATTTTCGCTGCTACTTCATAACTGTAACTTTGCTACTGTCATGAATCGTACTGTAAAAATCTAATGAGACCTCCAAGGGGTGGCGGCCCACAGGTTGAGAACCACTGTGCTAACAGCATGCACTCTTGAATTTAAATCTCAGATATTTTGAATCCTTGATCTTTTATAAATGGGGCACGTTTTCTGCTGTGTTCTGTTGTCTGTCTGACTGTATGATAAGTGGATGGGAAGACAGAGACCACACCTTCCCTGTACTAGACTGCTAACAAAACACCACCCTGGGTGGCTCACAAATAACAGAATTTCATCCCTCAGTCTTGGGGGCTGAGAAATTCAAGATCAAGGTGTGAATAGGTACAGTGAAAGCCTACCTTCTGGTTCTTAGGTGCCATCACACGGTGAAAGAGCAAGAAGTTCCCTTAAATATGTTTTATAAAGCTGCTATCTTCTCCAAACTGTTTTCTCTTATGAACCAATTACCTACCCAAATGTGTCACCCTGTTGATGGGGAGGACTTCAGCCTGTGAATTTTAGGATACCAACATTTCGATTCTCATTTGTTGGGCAGCAGTCCACCTGGGGATTAGATACGGAGCTCTTAATCCACTCAATATCCAAATGGAAGTTCAGTTCATGCAGCGCTTATCCTCTGTTGAGAAAGACTTTTGTCATGGCAACCGAGTGACGTGTGACGGAGAAGGGCAGAAGCCATCAGAATGATGACCAGGCTTGTCCAGGAAAACGCTAGGCTTACTTATGTGGATGGAGCTGACTGAGCCGCAGGAGATGGAAAGGTTTGCTAGGCACAGCGGGCGTCAGGGACAACCGGCCTCTCAGGCTGCACATTAAAGCCACTGTCATGTCACAGACCCTGGGGGCCTCCAGGGAGCCCTGCTGAGAGAATGAAACAAGGAGGGAACAAACCAGGGTGAGCTGTTTGGCTACCGAGGCGAGAAGACCCAGAGTAGAACCAAGCAGGCAGAGACACTAGCGTGACCGCCCGGGCTAGACCTGACTGGAGTCACACTAAGGGTTTGTGTTTGCTTTCTTTTCTGGGTGACACGTATTCTGCTTAAGCCCAGCAGAAATTTCCCCCTTGCTATCACGACTCTACAATTATAAATACAATTTAACCCAAATTACACGGAATTAACAAACCTTCATTTAAAAGGAATTATTGGCAATTAAAATCTTAGATACTAGATTTAAAGTGATTTTTAATTCTTCCCGTTTACTGTTTATTACAACTAAGGCAAAGTCCAATTTTATTGTAAACTTTTAATGAAAATTCATCAGTTCTCTTGAAGTTTGATTTTCATGATCTAATCATTAAATTTTCCCAAGATTTCATTCCTCGTAGTCACTTTTAACGAATCAGGTTATCATTTTAAATCCCCTTTCGCTTTGGTGACAGCCTATGCTCATAAATGATGTTCTTCTGAGGCAGGAGCTTTAATTTTCTTAGCTAATCCTTGAGAAAGTCTTGGACTGTCCTCCTTAACCAGGACTCATCTACTCTACAGTTACAGAATGCCTATATGTGCTTTAAAATATAGAGCCCGTCAATAAGCTTTTGTTCATGTGTATTTTAGTTATCAATAGTTGTTAATATTATAAATCAGACAAACGACTAAACATTAAAAATGTAACAGTGACCACCGCAGGCTGACATAAGACTATTGAAAATAACTTTTTTTTAGAGAGTGGCACTCACAGTTCTTTCCAAACTTTTTGTTCGTTTGGTCTTTGGTTTTTTTGAGACAGGGTTTCTCTGTGTAACAACCCTAGCTATCCTGGAACTTACTCTGTAGGCCAGGCTGGCTTGAACTCAGAGATCCGCCTGCCTTTGCCTCCCTAGTGCTGGGATTAAAGGCCTGAACCACCACCGCCTGGGGGAAGAAAGTAAAGTGCTTAACTGAGCACACTTTGCAATCAGCCAGCCTGGGGTAGGAATCCCGCCTTAATATTTACTGGCTTGGTAACCTCTGGCTTATTACTAACATAGTGAACGTCAATTTCCCTCCTATAAAATGGAGATAATATTCATGTGTAAGTTTGACCAATAACAAAGATAACTACACTTAGGCAAACCACACAGAAATGCCCACACGTGGGCACTCCACAGGTTGCAATCCCTAACACCATTTTAATCATCACCTTCCAGCCTACGGTGCTTCCTACAGAGGCCAGCACACAGAGGACGACCTATGGGAGTTTGCAGGGACGAAGGACAGAGAGGAAAAGGCAAACTGGATCTGCAGGGTTAAGGAGTGCAATGTCCGCCTCTGAAACCCTCACAAGCCAAACATCCAGACCAGAGTTTACTTAGAACAAGCGCGAGCGAGGGACCGCAGTCTGCGGCGGTGGCGCAGGCGCCGAGAGCGCGCGCTCGGTGCTCGGCCTAATCGTTCGCCCTGATTGGGGATCGGCAGATTGGGTCTGGCTGCAGGAGCCGCTCTAGCGCTCCGCCACGCTCGTTCTCGCGATCCTTCCGGGGAACGGGAGGGGGAAGGGGCGGGGCGGCGTAGCGTGGGGGGGGGGGACGCAAAGCGGCGTTCCCAGCAGGCTGTGCGCGCACCTCGCTTCCTCCGAGCGCGTGAGCGGTTGATTGCGGGATAACCATGGCGCTCCACGTCCCCAAGGCCCCGGGCTTTGCCCAGATGCTCAAGGATGGAGCAAAAGTAGGTGACGTCGAGAGTGAAGGCGGTGGAAGAGCGGGCCCGCGCTTCCGGCGCCCGCGAAAGGACTGCGGGAGTGAGACTAGGAGAGGGAAGGTTCCAGAAAGGGAGGCGTGCTCTTCATGCCGGGCCGCTGACGCCCAGCACGCCTCCCTTTCTAGCGGGCAAGCCTCTCACTCCACGATCAGGGTTGGCCCGAGCGGACGGGTCAAGGCGGCGGGTTCGCACCCCAGCTCTGCATTCCTCTCTGGGATGGCGCTCAGGGCCCCGCCCTTAACGGGAGCTGGCGGTGCAGTTGATGGACTTGGGCGGGACTGATGAGCCGGTTGGTGCACGGCTCGGGGGTTGTAAGATGGAAGGGACAGAGCCCGGCATGGTATAGCAACCATTGGACCTGCTCGTGGTGGTGGCTTCCTTCCATATGATCCTCCGTAGATACCTGGTCCCCAACTTAATTTTACTGAAAACCTACCTGATCATGTTTTCTTTATTTTCTCTAAATTGAGAAGACTGGGCCAAAAGATAGTAGTAATACCTTTGAATTCTGACTATCCCACGTTGTAGCCCACAGGACAAGTGAAGCCCTGACCCAGATAAAATAGTGTTCTCTCTTGGATATAATTTCAGAAAAGTGATTTTTTTTTCTAAAGTATCACACTGTATATGAAGCCAGATAATTTTTTTTTGTTTCCCATAGTACTAAGACTTGTAGAAATAGACAGATGAATTGAATTTAAGGTTTTAGGGGAAATAGAGGAGCCTTAACAGTTTAAGAGCATTTTGCTGATAGCTTGTGCATACTAAGTGGTTGTCAGTATTTAATGTAATGATATTGGCAATTTCCTTTGTGTTGATGTGGAATGGGTGTCATGGCCTCCAGCTTAGGTTTACACCTCCCTCACTTAGATTGAGAAAATCATACATTTAAAAGCATTTGTCTCACTCAGAAACTAGTACTTTAACGGAGATGTGTGTAAATCGGTGCTGAAGACTGAAGTGAAGACAACCCAAGTCCCCAAAAGAATTTCAAATAAAAAGCTAGTATTAATTGACTGGGATTGTAGCTTAATGATAGATTGAGTTCCTGGATTCGGTCCCTGGGTAGAGGTGAGAGGGAAGGATAGTTCTTCAGTAGGTATGTGTAGGATGATTAGTAAAAACCCAGAAACAGATAACTGCAGTTAAATCTGAAGCAAAACAGCCAGTCACTGGCTCTTAACTTCTACCTCAGTCTGAAATGGTGATTCTAACCTCCAGGAATTTCAGAATGAGACTGTGAGAGCTGTTTCCTCCTGTTTTATAATCCTCTCTAGGGCGGGGATTAAAGGTGTGCACCAGTACTGCCCAGTTTCTGTGGCAAGCTAGTGTTGCTACTGGGATTAAAGGTGTGTGTCACCACTGCCTGGTCTTAATAATGCTGACCAGTGGGGCTGTTTTACTCTCTGATCTTCAGGCAAGCTTTATTTATTAAATACAGATGAAATAATCACTACAGGTAGGTGTTTCTGAACAATTTGTCAAGTAGGGAATGTTAGTTATTTCATTGATTTACATACAGAAAAAAATTGCCTGGGCCCTGTACTAAGTTAGTGGGGGGGAATCAAAGACTGACTCCAGACTCTGTGTTAAGTGCTTATGTGATCCTAGAGCTTTGTTAGAAACATGATGAGCGGATCCTCTGTGTTTGGGAGTTCTTCATGACCCTATTTAAGCAGATGTTTTCTTTCTCAGCATTTTTCAGGATTAGAAGAGGCTGTGTATAGAAATATACAAGCCTGCAAGGAGCTTGCTCAGACCACCCGTACAGCATATGGACCAAATGGTAATGGCCAAATTCAGGCTGTAAAAGACTTGGTGTGATTGTGTGTTAGCTTCTGTCTCATGTTTGTCCTCATGGTGGTAAATTATAGGGCAGTTCTTGCCAGTTGTTTTGATGGCACTGGTGTGCTTCTAACTTTCCATCTGAAATTTAGCTTTCTAGAAAAATTTTTAAAAATGGTACTGTTAGGTTATAGGAAAATACACACTTTCGCTGTTGACATAGCTCTTTATAATGGAAAAGGCTGAGCAGTTTCAAGATTTGACATAGTTTAAGCAAACTCTTAGTTGAACTAAAGCTAGACCAGAGAATTAAGCATAAGGCAAGTGTGTTTCTAAGTATGTTAATTTCTATGTGTTGAGTGCTTTCTACATGCTAACTGTGGATGTTCAGTCAGCGAAAGCCCATGGGCTCTTGATAGATCTGAAAATGCAGAGCATGTGTGCGCATGGAGGGTGAAAATCAGTACAGCTTCTGGAGCATGTTTTTTCTGGGTTATGGAGGAGAATGTTTGAATAATAATGGATTATTTCTCTTTGCAACTCTTTTGAGGAATGAATAAAATGGTCATCAATCGCCTGGAGAAGTTGTTCGTGACAAATGACGCAGCGACTATTTTAAGAGAGCTAGAAGTAAGTTTTTCCAAAGCCATCCAAAAAGAAGCCCAATTCTGACACCGGTGTAGCCTTATTTCAGTTAGATGGTAAAGGGCTGCTTCTTCCTCAAGCTGGTCTGAAGATTTGAAAGTGACCAATAGTTGACTGTCGGCTGTTCACATACAGTCTTGGGTTACTTGTTTATGGAGGGTCATGGAGTGCTGCTGTGACTAGCAAACTTGTTACTCTGTAGATTGATACTAATACTAATTTCCTCATGATATAAAACTAGATGGTAAATATTGATGCTTTTTTAAAGAACCAGTTGGAACTTTGTTTTGCTGCCATTTTGATGTCAAAGAGTCTGCAGAACAGATACTTACAGCAGGGATAAGAGGAATGTTTGACACCTATTTCTCATTCTATTAAACTGTAGTTTTATGTGTACTTGCTTAGCTTTGGAGAATTTTCCAAAGCATTGCCTTAAAAGTACTAGACGAAAACTTAAGTCTGCTTTAAAGAAAATGGGAAAAAAAAAAGTAACATTCCTTTAACATCTTAAAAAATGATATGCTAAGGACAAATTAGCTTCAGAATATTTGTGGAGAAATTTTTGTGGTAAATGTGTATCTTACACCATGTTAACATTCTCAGGAATTAAAAAAGTACTGAGTAGGACTGGAGAGATGACCTGATGATCAAGAGCACTTACTGCTCGGTTGCCAGCACCCACATCAGGCAGCTCACAGCCACATGTAACCCCAGCTCTGAGAGCTCTAACATGCTCTTGTGGTCTCCAGGCACTTTTGAAAATGGGGGTACTGTCCAAGTGTAGAACTGCAGTGTTGGCTTAGAATTTATCTTCCTCCTTGGTTTGGAAGAATCTAAAGGTGGTCTAGGGATATAGTTCAGTGACAACAATACTTGCCTAGCAAACACAAAACCTGGCTTCAGTCCCCATTAAATTGAAGAGTATCTAAAATTAACTCCTAAGAACTCAGGAATTTTCATTTTTTAAAATTTACTTTCAGAGTTGGGTGCATTTTAGTTTGTAGGGTGTCTGCCTAGGGTTTAATTTCCTACACTGTATAAATTGAGCGTGGTGGCACACACTTTTAATTTTAGCACTCAGGATGCGGAGGCAAAGGGATCAAAAGTTCAAAGTCTGCCTTTAATACCAGCATTCAGAAGAGGCAGGTGGATCTCAGTGAATTTGAGGCCAGTCTGGTCTACAAAGCAAGTTCCAGGACAGCCAGAGCTGTAACAGAGAAACCCTGTCTTGAACTGCTCCCCGGCCGCCCCCCCCCCAAAAAAAAACCAAAAAAAGTTTTTACTTGATAATCTCTTTATATCAGGTACAACATCCTGCTGCAAAAATGATCGTGATGGCCTCTCATATGCAAGAACAAGAGGTCGGGGATGGCACAAACTTTGTTCTGGTATTTGCTGGAGCTCTGTTGGAACTAGCTGAAGAACTTCTGAGGATTGGTCTTTCAGTGTCAGAGGCAAGTATTCTGTACTTTAGTTGATTGCTTGTTGCTTAAAGTTGAAGGTGCAGGACTAGGGAGATAACTCAAGGACAAGCACAAGGACCTGAGTTCAGATCCCTAGAACCCATGTATTGCTCAGGTATGCCTGTAATTACGGCACTGTGGGAGGCACTGGAACTTGCTGGTCAGCCATTTAGCTTCAGATTGAGAGTGTGTGTAAAGGGAATATGTCAGAGATAGAGCAGGACACCTGAAATCTTCCAGCCATCATGCTACACCTGGATATTCATAGAGGCGTACACTGTACACATACTTCACATTTCTCCCATATTTACCATATACAAATGAATAAGTTTAAAATAAACTTCAAGTCCACTAGTAATAGCTAACATTGAGTAGCTTACACTGCTAGGCAATGACCATATGCTTCACATGTGGTACAGATTTTTGTCCTCAGAAGAATCCTATTGCTAAACCTTCTTAAACTCAATCTATTTCATATGAAGAGAGATTTGAGATAAAAAAAAATCTTGCTCAGGACCCTATAACACATAAGTGATAGAATCAGAATTGAACTTTGTGTTGTTGTCAAAGCTATTATAGTCCATACTATTGGCTCTACCATGTGTCCTCTACAAACACTTTTGTTATAATACATTTATTGGGGCTAGAGAGATGGCTCAGTGGTCAAGAGCATTGCTTGCTCTTCCAAAGGTCCTGAGTTCAATTCCCAGCAACCACATGGTGGCTCACAACCATCTATAATGAGATCTGGTGCCCTCTTCTGGCCTGCAGGCATACACGCAGACAGAATATTGTATACATAATAAATAAATATTAAAAAAAAAAGAAAATACCTTTATTGGGTTATCAGAGTATGTCATGTCAAAATTATGTCTATTAAAGTAAGTATTTTTCTTCATGGTTTAGGTAATATCAGGCTATGAAATAGCTTGTAAAAAAGCTCATGAGATTCTTCCTGATTTGGTATGTTGTTCTGCAAAAAACCTTCGAGATGTTGATGAAGTGTCATCTCTGCTTCGAACCTCTGTAATGAGTAAGCAGTACGGGAATGAAGCATTTCTGGCCAAGCTTATTGCTCAGGCATGTGGTAAGTTATACCAGTAAAAGAAAAAAATCCAAAATACATTCTCTTTAATTATGACTGAGATATCTTTGTGGTCTAAAAAATATGTTTCATCTTCTTGACAGTATCTATTTTTCCTGATTCTGGCAATTTCAATGTTGATAACATCAGAGTATGTAAGATTCTGGTAAGTTTCAAAAACACATTGCCATTATCCAAATAGGTTTTGGAAGGGGGGGTTGTTTTTTCAGTACTGGGACTTGAACCCAGAGCTTTGGGTGTGTTAGGGAAGAACTCTACCATGGAGCTACATTCTCAGTACAAGATGGATTATTTTGCCTATTTCCTTGCTCCAAAATTGTTTTGCTCCTTTTTTTTTTTTAAGACTTGTTTATGTGAGTTTTGCCAGATGTTTATGTCTGTATACTTTGCAGTTTCCGTGGATGCCAGAAGAAGGCATCATCTCTTGGGACTAGAGTTACAGATGGTTTTGAGCTACCCTTTGGGGGTCAGTAATCAAATCTGGGTCCTTTGGAAGAACAGCCAGTGTTCTTAACCACTGAGCCATTTCTCTGCCCCTAAGTTTCACCCTGTTTTAGACTTAGTATTTAATGGTCTTTTGGTTTTAGTTCAAGACAGGGTTTCTCTGTGTATAGCTCTAACTGTCCTGGAACTAGCTCTTGTAGATCAGGCTGGCCTTGAACTCACCTCTACCTGCCTAGTGCTGGGATTTAAGGTGTGTGCCCCCACCTCCCGACACTTAACTATCTTTGTAAGGCAGTGGTTCACAACCTTCCTAATGCCACAACCATTTAATACAGTTCCTCATGTTGTGGGGACCCCCAGCCGTAGCATTATTTTCTTTGGTACTTCATAGGTTTAATTTTGCTACTGTTATGAATTGTAAATATCTGATATGTAGAATATGCAACTCTCAAAGGGGTTCTGACCCACTGTTTTATGGCATCATTTTATAACATTTGGTGTTAATAAATTATGATGTTGCTAGCTATTAGAGTGCATTTTCTTGTGAAGTCGTCATTTCCCCCTGATATTTAGGGATTAGAACACTGTAATAGAACGGGACTGCAGAGATGGTTGCCTTTGGTTTTCTATTCTGTCTGTAATAACAGTCCTACCTGGTGCATTAGTGCAAAGTGCTTGGTGATTAGGCAAATACATAGCTTGATTGCTGTCAAACTTAGTTTTCCCAGCACGCTGAAGTGCCTTCCCTCCATAGTAGTGGCTTATTGTATAACCTTGAGAAGAATGGTTTGTTTATGCCCACTGTCTGATCCTGTTAGCCTTAGCATACTTCTTTAGTTTAAAACTTAACTTCAGTGACAGTTTTGGTGTTTTGACTCCTTAGGGCTCTGGTATCTATTCATCTTCAGTATTGCATGGCATGGTTTTTAAGAAGGAAACCGAAGGTGATGTAACATCTGTCAAAGATGCAAAAATAGCGGTGTACTCTTGTCCCTTTGATGGCATGATTACAGAGACTAAGGTATGAGATTGAAAAGTAAGTTTGGGTTGAAGTGGGATTAGCTCTTCAGCCAGTATGTACTTCATAATAAATTGGAAATTGTTTTTTTTTTTTAAAGTATGAATATTTGCTTCAGCTACCAAATACTAAAGACATTGTGTGCTAGGAGTATTTGTATTCTTATGTACAGCTCTTCATATTCAAGCAGCTCATACTATGAGCATCTTGTAAACCCTTGGTGAAATCACTTTTTATGATTATGAATGTTGACATTCATAAATGTCTTGTTTAAAATATTAATTTGAAAATGAACTACATGTTTTGGATTCCTAAGTAGTTGGATTTTTGCCAAACATTCTTAGCAGATTGAAGTTGTTGATTTTATAGGATTGAGGGATAATGGTTGTATAGTCCTGTGTTTCAAGGAAAATTTGAGGACTGATTGTTTCGGGGATACTAATTAGTATTTGAAAAAAGATCTGGCTGACATTTCTAAAGAGAATTGTTTCTTTAACTGCATCAGTGTGCATATCACAGTGCACATGCATTGACTTTAGCATAAGGAAGTATAGGAACAAGCTCCAAGGATCTAAAATTATACGTTATGTTTTGTTTCATAATAAAGCATTTATTTTCTCCAAGTCTTTAAGTTATTAAGTAAACCATCTTAGAATTTTGAACACTAAAATCAAATGGTTTTAGAGAGCTTGATTGTTTTCCAGGGAACAGTGCTGATAAAGACTGCTGAAGAACTGATGAACTTTAGCAAGGGAGAAGAAAATCTTATGGATGCACAGGTGAAAGCTATTGCCAGCACTGGTGCAAATGTCATAGTAACAGGTGGCAAAGTGGCAGACATGGCTCTTCATTATGCTAACAAGTACAATATCATGTTGGTGAGGTAAGAGTCTGATACTAAAAATTCTTGGGGAAATGCTAAGCAAATTCTATAAATTGAATTGATAGACAGTTGATAAATGGAAAATGAAGGTCTTAGATCAAGCAGAAAGGATTTATCAAGGAGCGGCAGGTAGAGCATACAATTAAGCTGTGGGAGTCCAAGAACCAGAGGGGGAAAAAAAGCACTTCGGGCAAAAGGAACAGCTTAAGGGTTAAGGTGCCATCTTACTGAATTGTTTATCAGCGAGGGTGAGAGTCAGGAAAAATGCCTTTTCATTGAGCACATGCAAAAACTTTTTACTATCTAGCTCCAAACCACAGTAAAATCTGTGCTCTTTGTACAGATTGTACAATTGCACATATTAAAGGGGATTTTTATTTATACATACACACATACACACACGGACCCTGGTTAGAAGTCTATGAGACTACAGTACCCTACTAATTCCTAAGAAAATGCTGTGAATGTTTAGGTACTTACCTGAAACAGGTTCTTACTATGTAGCCCTGGTTACTCTATGTAGACTGTTGCACATGTCTCTCCTTCCAAGTGCTGAGATCAAAGGTGTGCACTGTTAAACTGGCTCAGATGTGGCATTGCTGGCTAGTTTGTTAACATTCTGCGTCTTGGCTTCCTAACTCAGTCCAGTGTGGATGTGTTTAGTTAGAGTAAAGCGATGGTTTGATACAGCTCTAGCTGATTTTCAAAGTCAAAGAGAGCTTGCTGGGTGGTGGGGGCACATGCCTTTAATCCTAACATTCAGGAAGCAGAGGCAGGTGAATCTCGAGTTCCAGGACAGCCAATGCTATTAGAAAAAACAAAAACAAAAAAATCTGCCTGTCTCCTATCTTATGAGATTAAAGGCATGTACCACCTTGTCCAGTTATTTTCTGCATTTTATGTTAATGTGATTGAATTAAAGTTTCTACTAACTTTCCTTTTGAAGGCTGAACTCAAAGTGGGATCTCAGAAGACTCTGTAAAACAGTTGGTGCTACAGCTCTTCCTAGATTGGTATGTATTTTAAAAAACAATACATGAATACATTTGAATTTTTACTAACACATTTGAAGTTTTACTGCAAGGATCATTTTCTTATAGACTCCTCCAGTCCTTGAGGAAATGGGACATTGTGACAGTGTTTACCTCTCAGAAGTTGGAGACACACAGGTGGTTGTTTTTAAGCATGGTATGTCATAATGGTAAGGTGTGTTTTGTACAATTATGAGGTATGCTTTCTTTCATTTAATCTAAAAATTATTTATTGGCAGAAAAAGAAGATGGTGCCATTTCTACTATAGTTCTTCGAGGTTCTACAGATAATCTGATGGATGATATAGAAAGGGCAGTAGATGATGGAGTTAATACTTTCAAAGTTCTCACAAGGGTCAGTATTCGCAATTTCAGAAATTTTTGATTTCTTGAAAACACAGTTGGCAGACTCAGACGTATGTGGTTTAACACATAAGTTGCTAATGAATATATTACCTTCAAAAACTAATTGTACAAACTAGAAAGTAGCAGGCCAAGCTATTCCTGAGTGTGGGCTGCCTCCCACTGCTGAAGCACTATCAGTGCTGTATTTATGGATTACTAGCCTTCAGAGTTTGACAGAGTCACTAAATGTATACTCAAGTTTTGAGCAACGGTGCTCTAAAGACTATGGTCTGAAGAAATAATTCATGTTAGTGTTTTACATTTTTTATAGGATAAGCGTCTTGTACCTGGAGGTGGAGCAACAGAAATTTAATTGGCCAAACAAATTACATCATATGGAGAGGTATCGCTTTAATAAATTCACTTTCTGTCTATTTCTGTTTTTCAAGACAGGGTTTCTCTGTAGCTCAGGAGCCTGTCCTGGAACTAGCTCTTGTAGACCAGGCTGGCCTTGAACTCAGAGATCCGCCTGCCTCTGACTCCCGCGTGTGAGCCACTACTGCCCAACCCTTTTCTAATGCGATGCATTGATACACACATTTTGTTTCAGACATGTCCCGGACTTGAACAGTATGCTATTAAGAAGTTTGCTGAAGCATTCGAAGCTATTCCACATGCATTGGCAGAAAATTCTGGTGTGAAGGCCAATGAAGTTATCTCTAAACTTTATGCAGTGCACAAAAAAGGAAACAAAAATGTGGGATTGGATATTGAGGCTGAAATTCCGGCTGTAAAGGATATGCTAGAAGCCAGTATTTTAGATACTTACTTGGGAAAATACTGGGCTATTAAATTGGCCACTAATGCTGCTGTCACTGTACTTCGAGTGGATCAGGTGAGTGAGAAATGAAAATTGAATCTTTCAAAAGTGGTGTAACACTCCTTTAATTCCAGCACTCGGGAGAAAGGCAGGCAGATCTTTGAGTGCCAAGCCAGCCGGTTCTACAAAGCAAAACCTTGTCTTAAACTTAATAGGTTTTCAGGTTAGGGGAAATGGCTCAGATGGAAAGCTTGCCCTGCAAGCATGAAGACCTAAGTAAAAAAGTTAAAGTTGAGCACAGTTGTACGTCTATAACCTCACTACTTGGCCTGGAAGGGTCAGAAACAGGCACATCCCAGGGAGACTCGGCACTGACGAGACAGGAAACTTTGAGGTTCAACAAAAGTTGGATGGAGAGTGACAGGCAGCCGGGTATAGGAGAAATTTTCGTGAAACTAACTAGATACAGCACTTCTGATTGTGGTTATAGTGATGAAGAGTGTTGATACCGAATGGTAATCCTAACATTGCTGACAGAAAGTTGTCTTCACTGCAAAGCTTGAGTTTATTGGACTTAACTTGGCTTTTTGTTTTTCAGATCATCATGGCAAAACCGGCTGGTGGGCCCAAACCTCCAAGTGGGAAGAAAGACTGGGATGATGACCAAAATGACTGAGGGACTTTTTGTTGTAGGTGAAGCAGTTTATTTGTGGAGCAGAAACTTCCCTAATCTTTTCTTAGTCTCCCTAAATTAAGAAGTATGTGTTTGTATTCTTCCTGGATGGTAAAATAAATGTATTACTGTTATACCTATCTGATCAATTACTACTTATGTCAAGCTTTTTAAACACATAAGCTATGAACAGGGCAGACTGTTCGCTTTGTTTTCCTGGTCTGCTTCTGAAAATAAGTTGCTATAACCATACCATGTATGGCAGTTGCTTTCTACAAAGGGATGGCAGATTAAATAGTTGTTACCAGACACCAAAACAGACTGGAAAATATTTTTTTAAAAATGTGTTAACCTCTAGACTATAGACTAAATTTCCAAAGTTATTCCCTCAAACCCACAGCTTTGAAAGCTTTCCCACCACATACTTAACAAGATTTTGCTGGCATGTGGAGGCATAGCTGTGAGATAACGGCATGTCTGCCCAGGTCATCTGAACCATGCTACAGTTAGTGCACAGCTGAGGACAGGATTTCACATTGTTTCCAGTCACTACTGCAAACAATGTAGATGATCTATAACCAACACTAGAAAAATGAAACATTTTGTTGCAAGTAGGGGTACAGTAATATATAACTTAAAAATTAAGTTATTTATAACTTAAAAATCATTTTATTGATATGTCGAGAATTACCACCCAATCAGATTAAAAACGATTTTAGTATTTCAAATTTCCTTTGATAAGGCAATAAAAACCAGTATGACAATACAAAAACTTATGAATAGGTATTTAAATAAACTGTCGTTTACTTATGTGAACATAATTTATAGTTTAACTTTTTATTGTTCTCTTTGTTATGGAGCCAATATAAAAGCCATAGATGTATTTCAGAGAAAGCACTTTTGTTACTACAGTATTCTCTCATAAAATAGGAGATACGCTTGTGAGTTTAGTACTTTGGCTACAGGCACAGGTTGCACAAATGTGTCGCTGATGTGAAACCACTGCCCTTTAGTGGATTCCATTTCACAGTCTGTTAGGAAACACAAAAGGAAAGGTTGAGGCTAGTCATTTTGGCATAATCTACAGAACGTCTCTGCTATCCAAGATAACGTGTGGAATTATCTTACCTTGTGGAATGTCACCATGAAGAACAAGATTAGAAAGACGACTACTTGCAGTTCTTGCCTTGGTGTAGGCAGTGTAATGCCCTGACCTCATAGTACCACTGTGTTCAACAACTCCATATAAGGAATACAGTACTCTTGTACTTTCTTCAGCAACATTCTTTAAAAAATAATAACCCAGTGTTATTCTTACCCCATTTATACAGATGCTTTGGCAAGACACATTCACAGTGTCTTACACAACACCTTTCTGTTCTCAGCCCACAGAGATGCTTCCACCTTTGTCAGACGTTGCAGTTGTTGGTCCCATAGTACAAAAACTAGTATACTGAGCTCAACTTACCAGTTAAAGAATTGCTTAATGCCTTAGAATCCCTTAATACCCCTGGCCATAATCCTGGTTCTCCATCAATATAAACCTTGTAGAAGGCTAACATTTAGATTATGTGAAAAGAAAATTATTTGGACTTTACTTTCCCACCCAGAGTGGAGGCTGCTTATTAAGGCCCTAGGTACCACAGGCCTTGACAAAAGCAAATTCCCTCAGGCAGGGGCTGTTTTCCTTTGTGCCCTTGTTGAAAGTCACTTCTTTAACAGTCCTACTCTGCATTCTGTACCTCCTGCATCTCCCCAGAGGTACATGCCCTGGTGACAGGCATGGCCTTTTCAGTGCCATAACGGACTGGATTTTGAACTCAGTCCAGAGATCCAGCCCAGTCTCTCTGTAATGGTCTACTCCAACTCTCACTTCAACTCTTCTGTGTTCTTTAACCTCAAGTATCCTTGAGTCTTGATTGTCTGCTGTATAGTCTGAAGTAGCCTATGAAGCAGCAACCATAGCACCTAGTAGTAAAAATGACAATTCACTACACCTCAACTCTGAAATCGTTCCAGAATGAGAAGGCATTCAGCACTTCAGTTTTTACACATCAGGGGTTCATGTGCTTACATTAACATAGTGCAAACACAGCAGCATAGCTTCTCTAATCTTGAAATCTTCTGAAAGACAAGTCATGGTGCCTTCATCACAGATCTTAAAATTATAAAGGTATAATGATCAAAGTACCACTCTAAAATAATTCTAAGCAATCACTGAGCTTCATCCCCAGCCTTTCTTCAAAACTGGCATCAGCTTTACATTTAATATGAAATATATATTTGGGGGGTTATGATTTCTCAACAATTTCCTTTAAAAACCATTTTTACATACCTTACATTTAAGAGTACAAAAAGGAGCCAAATCTAAGATTTCCGGGAACTTTATGTGTTTGTTAACTTTGCGTAGGTTAAAACCAGCCTAAAGGAGGAGGATTACAGATTAAGTTCTTTTCTGGAAAAACTGTACAGATTAAGTAATTATCCCCTCTAAAGCCCAAAGAACTCCCAACACCTAGTCACCTTTCTAAGGAGAGAGAGAGAGAGAGAGAGAGAGAGAGAGAGAGAGAGAGAGAGAGAGAGAGAGAGAGAGAGAGAGTGTGTGTGTGTGTGTGTTTTCTGTAGCTTTGGAGCCTGTCCTGGCACTAGACAAGGCTGGACTTGAACTCACAGAGATCCACCTGCCTCTGTCTCCCGAGTGCTGGGATTAAAGGCGAGTGCCACCACTGCCTGACCTAGGTTTTTCTTCAAGTACCATATACCACCGAAACTACTCTGATGAGACCTCCCTGATTCTGCCTTAGTCACCTCCAATGTGTTCCTAAAATTGAGCAATAGCAGACTATTTCCCTGTGAAATACTTTTCAGCTCATGTTCTTACCATGTTTACACAATTCCTTGTAAAATACAACCAGTAAGTCAAGACAATGCTTGACCAGTAAGAGGGAAAGCACCCATAAAATTCTGTAGGATTTGAAAGTTGTATTATACCAAATCTTTCAGGAAAGATACGGCCATAAAAATTATGAAAATCGCGGGCGGTGGTGGCGCACGCCTTTAATCCCAGCACTCGGGAGGCAGAGGCCTTTAATCCCAGCACTCGGGAGGCAGAGGCAGGTGAATCTCTGTGAGTTCAAGGCCAGCCTGGTCTACAAGAGCTAGTTCCAGAACAGGAACGAAAAGCTACGGAGAAACCCTGTCTCGAAAAATAAAAATAAAAAAATTATGAAAATCCAATGAATGTCTTTTTATCAAATCAGTAAAAGTAGATATAATACACAAAACAAAAACATTTAGGCAGTAAACCTGTATTTTTCTAATCTGAAGTTAAGCTTAGAGTAAGATACTATAAATCTCAATGAGTTCTAGAAACCTAGGACTATCTAAATTTCTTACTTTGACAAATCTACATATATGTCTCTTCTGATTTTCCCACTCTTTTTGAAGTTAGAATTAAGAAAAAGCAGAAGCAAATACAGAAAGAGAGAAAGTAGGCGTTGCATGGGTACCTGCTGAAATCTCTTCAAATGGAGAGTGAGGACTGGAGGAGCATGAGAAACCAGCATCTGCTTCTTTGCATTGGTGTAAACATGTTTCCTCTCACCTACAGAAACGCAAGATGCTAGCAACACAACAATCGGTTTGCTATAAGACCATCTCAAATTCTAAAACAGGATTAACAAACTTCTACAAAGAATGTGGTAATATTTGTGCTCCTATTAAACAAGAGGCAAAATCAAGGATATTTTCTTGGTATAAATATAAACTTAGAAGCAGTAACTGACTGTAAGCGGCAGGCGGTGGTTGTGCAGCCTTTAATCCCAGCACTCGGGAGGCAGAGGGAGACGGATCTCTGTGAGTTTGAGGCCAACCTGGTCTTCGAGAGCTAGTTCCAGGAGAAACTCCAAAGCTACAGAAAAACCTGTCTCTAAAAACCAAAAACAAACAACAACAAAAACAGTAATTGGCTCTGAATGCACCGCATCAGAAGAATGTCATGTAGTAAAGCCAAACATTTAATTGGGGATGGAAGTAAGTGTTCCACATCATCAAATCATTTATACCACCACTAAAAAAAGTTTTGGTTTTTTTTTTTTTTTTTTTTTTGAGACAGGGTTTCTCTGTAACTTTTGGTTCCTGTCCTGGAACTAGCTCTTGTAGTCCAGGCTGGCCTCGAACTCACAGAGATCCGCCTGCCTCTGCCTCCCGAGTGCTGGGATTAAAGGTGTGTGCCACCACCGCCCGGCCTAAAAAAAAGTTTTTGAGGGGTGGAAAAACATGATAGCACATGCCTATAATGCCAGTACTTGGGAGGTAGAGGGAGGAGGATGGCAAGTTTGAAGACAGACAAGAGTTACCAAAGAAGACAGTGTCTCAAAAAAAAAAAATTTTTTTTAAAGGCTTAAAGTACAACTCACTAGTAAAATGTACAAGGTGCTAAATTCATTCTTAGCCAAAAACTAAAGTCTTTAAGAACTGGAACATCAGCAAGATGTCTGGAGGTGGAGGTATGGCATATCTCCCTCCATAAAAATTGACTAAGGAAAAAAACATTTTAATTTAGAAACTATCAAAAGTGGAATATAAGAGGTCTACAGATTTTGGCTTGCTTGACATTGTCTGCTCTATAAGTCTCTAAAAGCAACATTCCTTATTCTTTGTATCTACATGTAAATAAATGACTTTAAAATATTTCAACTCCAGTGAAGATCTTTAACAATCTGTGACACCCTGCCCCTTTCAGGCAAGGCAAGAGGATATTATCAGTTCCACGTTTAAGGAAGATAAGAAAGCCTGGTTCCCTTTATTCTGAATGTGCCACATAAGTACACCGAAAACTTCAAGTCTGACTTCCTGGGGGTAGGGGAGATGAAGGCCATCACTAGAGCCAACAAGGAAACGAGGATGCAGAGAATTGGTCACTGTTATGACGACATTCCAGTGGGAAGTGTACCCACAGAAGAGACTGGCAAAAGCTAGTCCACTATATTGCTGCTAGCTGCCAGTGTACTAGCCATGCCAATAAAGTTTTTCCTTCTGTTAGGACATTTACATGCAAGAGGGCACTAGTAACTCTCCAAAGACCAATGTGACCATAATTTACAAATATTCTCCCTGCAGAATATACACTTTAATATCAATTTTTAGAGCAAGAAAAACTCTAAATACCTTTTATATTTGTCTTTGGTCCACGACCCTGCTGTCTTGTGCATACTTCACAAAGCAGTTTATTTGCATCTTGAAGCTTCTCATTACGGGTGAACTGATACAAGCAATGCTGGATTGAACACTCATCAGCACTGAAAGCTTCCCTGTTGGCAAGGGTGCAGAAGGCAGTTTCTGGGTCCTCATTCATGACCTCATACACCTTTGTCACAGAAGAATGACTGTCATTCAGAATCTCTATATTTATTTCATCAGGATGAATAGCAGCATTCAAGTTAAGGTTTTTTAAACCACTGGTAATGTCAAATTCTCCATTGGTCCTTTCCTCTAGAAAGGCATCATTTAAAACCCTAGTACATTCAGTAGCAGATGTCGAAATCCCCAGATCACACTCCATGTTGACACTTTTCACACCTAGTGCCTCTGGACATTTCTGACTGTCAGTTGTATTTTCTATCATTTTCTCTTGGCCATTGAAATCTTTCTCATCAACATAAAGCTCTGTATGTAAAACCTCCTCTTGAGAACCATGGTTGGACTCAATATCCACTTCCGCTTCTCCCGGAAGTGACATTTCGGCTTCGTGTTCATTGTCTTCAGTATGGTCAGTGGTACAGATATCATTTAAGTGAAGAACTTTCTCTTGAATTTTTTGTTGCCTTCGTTGGTTCTGTGTAAAAAGTATTATATATATAAAGTGAGAGAAGGAAGTAAAGAGAGAAAGGTAGAGAAAGTAGATACCACATCAGGTTTTGTTGCTTTTCAAAAAAAAATCATTTCATAAGAAATGTTCACTCTCAAATTCTGATTTTAAAAATTCCTTTACTATCAGAGTTCAAATAAATTATAAGTCCTTTAAATGAAATCAATAATAATCACTATTCACCAAACACTGGGCTATTGTGGAGATAACAATACAAGAGATGATGTGTACTGTTGAGAAGTGAGCTATGAGTTCTATGACTTAGAACTGATAAGTCAAGAATTAGACAGAGTGGTGGTTCTCACAACACTCTGGTGGTTTGAATGAAAATGGCCTTCATAGGTACATGCTTCGGCATTTGATCCCCAGTTGGTGGAACCATGTAGAAAGGAAGGATTAGGAGGTGTGGCCTTGTGGGAGGAGGTGTGTTACTGAGGGCAGGCAATGAGGTTTCAAAAGCCAATGCCATTCCCAGTGCTCTTTCTCTGCTTCATGGTTGTAAAATCAAGATGTGAGCTCTGGGCTAGGCGATGGTGGTCGAAACCTTTAATCCCAGCACTCAGGAGGCAGAGGTATTAAGATATCTCCATGAGTTCAAGGCCAGCCTGGTCTACAGAGTGAATTCCAGGACAGCCAAGGCTGTTACACAGAGAAACCCTCTCTCAAGAAACAAAAGGTGTGAACTCTGAGCTGTTCCTCTGCCATCTGGACTCTAATCCTCTGAAACTGTAAGCCAACTTCAACACTTTAAGTTGCCTTGTTCATGGCATATTGTTGGAGCAATAGAAAAGAAACTATGGCAACTCTGCAGGAATATGTATCTATGAGTTGCAATTACCAATCAGTCTCACTAAAAAGACAACAAACTGACAACTTATTTTGGATACAGGATACATAAAAATTCTTGAAGGAAAAAAGACATAAAGAAGCTATATGCACAAGGCCAGTAAAATTTCCCTACTGAATTTACCTTTTTGTCTGCATAGGGGGAGAGGTGGGGAAGAAAGGGGCAAATAAGAATGAAGTCTACATAGGGACTAAGGAAATGGCCCAGTGGTTGAAAGCACAGGCTGTTCTTCTCGAGACCTAGGATCCTTAGGGCAGCTCACAACCATCTGTAACATCAGGGAATATGATGCCCTCTTCTGGCCTGTATGGGCACTGGGCATATGTGTGCTGCACAGACATGTAAACCAAACACCCATTCACATAATATAAATAAAATTTCAACAAAACAAAAAATACAGTGCTAACAGCCACTATTCTGCATGTTAACTAAATCTTTTAAATTAAAACTAACAAGTAAGTAAATACACAATAAAGAAAAGGCATAACTTCCCTTGTAGTTACCCACCTTGGCTTGCTTTTTGGCTTGCTTCTTTGCTTTTTTCTGTATGTGCTTGCTGGTTCCTGAAGGCATATCACTTCTTGTTTTCATGTAGCTGTCATCTTTTTCTTCCTCACTGTCTTTATCTTCTTCCTCCATTGTCTTTTTCACATTTTTATCATTTGTGTTTTTCTTACCACTCTTAAAATATGAAGAAAAACAAAATATTACCACTATTATGTTGAAAGAAAATTTATGTAGCTTAATATTTTGCTCCCTTATCATTTGTTTAAGATTTATTTTTTATGTACACTGGTGTTTTGCCTGCATCTATGTCTACTTAAGAGCTCCAGATCCCCTGCACTGGAGTTACAGCTGCGCACTGCCATGTGGATGACAGGAACTGAGCCCAGGTCTCTTAGAAGAGCTGCCAGTGCTTTTAACTGCTGAACCATCACTCCAGACCCTCTTACCATTTTTAATTTAATGATACATGAAAATTTATACAAAGACAGCAATCATCACATGCTGAGAAAATATGAAACACAACAGTAAAAGGGCAATATCAGGGGCTGAAGAGATGGCTCAGTAGTTAGGAGCAGCACTCCTGTCAGGTGACTCAAACCACCCACATCTCCAGCTCCAGCGTTTCAAAGGCACCTGCAGTCAGGGCACACACACCCAAAGATAAACACATATATACATTATCTCAAGCAAGAAGTGTCATGTGTAAGTATATCAGAAATGAGTGTGATGAATTGTATTGGATACAAGTCATAAAATGTTGTATAAATGTCCTTTTGTAAATGTACTTTAAGTGGTTCTGCATCACACCATAGAATTCCTTTGTTGTTGTTTTTTTGTTTTTGTTTTGTTTTTCTGCACGTAAATGATAGTCTTAGAGGAAGTAAGTAAAGTTAGTTTGGTAAGACTAATTATTTAAGTAACAGGGCAAAGGGTTCCTAATTTACATTGACTTGAATAATTTATTCAATGCTCATTTATTTATTAGAACTCCCTATATAGAAAAGGCCAGCCTTGAGTTCAGAGATATGCTTGTCTCTGACTCCCCAGAACTGAGATTAAAGGAAAGGCATGGGAAGCCATACCAGGCAATGCTCTTTTGTTATCTTATAGCCACTTACAAGGAACCAAATTAATGCAGTATAAAACTAAGATAATCGGGAGGCAGAGGCAGGCAGAGCTCTGTGAGTTCGAGACCAGCCTGGTCTACAGAGCTAGTTCCAGGACAGGCTCCAAAGCCACAGAGAAACCCTGCCTCAAAAAACCAAAAATAAATAAATAAATAAATAAATAAATAAATAAATAAATAAATAAATAAATAAACAAACTAAGATAATAATTTCTATACGTAATTAAAACTACAAGGAACTTGTGATTAGCCTTAAATAATGAAAACAGAAAAAAATACTTCCCTATGTGTAATAAAATCAATTTAATACCTATTAAGAATTGTAAACACAGCTTTCTAATAAAGAATATAGTCCATTAGGCAGTGGTGCCTTATGCCTCTAATCCCAGCACTCAGGAGGCAGAGGCAGGAGAATCTCTGAGTTCAAGGCCAGCCTTGTCTACAGAGGGAGTTCTAGGACAGGCTCCAAAGCTACAGAGAGACCGTGTCTTGAAAATCCAAAAAGAATACAGTCTATTTTTTTTCAAATCCTAAAAATTATTCCTTCTCTAACAGACCCTGGAAATTTTCTTCATATGCTACTGGTAATACAAACACCCTTACAAAGTGTGAGGGTGTTCCTCATAAAAGCTAAGAAAGGCAAAATAAACACATTAGTAAATAAATTTTGTTTGATAAAATAGGATAGTCTTACCTGATCATCTAAAACTGGGAGAGACAAATCAAGGAAAGATTCGTGCACCAAAGAGACCTTAACCGATCAAAGAGGCAATGGAAGGAAAAGGAAAAAATCATGTTAAATCTTACTATTAGATTATCTCCATCCTGGAGAGAAAGACACTCACATTAAACATTACCTATTAGGATGAAGGGTAGAAGGTGGGATTTAATAAGCAAATGACTAAGAAAATTTGAAATTAAAAAGTACAGAATGTTGAGGACCTTGAACTGGGGAAAAAAATTATAGTTACTGTAATTTACCAAAGATTTTAGGGGTGCTATATTTCCAGTGAAGAATCATAAATATCAATAAAGAATATCCTATAAGGGCTGGGCATGGAGGTACACACTTATAATCCCAGCACTCAGGAAGCTGAGGCAGGATGCATTCTGTGGTGTGTGTGTTCCTGGCCAATGTGGAACCAACAACCCCATATTTAATCAGATGATCTGTCCTCAGTGAGTGTTACTGCCCAAGCCCACTGCACATGACACCCACTTACAGTCCTGCACTCATCACACATGATTGTACTAGTCAGCTCGCCACCAAAGATGCGGTCCACAAAGCTTGGGACTGTCTTTTTCTTTTCATAGTCTGCAACAACAAAATTACAATCTCTTAAAATTGAGAAGAGTTTAAATTACTTATCTAAATTTTAATGTTCTGTCCCTAAACATTCTTTCCACTATTCATAATTATGTGCTACATTTGTAAGCTGTGGAAATTAGCCTTTATATTCTACCACTGAGCAAGCAATTAACACAATCACCCTGGGTTTTTTTTTTATGTGTACAACATTCTGCCTCCATGTATGCCCGCATGCCAGAGGAGGGCACCAGAACTCATTACAGATTGTTGTGAGCCACCATGTGGTTTCTGGCAATTGAACTCAGGACCTCTGAAAGAGCAGCCAGTGCTCTTAACCATGGAGCCATCTCTCCAGCCCAACCTTGTTATTTAAAGTCTATTTATTAGTAAAGAACAAGCTACAACTCAGTAAGACTTTCTATTATCGTGTCTAAAATGACAGGCTTGGACTCTGCTAGCTGCTAGGACCACTGCCTTGTTCCATCCAGCATGAATACTTGAATACAACAGACAAGAGACTGCAGTTTAGGAAAAGAAAATGCGTAACTTGGTTTATGAGCTCTAAAACTGAACTTTTTTATAATTAAAAACAAAACAAACTCTGCAAACTATCAGGCAGAATGTTCCCTTTGATTTTCTCCAGTACTGGCAATACTTGACATGTTTAAAGTCAGAGTAGTTTAATATCTCATCACTTAATTTTCAAAATTCATGAAATGCATAAGCATTATTCAAGTGGTATTACAACACTCTGCAGGAGAACCCCGTCATCACAGAGTCCTACGGACAAAGTCAATTGTGATGGTTCACGCCCATAATTCCAGCACTCAAGTGGTTAAGGCGAAAGAGCTGTGAATTCTAGGCCTGTCTGAGCTATGGTTAGTCATAATTCAATTTTTGAAAAACTGTGATGTTATCTTAATTCTATCTTTATAGGTCTCAATATATTAATGTATAAAAAGAATATTTCACAAGTTAAACTTCTCCAAAATATTGACCACTGGGAGGACCAATTAATTTTTAAAACTCATAGTGACATGGATAAACTGTGTTTAAAATAATTCAGTGTTTCAAACATATGTGCCAGTAATCTTGTCTTATGGTACAGAAGAATTCAACTATAGTGTTTTAGTTCAAAAAGTCAGACATTACCTTTAACTTTATTTTTTACTTCTTCATCCAATTTTTCAGTAGAATTAAATGCTTTAAGAATTCCTTTACTCACTCTCTAAAAGTAATAAAATGAATATATATATACTATTAAATTTTAAAGTTATTTTCCTTAAAAAATACATAATAAATGCAAGAAAGGATCGAGATGTAGCTCCCCAAATTTACTAAGATAATCATAAATTAATTCAAATAAATCAAAATTAATTCAAGGAGCTAAGAAAAATTATGCCTATCAAGCCTATAAAGCAAACTTCTGAATAGAGGTATGGTGTTAGCATTTTGAGACCTTCAACCTATTCAACACTGCTTTACAGAACATGCCACCACCTCAGGACGACACTGACAGTGCTAGCGAGGCCACACCACAGCTACAAGAACCAGCTCTAACACACCGTCCTGCTCTGTCATTACCGAGTGATTTGAACTAGGATGGAACACCTCTACACCAGCCTATGGGGTAAGAAAATAATCTACTTCATAGGATGGCTCAAGAACTCAGTAAGATAATTCATATGAGACAGAGCAGTGCCTGGGATAAGTACAGAATTAAATGAATCATTACTGTTACTAGTGCAATTAATTAAATTCATACTTCCAAAATGCATTACATATACTGGTAATTAACAAAAGTTTTCAGTTATAAAAACTGTCCCCAGACTCTTAGCAAAGTGAGAATGTGCTGCAACAAGGACTTCCGAGTGCTCTGCGTCTCTCCAGGTGGGGTCTAGTGTAACGAGCGAGCCTTTAAAGACGGCATCGTTGCAAGCAGCGAGTAAACGAAAACATCTAGATTAAGAGAACCATTTTAGTCCTCTTCACTTATTCTAATGAAGAAGCATATTGGCTGGAAAACCTGGTAAGTAAGTGTTTAAAAGCACAGTGGCCTCTGTGACTGGCAGGAAATGGCAGGTGAGCCCATGAAATTACAACACAGGATTCTCAGAGTATGCTAACTTGGTGTTCTTCCGCTCTCATGCCATCCAGTAAGTAGCGAAGTAGCTCCTGGCTGTCTTGTTGCTGGAACCCTGTAAAACGTGTTGCTCTGAAGACAAAACACAAGAAAGAAAAGCACTGATGACTCTACTACTTTACAAAGCTCATTTTAAAGTCTTAGAGTTTCATCCCAAGTAAAAGTGGAGTTTTCTCAAAATTTGTGTCTACTGGGGCTGGAGAGATGGCTCAGAGGTTAAGAGTACTGGCTGCTCCTCCAGAGGATCCAGGTTCAATTCCAACACCCACATGGCAGCTCACAACTGTCTGTAAGTCCAGTCCCAGGGGATCTGACACCTTCACACCAACGCACATGATATAAAGTTAAATAAACTATATTAAAAAAATTGTGTCTACTATAAGAACACCCGAAGCAGATTTAATTACCGCATGAAGCATGCTTCTTTAACTTGGAATGAAATATGGTTCTGAAACTGTTTTCTCAGCATCTTACTGATTCACTGAAAGCACAGCCAAGTGGATACTCACTTTTTACAGACCTGAGAAAAGAGCTCTTTAGGTGTTACAATTCGCTTTTTGTTCTCTTGCATCTCATTAAGAAACTGGCTCATAGCTAAAGTAAGAGGTCCTGGAGGCTCAAGGTTTACTTCTAAAGGTTCCTAAAAGTAGGAATAAAAATTATTTCACTCAAACATTATGACCATTTACTTTCCCAAAATGTAACAAGCCAATTGATATTGATGGAGCTGCCCAATGTAAACAGCCAAAATATAAACCAAGTAGTAAACTTCCTGTTCAAAAATTCAGCTTTGGGCCAACAAAAAGGCTCAGTGATTAAAGTATTTATTGGGCATGCCTAACAACCTGAATTCAATCCCCAGAACGTGCAGGAAGATGGAAGGTTAGGAATCCACTCCATGAAGTCTCTGACCTCCACACGCACACCATGGCATACCACACACACACACACACCCCTCACACAAATGATAATAAAAAATTTTTAAAGGAAAATTGAGCTTTATCTTAGTTTTAAGTGGATAGGAACTTAATACTATTAATTAAGAAAGCAAAGGCAAAATGCATCTAACAACAATGAAGAAGGTAAAATTTATTTGACTACATAGCACTTAGGTCTCATTGAAAATGTCAAAAAAAAAAAAAAAGAACCCAGTACAGAACTGGGCTTCACAATTATCAACATTCCCAAAACAGGGTAGAACACACACACACACGCACAAAACAAACAAAAGAAACATGGTAAGCTCACAGCAAGCAAACATAAGGTCCTTGTAACAGCTATTAGTTCTGAATTGTTTATCTTAGATTGAAATAAAACCAAGGAGAAAAGGCAGAATGAGTTTCAATTCCTCAAAACAACTTGGAATATGGACATTTACAAAGAAGATACTTAAAACAATTTTATTTATTTATTGACATGTATTTATTTCATGCATAGAAGTAGACACACATGCTGTGCTGTGACAAGTGTGGAAGTCAGAAAAAAATATCTGGGGAGTGAATTCTCAATCCCAATGACTAGACTCAGGTACTCAGGCTTGGCAGCAAGCCTGTCACAGAGACATCTTCCCAGATCAGTTATGTAAAAAATCTGGCTTAGCATGATGGTATACACACACCTCCAACTCCATAATAAGGAAGGCTAAGACAGAAGGCCTGCCAAGACTTGAGGTCAGATTTTAGGTCAGATACAAAGATTTGAGGTCAGATACAAAGGAACTGTCAGGCCAGTAGCAAGAACCTTTCTTAAAATGAGTTAGAAATGGCTGGTGGTCGTGCAGCCTTTAATCCTGGCACTCAGAAGCAGAGGCAGATGGATCTCTCTGAGTTCAAGGCCAGCTTGGTCTACAGAACAAATTCCAGGACAGAGCTACAAAGTGAAATCTTGTCTCAAAAATAAAAGTTATAAAGTTCTATTGAATCAAATACGTACTGTAAGTGCCAGGTCGGGTGGCTCTATTTTCACAATTGTTCCAGACATTTTCACTTCTTTTAGAAGTTCTCTAAGCACTGGTGTTTGGGACAAATTCTACAGTGCAGGGTGGAAATAAAAGGGCGATTAATTACATAATCAAGTCATTCAAACATTGAAGAGTTTGTTCTACCAAAACAGAGCACAACCAACACTGACTCTTTATTATCTCTCTACCTAGGCAAGGAGCCACTACGACAGGCTCTTCTCCTGGCTCTCCATGGTTCACAGGCTCGGTCTCCTGCTAAGACTGGGACGGAGATACCTGTTCCCACATCCCAACGGTCTCGTCACCACTCACTACCATTCTGACAATATATTTCTTTCTGTATCAGGTTGCCCTGTGTTTTCCTGATCCAAACTCATGACTCATGAAAGCAAGGGCCACAACTGCTTAAAATGCCATTCTATCACCAGTGCTACCAGAGTTTATTACATGCAATAAACACGTGTTACTCTGAATATGCAGAATTAACACAGGGGAGGGGAAGAGAGGGGAATACAACTCTAAGTTTCAGAGCCTGAGGGAAGAAGAGAAAGAACTCTGTCACCTGCATAACAGCATTGAAGAAACAAGTATTTCCCAAATTACTGAGTCCTTTCATGGTTATCTGGGAAGCAGAGTCCATGGGAATATTTTCTTTAGCCATGTTTTCCGATTTCTCTCGCTCTTGTTCATTTTTACTCTCTTTTTCCAACTTTTTATTTTCAAGTTCAATGTGTCCATTATCTTTCTCTGCTTTAAAGGGGGAGAAAAAGAAGACTTGGCAAAGTATAGAATATGCACATGCCAATGTACTAGAATTTTCTATTTTAGCTAGTATCGATTATTGGCACAGATTTGACTGATATTTAGTAAGTAGTGGTAAACTCACAGAAGTGATAAACAAGCAGAACTGCGGATAGAAGCTGGTTTGACAAGTGTGAGAGTAGCATATGCTTTGGTATAAAATCATCCCTTATTACATAAATATTCTTTATACATTTATATATATATATTACTTTGTAGAATTAGGACATAAAACAAGAATGCAAACACAATATGTTTAAATGAATTCTACTAACCAAAACTAAATTCTGACGTGAATAAACAACTCTGGCTTAAAAAATATACTTGTCAACACAAGTATCTAAAAAATAAACTTAAAGCATTCATTTACTTCTCAGAAATATCTAAGAAGCTGACTTTAGAAAATGCCAGAGAGGTAGGGATGTCAGTTAGAAGGGAAGCTGCTGCCGAGTGAAAAGCACAGTGTCATTCTTGAATACATGTAAGGTCAGTTACCTCTAGCCCGACATGGTGGCACACGCCTTCAATCCCAGCACTTGGGAGGCAGAGGCAGGTGGACCTAGGTAAGTTCAGGCTAGTTAGTGTACAAGACACCATTCCCCAATACAAAACACAACCTCGGCCTAAAAACCAATGTATGTGTGTGTCATGTTATTTACTGATAGACTGAAAATCTTCTATTACAAAACGTATCACTAAATACAGTAAAATTAAGTCTATAGCATTCCCTAGAAACCTGCTTCCCACACCGGCCAAGAAATGAGGTAGGCAATCTTCACTCTCCTTCCTACCCTCCAATCCCCAAATCTTATCCCCAGTTTTGCAGCAGACCATCTCTGGCCCCATTCCCAGGGGTCTGGGCAGATCTCTGATAGCCCCCCTCAAACCATCATCCCTTTGTCTCAGTCTGATTAACAGCAGGAGGCCCTTCCTGGAAAGCCAAAGGCCTGTAGACAGCCAGGGGATCAGGTAGGTGATCTACTCTCCTTCCTGTCTTCCAACTCCAGTTTCCCAGTCTTTACCCCCAGCTTTGTGGCAGACCATCTGCTCTGGCCTCTCCTTCCTCTGTGCCCATTCCCAGAGGACTACTCAGCTTTCCTTCCTCCTGTGGACCCTCTGAGCACCATCCCCTTCCAGCCCACTCCAAATACCTAGAAACACTTTCTATGTGGGATCCAAGGATCCAAAGTGGCCAACCTGATAGGGTCTCAGAAGCCACCACAATCTCCTGAGATTCCAGAACACAGGGCCTGCAGGGGTCTTTACCAGATGGGGTCCCAGTACTGAGAATGGAAGTAGACATGACCCCATCCCTAACCCAGAAGCTATCACTAATTGATAACCACTCAAAAAATGAAAAATCAAGCCTTACCCGGAAACCATTTTTTTAAAAGATTTATTTATTATATAGACAGTGTTCTGCCTGTATGTGTCCCTGCAGACCAGAAGAGGGCACCAGATCTCATTACAGGTGGTGGTCAGCTACCATGGAAATTGAACTCAGGACCTCTGGAAGAACAGTCAATGCTCTTAACTGCTGAACCACCTCTCTAGCATGCCAGCAGTACCTAACCAACACAATGAATTCAGTGGCATCTTTGGAGGGTTCTCTGTTTCCTAATGCTATATCAGGGCTTGTTTTTCCCATTACAGTCCCTTGAGTATCTATTATGATTTCTAGTTTTGTGTTTCTATGAGATTTCTGTGAACATGTGTTCTTATGATTTTCCTTTAGATATTTCCTTATGTTTGTTTTGTCCTTTTCCCACTTGTTTGTGTTTTACCTTACTATTTTGTCATCATCATCATCTAGATTCCTGTTTGTTTTCTAAGGAGAGAGAAAGGATGTAGATTTGGATGGGAGGAAACGTGAAGAGAATCGGAGAGGGGGGGAATGGTAATCAGAATATATTGGATAAAAAAACTACTTTCAGTAGAAGAAAACTAGAAAAAAATTATGATTCCTTTACACACACACACACACACACACACACACACACACGCGCTCTGTAGTAAGTTCTGGGTCAGAGTTATGAGAGCAGTGCCTACTTCCTTTGACCTCCAAGGACCTTAGTCCGGCCTTCTAATCACTTATGAATAGATCATTTTTACATCCTATTTAGTTATAACAAAAATAGCTTTTCAGTTTAAAACACATCATAGTTAATATTGCCTGCTATGTGCAATAAGGTAACAAATTAACCGGTGTGGAGCCATGCAGCAGTAATCCCAGCCTCACAAACTCATGGACAGCTTTATCTACAGAAAGATGTGATCTCAAAAAGTAAATGAATGGCTGGCTGCACTGGGGTGCATCTTTAATCCCAGTACTTGAAAGGCAGAGACAAGAGAATCAAGGCCAGCCTGGTCTACATTGCAAGTTCCAGGACAGCCAGGACTACAAAGAGAAACCCTGTCTCAAAAAATAATAATAATAATAATAATAAATAAATAAAAAATAAAGGAACGAATGAGTAAATAAAAGCAGCTACACAAATCACCGTCACTGTATGCATTAGGAAACAGACTTTCACCTGGTTTTCGAGTTGTAGTGCTAGCTTGTTTTCTAACAAAATCGACCACTTGGCCCAGCCGGTTTGAACTACAGTATTTGACTTCCTCGTCGCATTTGTAGCACCTACAACCAGAAAAGAAAATTGACAAATGGACAACTATAAGAGGGAGAGACAAATTATTTACTCTGGAGAACCAAAGATGTTTAATTGTCCAATTATTCTGCTAAAAGTAGGGCTGTCAATGGCTCAGTGGATAAAAGTGCTTGCCTCAAAATCCTGAAAACTTGAGCTCAATCCCCAGAACCCAATGGATGTGAGAACTGGTTCTTGACACATGCACTGTGGCAAGCCTGAGCCTGCACAAGAGTGCTCACATATGTACACACACACATGACACAACACATCATGAACATGATAACCTAAGAAACAGAGAGAAACTGAAGATACAAGACTGATTTCGGAGAGCTAGAGAAACAGCTCAATAGTTATGAGTGTGCACTGCTTTTCCAGAAGAGCCGAGTTTGGTTCCCAGCACCCTTGCTGGCCGGCTCACAACCACCAGCTCTGAGAGGCCTTTAACTTCTAAACTCTGCAGGTACCTGCACTTATGAGCTAAATCTACACAGACATAGTTAAAAAGAAAAACATGTTCTCTTTAATACAACTAGGTATATTTTAAGACTGATTTAGTAATAAAATTTACTACAATGGCACTACATACGCATCAGTATCATGGAAATTCAAAATTCAGGGCACATCTTTAAATCGAAAGGTGTTTTTTTGTCTTTTTTCTCTCCATATGAAGTTCTAGGAATGGAACACAAGATCTCATGCATGCTGGGTAAGTGCCCTGCAGCTGAGCTGCACTCTCGGTCTATTAAATCTTTTCTGTTCTGGGGAGATGGCTCAGTGTAATAAGGGCACTTGCTACACAGCCTGAGGATCTGGCTTTGATTCCCTGTATGCCTGCACCTGCCTGTAACTCCAGGATTGTCCCTGGCTAGCCAGTCAAACCAACCAATGAACCAACCAACGAACAACAACCTTCCCCTTCAGTGAGAGAGACTGTCTCAAGGCTGTAAGTGGTGAGCAACAGAGGAAGATGCTATTTGACCTTGACGTAAGTGACTTACACAGTCTTTTGTATGCATTATTTAAACTACAGACTTATGCCAACAAAATTAATGCATTTTACAAGTGACAAATGAGATTTAGTGAATACATGCTGTAAAGATGGTTTTCAATGAAATAAAAATGTTTTAATAATATTACAGTTTTGGAAATACAACATAATGGTCTGACAATGGATTTGTGGGAATTAATTATCCTTTTACTATATGCTCATTTATTTGAAATTTGTTCTCGCCGCCCCTGTCTTTTTTTTTTAATATTTATTTATTATGTATACAATATCCTGTCTGTGTGTATGCCTGCAGGCCAGAAGAGGGCACCAGACCCCATTACAGATGGTTGTGAGCCACCATGTGGTTGCTGGGAATTGAACTCAGGACCTTTGGAAGAGCAGGCAATACTCTTAACCTCTGAGCCATCTCTCCAGCCCCCGCCGCCCCTGTCTTTAAAGGGGTAATGATCCCTGTGTCTTTTATGCACTTATTTTTGTGTCTGTGCAGTACTAAGAGACAAATGAATACCAGTTTACTTTTTTCTGCTCTTAATATTTCCCAAAGTTTCATTCTCCAGTATTTTGAATAATCTCTAGTCAAACAGCACAGGGGTTGAAGCTCACCAGACGCTCCAGTTGTCCAAACTAAGCACCAGATAGTGAGGCTCAGATCTTGGTGTCGAGTAGTGCTTCAAGGCATGCTGCTCCTGAGAATCTCTGCCACAGCCCTAGGGAGTCACAATCATAAGACTCAAAGCCACAGAGCTCACCAAACTGACATATAACCCACAGGGATTACAGTTACAAAGTAAGAAGCACTTCAAGAACTTTTGTCATTCTCATGATCTTAAAAATAAAGTGTTAGGGGCTAGTGAAGACGGCTCAATGGGCAAGACTCGTATTTGATCCCTCAGGACCTGCGGGAAAAAGTAGTCCTTCCAGCTGTCTTCAGACCTCCACTGGCACACCAGGGCATGATCTATCCCTCACTCGCCCACACACATGCACACAAAATAAATAAATATGTTAAAAAAAAAAAGTAGGGCTGGAGAGATGGCTCAGTGGTTAAGAGTACTGGCTTCTCTTCCAGAGGTCCTGAGTTCAATTCCCAGCAACCACATAGTGGCTCACAACCATCTGTAATGAGATCTGGTGCCCTCTTCTGGCCTGCAGGCATACATGGAGGCAGAATGTTATATACATAATAAATAAATAAATCTTTAAAAAAAAAAGTAGACTCAGCTGGGCGAATACCTTTAGTTCCAGCACTCAGGAGGCGGAGGCAGGAGGATCTCTGTGAGTTTGTGGCTGGCCTGGTCTACAGAGCGAGTGTCAGAACAAGTTCCAAAGCTACACAGAGAAACCTTGTCCCGAAAAACATACACAAATAAAATCTTAATTTCTTATTTTAAAAATATTTTTATTTTAAAAAATGGAGCAAAAGTCAGGTGCACATCTTTGATAACAGCACTTGGGAGGCAAAGGCAAGTTATCTATGGCAGTTCAAGTCCCAGGATAGCCAGGGCTACACAGAGAAACCTTGTCTTGAAAAAAACAAACAAACAAAAATTAAAATAATTGGTTGTCTGTCTCATCTTGTGGTTTTCATGGTACGACTGGCCAGGAGTCCAGTTTCCTAACATAGACTTGCCATCAGTTGAGCATGGCCTTTGACCTCAGCACTGAAGAGGCCAAGGCTGGTGGATCTGTGAGTTCAAGGCAAGCCTGGCCTGCATAGTAAGTTCCAGGAAAGTGAGTTCCAAGTTAGCCAGAGCTACATATCAAGTCCCTGTCTCAGATAACCAAGGGTCTGAACTTTATTAGTACATGACCGTATCATCCACTATCTGTAATTCAGGATGATACATAGTAGACACTGAGACGTGATGTGGGGTGTCCTTCTGTATATGTGTTGCTTTTATTGGCTAATGAATATAGTTGTTTTGGCCAATGACTTAGCAGAGTAAATTCAGGTGGGAAATCCAAGCAGAGACACAGAAAAAAAAAGAAGGCAGTGTCAGGTCAGATGCCAGCCAGCCACTGAGGAAATAAGACATGTAGAAAATGAGGTAACACCACAGCCACGTGGCAACACATAGACTAATAGAAATGGGTTAATTTAAGATGTAGGAGTTAGCTAGAAATATGCCTGAGCCGTCAACCAAACAATGCTGTAATTAATATAGTTTCTGTGTGATAATTTGGGTCTGGACAGTCAGAAAACAAAAGTAACAGTCTGTTTACAGAGAAGTACCTACCAGATTCCTGATCAGGCCATAAGACCAAGGTACTCATTCTCTAGAAGCCTGAAATATAGTTTAATGACAGTAGCAACCCAACCCACCCACCCCAGAGTTATCCTCAATGGAAGGGAGCTGTGTTGTGGAATAATCTTTTTGTACACTGTGAAGAAATGTAATTCTGAGTGATTTGATAAAAAGCTAAATGGCCAATAACTAGGCAGGATTTTCAGGGCAGAGAGAACACTGGGAAGAAGAAAGGTAGAGGTCACCAGGAAATGCAGAGGGAGCAGGCTGGAGGACAGGGAAAGCCATGAGCCATATGGCAATATGTAGATTAATAGAAATGGATTAATTTAAGTTGTAAGTGCTAGTTAGTAACAAGCCTAAGCTGTGGTCGAGCTTTTATAATTAATAAGTCTTCTTGTTACTGGAGAGCTGGTGTTCCTGAAGAGAAGGTCCATCTACACAGCTGCTGTGATGAAGACTATAATTTCTTCCCAGGACCAGGGCCCGTTCTGCATGGGCACAAAGGCCTAGCCTAGCCCCTCTCTTCTACTCAGGACACATCCCAAGAGTGAGTCTCTCTGCAACGTACAAATGTCCTCCTGCGACTGTTTCTTAATCTCTCTCTGCCTGTTCCAGCTCCCTCACTGTTGCAACCACGGTACCTGAAAGAACCCTCCCAAAATACCAACATAGGAAAAAGTTTAGTCTCAGATTCAGCTGGCCTGAGATCACAACCTGTGCCCGCTGCCATCAGCCCACCAGACTGTCTTTACATAAGCCCTACTAAAGCAAACTCAGCGCTTCCTACAATCTCAGGTTTACTAGAATTCAAGCGTACCTGGTGGCCACATTTCAGACACAGCCAAACTGAAGGGTCTTCCGCTTCTTCCTCGGGCTTATCTTTCACTTTATTGTCAGTCTTACAGTCTTGGCAGATATTCCACTCCACATTCACTAAAGCTTTCTTCAAATTGCCTTGTTCCAACCCTTTTCTAAGGTGTCTGCACATTGTTTCTATGGAAAAAGGGGGGAGGGAGAGCAATACATAAGATCAAACTAGCCTTCTTGTGAATACTCAATGTATACAAATTTCAACATTAAATTTACTCTACAGCTGAGCTTCAGACTCTCAGAGCACTCACTGCCCTGACGGGCATTTGAATATCACACGACGGTGAGTAGTGGCCGTGGCGCTAAGTCGGGGCGGGCACTATCAACTGAGCTCTATGTTCCCAAGGGAACCACTATGACAAGGATGAGCGGCACTTTCCTATCTCCTTTCTCCTTTGTGATACACGGGAAGGGCTGGGGCCTCACACAGTGGACAGACACTACCACTGAGCTACACCCAAACTCTCCTGAGAAAAAGTTTTCACAAATTTGAAGTGGATTTTCTGGACTTATTTTTATTTCTGTATATGTGTGTGACTGTGCACAGGAGGGTGTGCATGCAGAGCGAGCCCAGGGGCCAGGGGAATGCTGATCTCTTGGAGCATCTGTGGGAGCCCTGGTTTGTTTTGTAGGTGCTGCAGTCCAAACTCCAGTCCTTATGACTGAACAGCAGGCACTCTGAACCGATGAAGCCATCTCTCAAGGACAGAAATTTTGCTGTGATGCCTTGAATATAATCACATCTGTAAACTCATTTCCATTTTTGCTTTAAATTTTGAAGGACAAGAAAAGGGGTTCTTCACTCATACTGTCACATCCATTCCAGACCAGACACTAGCCTAGTTCTCTGAGAACCTAAAAGTAACCAAGTCACGCCTCTTCCTTCTGGGGCAGCTCATTCCATCAGGAGCAGAAACATAAGGCAAGCATTACAATTTCCCAAACTGACTATCTGACACAGAAGGAAAGTCTAATGACACAAAAATTTCAAGAGGTAGATAAGGCCAAGTACTAAAGGATATTACAGTAATCAAAGTCTCTGACACTGGTTAAATATATCCTATAAACTGTTTTACATATACTCATCTCATTTAATGCTCATAATTACCTAGCAGGAAGACACTATTATTCCCAATGACAAAGGAGAAAATTAAGTATGTAAGAGCAAGTGACTACTGAATGACTATGCCAGAACCTGGAGTCAGGTCTTTTTATTTTTTAAGATTTATTTATTTATTATGTATACAGTGTTTGCCTGCATGTATGCCTGCAGGCCAGAAGAGGGCACTCTGTGGTCTCTCATTATAGATGGCTGTGAGCCACCATGTGGTTGCTGGGAATTGTACTCAGGTCCTCTAAAAGAGCTGTCAATGCTCATAACCTCTGAGCCACCTCTCCAGCCCCTGGAGTCAGGTCTTTTCACCTTACACTCCACACTGAAAACTATGTCCTCAAATAGTGAAAAGCAACCAGGCTGGGGGTACGCACCTTTTAACTCCAGCACTGAGGAGACAGAGTCAAGTAGAGTTCTGGTAAGTTTAGGCCAGTCTAGTCTATACATGGAATTCTAGGCCAGCAAAGCTATATAAAAAGACCCCCTCTCAAATAAATGAGTAAATAAGGCAAACTGAAAAGACTAATTCCCATATAAAAGTATGTAAAAAAAATGTATGCTATTCTCCCTAAATGGTGAAGTCATACACAATACAAAACTGACAGCCGGCTTGTGAATGGAAATCAAGTTAGGACAAGTCAATGAAGGGCTTTGGGATAAAGGGTTTGCATGGTTTGATGGAAACTAGAGTCTTAGAAACTAATCAAGCAAGCTGGGCAGTGGTGGCATGCTCCTTTAATCCAGCACTTGGGAGGCAGAGGCAGGCAGACCTCAGTGAGTTTGAGGCCAGCCTGGTCTATGAAGCAAGTTCCAGGACAGCCAGGACTGTTACACAGAGAAACCCTGTCTAGAGGACCTGTGTTTCCAACCCCAGTAGCCACATGATGCCTCACAAACATGTCTAAGTCCAGCTTCCCAGCATCCAGTGCTCTCTTCAGCCCTCCACAGGCACTCCCTAGATATGATGCATAAAGCATACATGCAGTAAAAAGACCCATACACATAAAATTAAAAATTTTTAAAAAGTAAATAGGGTTGGAAAGACGGGTCAGTGGTTCAGAATACGTGTTGCCCTTCCAAAGGCCCTGTGGTTCCAATCCCAGGACCAAACATGGCATCCACTGTCTCTAATTCCAGAGGCTCTGATACACTCTTCTGGCCTTTACAAACATGGCACCCACTATCTCCAATTCCAGAGGCTCTGACACCTCTTCTGGCCTTTTACAAGCACTGCACACACATGGTGCACAGGCTACAAGCAGGCAGTACATTTAACAAAAGTAAAATTTAAAAATAAATTGCAAAACCCTGATTACATAATAATATATACATCACCTAACATATCACCTAGGGGGCTGGAGAGATGATCAGAAGAGCAATGGCTACTCTTCTAAGAGGCCTGGGTTTGAGTCCTAGCACCTACATAGTGGCTCAGAACCCGCTAATACAGGGAATATGATGCCCTCTTCTGGCCTCTGAGAGTACTACATGCACACAGTACAGACATGCATACAAGGAAAAGCACCCAGTACTGTGGAATATTCCTTTACACTGTGTGAATATGTGTTACTGTGACTGGGTTAAGGAAAAGTCGAGTTGACTGGCCAAAAGCTGGACAGGTAGAGGTTAGGCAGGATTTGCAGGGGAAGAAAGGAGTGAAGAAGAGGAGTCTCTCAGAGTTGAGAGAAGACGAGGAAAGGGAAAGAATTTGTCATACTGAGAAAAGGTATTGAGCAATGTGGCAGAATGCAGATAAGAAATATGGATTATTTAGTTAATTAGTTAGTAAGTAAGAAGTCTGAGCTATTGGCCAAGCATGTATATTTAATAAGTCTCTGAATGGTTATTTGGGAGAGCTACAGAGACACAGAGAAACTCTGCCTACACAGAATACATACATAAAAATAAATCTAACAGAAAACTCATTTAGGTATAGTAACAGGCTTTAACAACAAAGGTAAAATATACCTGCAGACTCTGAGGAAGCCGTAGCTGGGACATTTCTCCCCTTTGTTCGTTTCTTTCCCATGCTGGCACTTCATGGATGGCTCACTGACACAAAATTACAACCTAGAGAGCAAGAGAAACCGGGCTTGACAAAAACAAAAGAAAGGTTTCTATGGTTAGAAGCCACAGTCAATGCTTTGCATGCCTATTGCACCTTACAAGTCAGGAACACCACGGATACCCCATCAAACTTTAAACATATATAAATAATATATTATTTTTTTCTTTTTTCAAAAATACTATCATTTTTCATTTTACATACCAGTCCCAGTTCCCACTCCCTCCTCTCCTCCCATCCCTTCCACCTAATCTCCCACTCCACACCCCCCATTCACTCCTCAGAGAGGGTAAGGCACTACCATCAAAGTTTTAATAATGAATTTTTGTTTTTGTTTTTGTTTTGTGACAGGGTTTCTGTGTGTAGCCCTGGCTGTCCTGGAACTTGCTCTATAGACCAGGCTGGCCTTGAACTCAAGAGATCTACCTGACTCTGCCTCCTGGAATTAAAGGCATGTACCACCACCACCTAGCTAAGCTAATAATAACACTTAAGTGCATAGAAATACAGTATCATCCTGTTGTTCAGACTATGGGAAAGTGACTAAGGGATTTTTTTTGTAAAAAAAAATGTTAAGGGCAAAGGTCCCAATCTTCTTAGACCTATCTTAAAATGTTTCAATGCCTAACATTAAAAGATATTCAACTCCTCATCACATAAATATTGTTCTGAAAATTATCCGCTGAGTTTGAAGTTTTGCAAGGTAACTTAAAAAGAAACATAAAATTCTCTTTACTAGCCTGTCTTCTGGGTATGGACAAGAACTGACTGCCTATTGAAATCATGTCACTGACAAACCCAGTTTGGAAGTCTATGGCTAATCTAACCACACATTAAATCTTTGCCCTTTTAGCTAAAATCTCAAAATTAGAAAGTATCAAGAGTGTTAAAAGAACTTACAAGTCTATCTTGATATACTGATTTTGAGCTGTGTTTTATGTGCTTCAGAGTCATTTATTATGGCTAAAAACTCGATGAACACTGTAAACACTTTTTTAACATTTTTTAAAAATTTATTTATTTATTATGTATACAATGTTCTATCTGCATGTATGCCTGCCTGTCAGAAGAGGGCACCAGATCTCATAGATGGTTGTGAGCCATCATGTGGTTGCTGGGAATTGAACTCAGGACCTCTGAAAGAGCAGCCAGTGCTCTTAATCTCTGAGCCATCTCTCCATCCCCTAAACAGCTGTTTTTACCTGAGACGCTTACTAAAAGTTTGACTGCACAAGTGGTAAGTAGTGTCTGCAGAAAATGCTTCCTCTGGGGCTGGAGAGATGGCTCAGTGGTTAAGGGCATTGCCTGCTCTTCCAAAGGTCCTGAGTTCAATTCCCAGCAACCACATGGTGGCTCACAACCATCTGTAAAGAGGTCTGGCACCCTCTTCTGGCCTTCAGGCACATACACAGACAGAATATTGTATATATAATAAATAAATAAATAAATAAATATTAAAAAAAAAAAAGAAAATGCTTCCTCTTGTTCTTTTTTATAGGTGTTCTACCACAAACTACAACTCTACTTTCAGTTCATTCTAACCTTAACTTTCATCACCATCCTTCAGGCCTTGATGAGATAGTGTTATTAAAGACATTCAAGACATCTGTATATAAAAAAGAGCGAAAGCTAAGTGAAACAACCATCCTGTCCAAGGGAAATCCTCACCCAGCTTTCTGTCCTTCCCAGTGCTGGCTATAAATCCAAGCCTTGTGCATGCTGGGCAAATGGTAGGCAACCACTGGTCTAAGCTGGTAACCCTCCCTTTACCAAGGATCACCTAAAATGTAAAATAAAATAAATTTTAAAAAATTGGGGGGGGGGATGGGAGCTAAAGATGTAGCTCAAGTGTTGAATGCACGCTTGCCACACAGGGCTCTGGCTCGGGCTGCAGCACCACACAAGCCAGGCAGAGTGGGGCATCAGTGATCCGGGTATTCAGAAGGTACACACAGGGGTGTCCAGAATTCAGCGTCATCCTTAATTACTACATACTGAGTCTGACGCCACCCTGGGATTGATGAGACTCTGCCATAAATATAAAAACATAATAAAGGAGAACAAGACATGTAAGGCTGTAGAAATACAATCCTATTTTAGAAAAATAAATAGTATCCAAGTTCTCCCCTCCAATCTAACCCCCCTCTAATCTGTACTACATTAGATTAACATTCCTCTTCAAAAAATGCAACTTGTATCATGTCGCTCTAATGAACTCGTTACAAAGCTAAAGGTCCAGGTTCACACTCTGGGGCTTGTCCCTTTTAATCTGGCTCCAAAGCACCAGCAGTCCTGCCGCTCATAACTCCTCAATAGAAACAGCTAACGAATTCTAACTAGACGGTGCCCTTCCAAAACCATCATAGCTGATTTCCGCAATAACCTTTTAAATGAAGATATTCACTCGAAGAAGAAATTCCGAAACAAAAATGGAGCCGCCGCTACAATGCCATTCTCCGGTTCTGAGAGCACAACTCTTTTCAACCAAGATCATCTCTTCGGTGCTTCCTCGGCCCACTTCTGCCTGACACCTAAAACGCTTTCTCCCTCAGGCCACATCCTAGCAATCCTCCCTCTCCATTTCAATGAAGCTTTAAGAAAACTTGCATGGGTGCCAGGCCTGGTGCCGCAAGCCTTTAATCCCAGCACTTGGGAGGCAGAGGCAGGTGATCTCAGTGAGCTCGAGGCCAGCCTGGTCTAGAGAGCAAGTTCTAGGACAGGCTGCAAAGCTACAGAGAAACCTGTCTCGAAACAAAACAAGGGAGGGAGGGAGAAGGAGGGGGAGGGGGGAGGGAAGAAGGGAGGGAGGGAAAAAGAGAAGAAAGAAGGGAGGGAAGAAAAAGGGAGAAAGGGAAGGAGAAATGAAGGGAAGAAGAAAACACGCATTATCCTTTGTTCCTTTACCTGTTTCTCTACTGTAGTAAATTGCTTTTCAAATCTTCAAATCTACAATCTAAACATGCTGTTCTTCTCTTTGCAATCTGGAACTTTAGGAGAAAGAACTGATTCGGGGCAGTATTTCTAAGCCTGCGGCAGACTGTCAGTACATAGTGGGTCCTCAAGAAAAACTTCCTGCGTTAATACATCGCAGTACCCGAGCCTGGACACGACGGCACACTCCTTTAAACCCAGCACTGCTACGGCAAAGCTGGCGGTTAGAAAGTTCCAGGCCAGCCAGAGTTACACACCGAGTGAGGCTGTCTCAAAAAAACAGGCACACATACGACCAAACACGAAGAGCGCCTGAAAAGAGAAGGCACAACTGCGGGTGGGAAGGACGCAGGTGGACAATTAAGTCAAAAGCCTACAGTTGTGAAAACAGCACCAGAAAATCTGGTTGAAGGACTGCCTGCCTTTTCCTTTGAGTCAGCAAAGGGAAACTTGAAAGGCAAATTTTAATTAGGGCAAGGAGTGGACCTGAGGAGTCAGTCGATGCTACTGAAGGGCACACAGTAAAATTCTGACGGCTAAGAGGGCAACTGAGTCGTGGGACTGGGTGCTTGAAAACATGAATGTTCTGTCGGATGAGTTTTCAGATAAGAATGGGCCTCTTGGACCCAATTTACTCGCTCGCGACTCCGTGCCACGCAGAAATCAAAACTCCTCCTGTCCCCTCTCGTGTGAAGCCGGCTGCTCTCCTCCCCTGCCCTCCCGGTCTTCCTCTGCCTGAGCGGCGCCGCGGCAAAGGCGTGTGGAGAACCTGGTCAGCAGGTCTCCCCGAAACGTGGCTCTCGCCTTTGGACGTCGGCTGTCCCCCACAGGTGACAGAGCCGGGCGCGCTTCCAATCCGCATGCTGTCACCGGGCGCTGGCCGGAGCTCGCACGCCAGCCGCCCAGCCAGCCCCCTTCCCGGCGCCCGCCGGCCCCTCCAACTGCTCGGTGGGTGACCACGGGGCAGGCCGGCCGCACAGGCCGGGGACGCGGGCCCCGCGAGTCCCCCGCCGCCCCCGGGGGACTGACAGCACCCGCAGCCCAAGGCGCCGCGGCTCTGGCCGGCCGGCCGGGGAGTGGAGGGCGGCGGGGCGGGCAGGCCGGGCGAGCGGCGGCCGCCGCCGGTACTCACCCGGGAGCACGGCGCCCATAACTGCCTTCGGCGACGGGCCGGGAGCCGGCTGCCAGCTCCGCTTCCTCCTGGTGACGAAGAGAGAGCTACCCCACCGAGCCAGTCACGCTACGGGACCGGCGGCTTCCGGAACGCGGCCTTGTGGGAAATGGCTCGGCCCGGGGGAGAATATCCGACGCCCCCGCTCCGAGCCTGCGCGGACTGCCCGTCGAGGCTGAGGTTGACCGACTGAGGGGTGGTTTAAATCCTCTTAGAGGGCGGTGTCAGGTAGATGGTTTCTTCTCTTAAATGCGTTGCTTCATGGCTGAGAGCAACATGCAGAAGCCCCTCATTTCCCTTAATTCTTCTGTCCTATGCGCTTCTAAAATTGAGCTCGTAAATTGCCTTGAAATAACCTTTCGGCACCCTGAACAAATTAAAAAGGGGATCAGCAACAGTGAATCTTTTTTAAACACTGTATGTATTTGCCCGGCGTAGTGGCGCACAGCTCTAACCCCAGAACTCAGGAGACGAAGGCAGAGATGATCTCTGAGCTACAGGTCACCTGGTCCACAGAGAAAAAGAACACAGAAAAACCCTGCCTTGAAAAAAAAAAAAAGTAATAAGTAGCAAATAAAGAAATTGTATTTCTTTTGAGTATGAGTGCCTGTCTGTCGGGCAAAGGACAACTTTCTGGAGCTGGTTCTGCGCTACTGTATAACTTCCAGAGTGACCTCAGGTGTGGTGGCAAACACCATTTCCTCTCTAAGCCATCTCCCGAGGCTTAAGAGTGATTATTATCATCACCATCATCTCTATTATTATTATTATTTCATACAAGACATTTCTAAGAAGCCAGGACAGTCCTCAAACTTAATGACCTTTCTGAACTCAGCCTTCACCTTGCATCATAAACCAAAACCGAAAGGAATTGGAGGGAATGTCGGGATGTAAACTCTTGGAATACTTACTGCTCATTGATGAGAAATAGTAAGTGTGCGCTCTGTGCCACGCCTTCTGTTACACGAATTAAACAGACCTCAATAGACTGTAACCAGTGGGGCTATTACATACGGGTGTCAGGAGCAGAACCCGAGAAAAGAACAGTTGATTGTGTGTGCGAGGGCAGGTAAGGAAACCACTGATCCATTAGGGGAAGGTTTTATTGGGAGTAAAAGGGAGAAAATCTGGAAGATTCTAGAGCAGAGATGAAAAAGAAGTTGGCTGGACCTGGGCAGGACCAGAGAAGCAGGAGGGTAGGAGAGAATAGTGGAGATAGCAAAATAAAACGTAGCCAGAGTAGGCAGGGGCAAGGGTACCGGAGCCAAGAGTCGGGAGTCGGGACCTGAGGTGAGAAGGGACAGGAGGCTGGTGTGAGGGCTTTGAGATAGATGTATAATAGCTGCTTATCAATGGGGGTTGAGGGAGCACCTGGAGGTTAACATGTACTTTGATATGCTTGCAACCAAAAAGTGTGTGCTAATAGAAAATCATATGTCCCTCCGGCCAGAGGTAAGGGAAATGGGTCCTTTTGGGGAGAAAACTTATATTTCCGAAGGGTGTTGGCTTTTATCTATCAGAAATTCTTCTATAGTTCACCTTTAACTCATTTCTGGACATATGGACTTCTTGAGATCTAACAGATTATAAGTGAAATATTTAACCACTAGTCATCTGTAGCTCGAATTCTAATTGATCGTAATCATAAAAACCCAGAGTCAGATATTAAGGGGTAAAAGCTGAAAGAGCCAGAGAAGCAGTGCAGCCAGCCACTAGAGAGACTTTTTATCTCTCCCGAATGCTCGGACCAAAGTGGGCAAGATCCTGTCTCCACAAATCCTCAGACTGAATGGGGTGTCCTGCCTCTGCCTCCCGTCACCACCTGGCCCTTTGTTTCTGTTGTTGTGGAACTTATTCTTCAACTACAAGCAGAAACCTTAACCTACACAGGACCAACAGGAACTTAGTCTTAATAGTCGTTACTGCAAACAGAACCCTTAGCCAGCAAAGTTTAGTTTTTCTGTTTTGCTCTCATATCTTATTTTCTTTTTTTTTTAAAAAAAATATTTATTTATTATGTATACAATATTCTGTCTGCCTGTATGCCTGTATGCCAGAAGGGGGCACCAGACCCCATTATAGATGGTTGTGAGCCACCATGTGGTTGGTGGGAATTGAATTCAGGACCTTTGGAAGACCAAGCAATGCTCTTAACCTCTGAGCCATCTCTCCAGCCTCTCATACCTTATTTTCTATCTCTGCCAATTAACCTTTATTTCAACACATTTATTTGTATGTTTCCAAGTAAGTGTGTGTGTATACATACACATACATATGCAATATGGGGAAAGATATACATATTTGTTTATAATTCTAGTATCCAGAAGTATTTAACATACTAATTACTTCTTAAATATTGAGAAAATGTATTCATTATACATTTCAACAAAATGCCGTATAAGAATATTCACATAAGCTGGGTGGTGGTGGAGCATGCCTATAATATCAGCACTTGGGAGACAAAAGCAGGCAGATCTCTGTGAGTTCAAGGCCAGCCTGGTCTACAGAGAGTTTCAGGATAGGATCCAAAGCTACACAGAGAAACCCTGTCTCAAAAAAAACATTAGAACATGAATGGAATTGTGGCTAGATGGGAGAGCATTTGTTCAGCATGTACAAGGTCCTGAATTGGATCTACAGCACCATTTAAAAACAAATAGAAAAAAAGCACACAACACTGATAAATCTTTACAGTATTATGCTGGGGCCCCAAGATGGTTTAAAGGGTTATAGAACTTTTTGCTAAGCCTGAGGACCTGAGTCTAAAATTCAGGAAAGAACCAAACTCCTTCGATTTGTATTCTGACTTCTATACTCGAGCCTTGGTACACATCCATGCCATCCAAGTTCATGATCAAAAATAAATAAATAAATAAATTTAAAACATAATACTGAAGAAACAGAAGTGGAAGTAGAAATATAACTGTAACCCAGTATACGGAAAGAAAAATGCACTTATTGTTTGGTCTGACCTTATGAAGTTCTAGACCACACAAAGTGTGTGTGGAGGGAGCAGCAGTTCCTCCTGGAGAGGAGTGAGAACTAAGAAAGGAAACATAGAAATTTTGGGAGGTGACCCTGATAGACTATGAGTAACACAGATGTGTGCAGTTGTCAAAATAAAGCAAGTATACATTTAAGATAGACATTTCATTTTTAGCTAAAAAGTAAAAAAAGCATTGAACTCTATGGTTGTATATTTTCAGAGAACTGTTGACATTATACCATCTACTATTCATTTTTTAATTAATTTATTTTTATTTCATGTGCATTGGTGTCTTGCCTGCATGTCTATCTGTGTGACAGTGTCAGATCCCCTGGAAGTGGAGTTACAGACAGGTCCAAGTTTCTGTGTGGGTGCTGGGAATTGAACCTGGTCCCTCTGGAAGAGCAGTCAGTGCTCTTAACTGCTGAGTCTTCTCTCCAGTCCTACAATTTACTTTTTATAAGCTGGGACAATGCTGGCACAAAATATTCATGATGATTCCTAATGCATAAATTGAAGACATGACCGCTCCTCCATGTTATAGTTAAGGAAAAAATTTTAATTGTAAATATGAGAGAGAGAGAGAAAACAGCCAGGGGCATCTGGAAGAGTCCAGCACAGAGAGGAAAAGTAGATAACATGGTCAGCATGGACATGGCCAAGGCTATCTTTGAGTTCAAGGAGAAGAACAGAAGGTAGAGAACAGAGAAAACATAGAGAAGCAGAAGGAGGGAGGGAGGGAGGGAGGAAAGGAGAAAGGGGGGTGAGAGAGCCACATGAGCTTGATATGCGATACAGGCAGCCATATGTCCCTTCTGCCAGAAGTCAGGGAAATAACTCGTTTTTGTGAGGAGAACTGGCTCCATAAGTTTCTGAGGAATACTGGCATTTTATTTAATCACCAGAAATAGCCAAAATTAAGCTCATTTCTGCCTCTTGGAGTTTGAGGAATTGGAGTTTCCTTTGGACCTCACACCTAGATCATTGTTTTAGTCCCAAAGATTTGAGGAGAAAGACCACTGACCCAAATCAAAATAACCAATTAAAGAAAGCCTTTTTATTCATGTGTATAGGCTGCCTCCCTCTAAGGTGGGGTTTGAGAGGTCAGCACTGGACATGAGAAAGTCAAGGTTTTTATAGTTCAGGGATAGGGAGTTTCCAAACGAGCAATTTGGCAGGCAAATTGGTGGGGTTATAGAAGCAGAACATTAAGCATAACAAGTTAGTTATAAAAGTCCCCTGTTGAAGGAATATTATTTTAAGGTGTGTTACTTTTGTTATGCTGTATTTGATTAACTGTAGAGCTGTAATTCTTTGCCTGTCTAAAATACCTGATGGGCTTAATAAAGAGCTGAATGGCCAATAGTGAAGCAGGAGCAAAGATAGGCGGGATTAGTAGGCAGAAAGTATAAATAGAAGGAGAAAAGAGCTGAGTGGAGAAAGATGAGGACATCAGTTACCCAGTTACCCACGGAGTAAGAAGGAAAGATATACAGAAGATAGATAAAAGCCCAGAGGAAAAAGGTAGTCAGAATAATAGAAGAAAAGTTGGCTAGCAACAAACCACGCTAAGGCCAGGCGTTCATAACTAAGATTAAGCCACTGTGTGTGGTTTATTCGGGAGCTGGCTGGTAGACCCCCCCCCCCCCGAAAAACCAAAAGAGTAAAACATCCCACAGCCATCTCCTGAAACAAAGCCTTGTTTGCAAGGCAGTTATAATGATAGGCAATCATAACTGTCCGCTTCAAGCCTCCAGCTTGCTCCTGCATGGTCCGGAAAGCCCAATTTCTCTCTTTCTCTCTCCAAACCCTGCCTGCTCAGTGTCTCTGAACAAAGGAAAGGCACCAAAAAGCCCAGCTCCTCATTCTTCACGGCTATTTCAGCTTCCTTTCCTGATGCTGATAGCCACAAGAGTCCCCACCTAAGTGGTCAGTTTTTGACCATACTTGGACACAAACTCTGCTTGAAGTGGACAAGTCATCACCCCTAACCTACAACCTATAAAATCTCCCTGCTTTAGTTCGGGTGCACAACTTCTTATGCCTCTTATCTCTGGAGCTGGAGAACCTGCCCAGGAGTTGTTTTCCTCAATATACCTGTTGTTATACTTTTTCAGCTTGGCTTGGTCAGGCTTGCTGAATCGCAAAGGAACTTATTATGGAGGTGGTGGTGTTCAAAACCTATTAATAACGAGATAGTAATAGGTTGTTGTGGAATAATCTTTTCGTGCGCTTATTGGTTTAATAGAAAGCTGAACAGCCATAGCTAGGCAGGATTTCCAGGCACAGAGAAATTTCTTTTGCTAGAAAGAAAAGGGGCAGAGATACCAGGAGACGCAGTAGAAGCAGCATGGGCAGTACAGAGTAATGGTAACCAAGCCACATAAAAGAACATAGAAAGGTATGGGTTAATTTAAGTTATACAAGCTAGTTAGAAACAAGCCTAAGCTTGTTGGCAGAGCTTGCATTTGTTGTTGTTTTTTGTTTTTGTTTTTTTTCTTTGAGACAGGGTTTCTCTGTGTAACAGTGCTAGCTGTCCTGGAACTAGCTCTGTAGACTAGTCTGGCCGTGAACTCAGAGAGATCCGCCTGCCTCTGTCTCCTGAGTGCTGGAATTAAAGGTGTGCTCCACCACCACCAGGCAGAATAAGCATTTCATACTAGATAGCAGCTGCTTGTTCCACTTGGGGCATTGCTAAGGGTGGGGTGGAGGAGGGTGGGAAGGATGCAAAGGCGATTCCTCTCTCCACACCTGCTCAACTCTAAACGTTTCATCTAAAAAAGCTGGAGGAAAGAGTCGTTATATAATTGACTTGGCAAACCCCACAAAACCTCCAAGATGGAGCTAGAGAGCTGCTATGAAGCATTATCTTTGTGGGTTTTGTTGTTGTTGTTCTGAAAGGTACCAGTGACATCTACCACCAATGAATGACAAATGTTTACAAGCCATTTCTAAAATGAAAAAAAATACATATTAAGAAAAGTGTATTTCATATAGTTGGATAAGGAAGAAAACCTTTAAAAATATCTTAGCACTGGAGCACCCTTCACTGTCCTTTTATTAATATGGATTATAAATTGAGAGTTCTTCTGGGACAAGTGGTTAAGGTTCCCATTAACATTCAAAGTGGATGCTGGCCACTAGGTTCTCCTAGCATCCCTCAGTCTTTACTAGCTTCAGGCCCCTTCTGGCTGGCATACCCCACCCCCTACCCTTAACTTTTTCGAGCTCAGGCATTGGGCTTTACCCCAGCCCCACCTCTGGCCCCTACATAACTCAGCCATTTTGGCTATGCCAGTCTCTTAGCCCAGCCATCCTTCTTAGTTGGCCTCTTCTGTCCCCTCTCCCCTCCTTCTCTCTTCACATAGCCCTGCTCATGGTCATATTCACTCTGGACTCTCCCAGAAGGCTCTGCCTCTGGCCTTTTTTTTATCTACAATAAACCTTCACTGTACCTAGGATCAATTATGTCCCTCCTTTTTTACTTCTTTTGTTCATTTGCTTCTCAGCTTGGTCACAAACCAGGACAGTCAACATCAATCCACATGCCCACATCTCTACTGCTTTACTGTTTGGTGGTTCAGAGACAAGAATCACCACAAACGGGAAGGTTCTACAAACCCAGAATTTGTAATTATTGACACCACTGCTTAATCCCATGTGCGCACATGTGCACAGATAAACATTGCTCCAGTGGACCTGTGCTGGCTCCATTAAACACCACCGCAAAGCTCCTGAAGAAAGCAGAACAGCAACGAGCTTCATATTTTCATAGGATTAAAAGCCTACTGGAAGAAACATCAAATGTGCTTCTTGCGTTTTGAACAAGGAATTCAAATCTTTTTATATCTCCCACCTTGCAAGACTTTTAGACAATGTTTTACACTCCTTTGTACACCCAGTTAAAGTTGTCTTTACACAAAAGGCCAGCTGCTCTATTCCAGTAATTTGATCACCTGGAGCAGTGTGACCCCTTCTCCTCAGAACAGTGACCCCCTTTCCCTTCCTTCTTCATTTTCTATGTGTTGGTTGTTTTCAGATTATCTGAATTAAGATTATGAAGTAGGACCCCATTCAATGGGAAAGAAAGACAGTCATCACCTGAGTTGGATAAAAACCAATGCACTTCTTATCTGTGTTTGTTCTTCTGAGACTGCGCAAGAGTAAAGTTTGCCTTGTCTGGGAATGTTAGTCGGAACTGTGGTCTCTGTTTCTTAGAGACCACGAAAGAAAAGAGTTCTTAAGAGTAAGAAAACAGACTACGTCCGAGTTTTGCTTTTAACGTAGTTGAAATTCAACTACTAAACGCTTTTGTAAGCCTGGAATTTCTGGCTTACAAAAAGAAACCCCTTTTCTGGAAAAGCAGACCTCTCTTGAGAAGTGACCACCACCCATATCCCCCGTAGTACACACCAAACTGTTTCTTTCCTAAAGGCACAAGTTCTAAGTAGAAACCTGCAACCTTGGCATCTGTAAAATTTGCTTAGCTTCTGAGAAAATATCGTTGAAGCAGGACGGGTCACGTAAAGAACAGAGGACGACAATACTGCCTACCCTATGTACGCTACTGAATGTTTCTGCTCTAGACTCTCAGGCATTAGCAAGAATCCTGGCTCTCTCTGATCAGGATTTGTTCTGGTGCTTGCTGGCCGACGTCCCTTGTTGTTCCAGGAGCACTGCCACAGCCCCAGCGCCCTAAGACAATGAGTCCGGGATGGAAAAGTGTTAAGAATAAAAACCCGGACCATGAAGCATCTAGGGGGTCAAAGTATCCCTTTGCTGTCCCAGACATCAAACTAAGCAAGAAGCAAGAAACTTCCTGCTTCCGGGACTTGCGTCTTCACGCGCAGGCGCCTGCCCGCAGAGCTGTCCTGGCTTCCCTCAGGAAGGGTTCAAAGGTCGCACCGTTCTCTTCAGTCTCTCTGCGGGAGAGACCTGAGCTGTGGGTGCCTCCAGCCACGGGGTGTCGGCGGTGCGGCAGTCTCGACTCCGGGTGAGTGTGGCATCGGGTGCTCCTGCTAAGCGGAACTAAGCATCTCCCCGCGGGTGGAGGTGGGGGGGGGCTCGAACGGGCGGCCGAGGAAGCAGCACTTCCGCCCATTGGCCAGAACCGACCTCAGTGTTTCCTGGCCCCGCCCACAATCTGCGGGCTGCCCAATCAGTTGTCGCTGTGCCTGCGTGCGTGACAGCTGTATTAACGCGTTGGGACCCGCGCTTTGGTCGACCTCCTTAAATCGCCCAGCGAGGACCGGCAGTTGGGAGGCAAAGGAGGCGGGTCTCTGAATTCTAGGCTAGCCTGGGAGACCCTTTCTAAAAATGGAAACGTGTCCCCATTGAGGAAATTCACATTTTCTTTTACCTTTTCACAGCAATCACTTAAGTCTTGAGCCAGAAATTCTGTTTACTAAACTATTTAATTATTAATTTGCCTGAATTTGGGTTATTGCATAGGCGGAGAAACTCACAACCGGGAGTTTTCAAAATACTTACCAGTCTCTTATTCAGTTCATCCCGATTCCAGTGTGACCGGTCACAGTCACTCACCCCTCTGGCTGTATCTTCTGGCTTTTTGACTACATAGTTTGTTTTCTTCTATGAGAATGGCCATTATTGTAACCAGAAATTTACTGCATAGATTTTTGTGAATTTCAGTGAATTGTCTCTTACTTAATTAAAAAAAAATGTATGCGTTTGTGTCACAGAATGCCATATGTCTGCATGTACTCAAGAAGGGCATAGGAGTCCCAGGAACTGGAGTTACAAGCCATTGTGAGCCGTGCAACACGGTTACTATGGAGCAAACCCTGGGGCAGCAGGAGCACTCCTAACTAACTCCTAAGCTGTGTCCGGCACTGCCTCATAGTTTTTCTTCTTAGCATATACATGACAGCAGACTAAAATACAACATATGGAAGTAGAATTTCATATAGTAGAATATAATACATGGAAGAGGAAAAGACTTTGGCTAATTTTTTTTATTATTTTATGAAGGGATTAAATATTTTTAAAGGAAATGCCCATGGGCGCTATTGAATTTTCCCAAGACTGTGCATAAATCCTTTCTCCCTCCGTAACTCCTTAGGAGCTTGCCGATGTCTCAGCATGGTTGAGCTAGAACAGGCAGAGGCCCAGCTCTCTGAGTTAGACCTCCTGGCCAGTATGTTCCCAGGTGAGAATGAGCTCACAGTCAACGACCAGCTGGCGTTAGCAGAGCTGAAAGACTGTGTGGAGAAGAGGACCATGGGGGACCGATCGTCACAAGTATACTTTACAATCAATATGCACCTGGACTCCTCTGAGGATGCAAGGGTAATTCTGTTGCGTTTTGAAAAGAGTTGGAGCATGTCAAGACCTAAAACAATGCTTATAGCATTTTTCTCCCTTCTCTTCTCAGGTGATGTTTTCTCTGTCTTGCTTGCTTCCCTTTAAATACCCTACAGTTTTGCCCGAAATCACTGTCAGGTATGTTGCAGAAACCGTGCAGCTCAAAATTAATGTGGAAACAAAAGCAATTCTTGTGTTTGTTTTGTTTTCTAAGAAAATTGACTTATATCCCCCCCCCCACCCCGTGTCTTGCATCAGATCGGTATCATTGAGTAGATCCCAGCAGACTCAGCTGAACACAGACCTGATGGCATACCTGCAGAAAAACTGTCTCGGAGAGGTCTGTGTACTGAATGCCACAGACTGGGTTAGAGAGCATGCCTGTGACTATGTCAGCAGAGATGCCTCCCCCTCCCCTGCCAAGGAAAGCCCAGCCCAGCCCATGGATCTCACTCTCACGAGGCTCTGGATCTACAGCCATCACATCTACAACAAATGCAAAAGAAAAAACATCCTGGAGTGGGCAAAGGAACTGGCCCTGTCTGGCTTCAGCATGCCTGGGAAACCCGGTGTGGTGTGTGTAGAAGGCCCACAGAGTGCTTGCGAAGAATTCTGGTCAAGGTGCGCCTTCGCCTATATTAGATATCATGTCATTACTTATAATCTGAAAGACGGTACTCGAGTTGTAGAAATAAGTATGTCCCAGGGGGTTTATCTTCACGGGGATTGAGTCTCAAGTGGATCGTAAGGCAGAAGTCATATATAACGACACACGCATATTACCCTCCTCACCTAGCACAGTGCACACTCTGTAAGTACATGCAGAATAAATTAATCCCTCCCCCGATGCCATCTAGGACCTATCAGTGTCCATGAATATGTTCTCTCATTATCTAATGAATATGATAACCTTTCAACCTATGAAACGGGAATTCTTTTTGAGGATAAGAATAGCCACTTGCCTTATTCCTCTGTTAAATTTCTGAGAAGTTCCTTAAGCAGCTTAAGAGTCAACCATTTGTACTGTTCTAAAATAGGTGTGACAGTGGCTGAGTTTGCAGCTCAGTTGGCAGAGTGCCTGCCTGGCATGCACAAGGCTGTGGGTTCGGTCCTTCACACTGTTTACACCAGGCATGGAGGAGTGGTCACACATCTAGGCCCTTTGAAGGTAGAAGTGGGAGGACCCAGAGTTTACTGCCACCTTTGGCTACATACTGAGAATCACAGAACCCTCCTACACAATAAGTAATTAAATATTAAAAATCAAATTCTAGTGGAAGATCATAATGATGACAGTCAATGAGTGTTCAGATGGGATCATAACCAGAACCATTTGATGAAAATAAGCCCCCGAGATATTACCTTTTTATTTACAGGAACATGGACTGGTCAGTTGTTCTTTGTCCCTTTGTTATAATTTGTTTTTTTTTTTGTTTTGTTTTGTTTTAAAACAGGGTCTCACTATATCCCTTGTATAGTGTGAAACACAGTATGTAGACCAGGTTTTCATTTCACAGAGATCTGCATTCTGCCTCCCAAGTGCTGGGGTTACATACATGTACCACCTCCCCCAACGCTGAGAAGTGTATCTTATAAATTCTATTCCCGGTGCTGTAGAAAAATCTATTTTGAAATTTCCTACTTTGAAAACCTGTTTTTCAGACTCAGAAAACTGAACTGGAAGAGAATTTTAATCCGCCACCGAGAAGACATGCCATTGGATGGTACGAAGGATGGAACGGAAAAACAACGGAGATTTTCCACTTTTGAGGAAAAGGCCTTCAGTGTCCACGGAGCCAGAGGAAACCACATGGACTTTGGCCAGCTGTATCAGTTCTTAAATGCCAGGGGTTGTGGGGATGTTTTCCAGATGTTCTTTGGTGTGGAAGGACAGTGACTCAGTGGGTGGGGGGTGGGAGTCACTGTTCCTTCTTTGGTTGTTTCTTCCCATTCTTTCTCGAATTTTAATGTTCCATTCCACAATGTTATAGGCATGGGAGCATAAGACAAACTGTAATATAGTTGCAATGCATCAGTTAAAATATGCTGTGACTGAAAGAAGAACTGAGTTTCAAATTATAAAATTTCCATTTCTAACAGAGAAGGCTGGAGAAATGGCCCAGAGGTTAAGAGCACATACTGTTATGGCTGAGAACCTAAGTTCAGTTCCCAGCACCCACGGCAGGCAGCTCATAATCACCTATAACTCATAATGTCAGCTTGTCTGATGGCCTCTGTCCTCCTCAATGGTGCACGCATAAACATGCACATATACATACACTCAGGGCATCGGATCCCCGGAGCTGGAGCTACAGGAGGTTGTGGATTGCCCATTGTGGGTACTGAGGACCAAACTTGGCTCCTCTACAAGAACAATGCATACTTTTAACCACTGAGCCATCTATCCAACCTGGTGGAAACCTTTTGACGTGAGCTGGACATGATGGCACGCGGTTGTATTCCCAGCTCTTGGAAAATAGAGGAAAGAGGATCGGGAGTTCAAAGCCAGCTTGAGCTACTTAAGCTCTTTCTTAAAACAAAACATAAAACAAAAACAAAGTTATTCACAGGAACTTTTGCACAATAAATTATCTGTGAAAGTAATTTTGGTGGTTCAGCTTGTATTTCCAGGACGCTTCTGCCTTTACTGAGGAACCTGAGAACGCTGTCTGCTCTCGGCCTCTGTTGCAGCTGTATCTGGCTGTAGGTTATAGTGGCAGGATTCTGGGGATGAATTTGCATCTCTTTCTGCCGTGAAGTGGTGGCAGGAGAAGGGAAGGATGTCCGAGACAACTGCGGAAATGCCTGTCATTCTTGCCCTGTGCGGACCCAATACTAGTCCTTGGTGATTGCCAGACCTTTCAAATAAAATGAAGTTTTAAAGTCTCTGTGTTTGTTATCAGTAGCCAAAAGTTAACCTGTCACTTTTTTGAAACACTATGGCTTTGAAATTATAATATACAAAGAGTAAAGATTTTCCTCAGCTGTGGCCATTGGTCATTTCTAATTCTGTGTACTTAGACTTGGCCCCTGTTTGTCCTTGCCTCACGACTGAAGACTGAGCAATGAGCAGGGCTCACATAAACTTTTTTTTTTTTTTTTTTCCGAGACAGAGTTTCTCTTTGTAATAGCGCTAGCTGTCCGTGAACTAGTTCTGTAGACTAGGCTGGCCTGGAACTCACAGAGATCCATCTGCGTCCGCCTCCCCAAGTGCTGGGATTAAAGGTGTGTGCCAGCACTGCCTGCCATGCGAATACTTTTTGTTGTTTTTGTAATTTCTTTGCTTTTTCAGACGTGGTCCCAGTGGTGGGGTTGGAACTCACTATTATAAAGGCTGGCCTTGAAGTCACAGAGTTGTCTGCTTCAGTCTCCAGAGTGCTGGGATTAAAGGTCGGTGTGTGACACTTCACCCAGTTTGAGCTCAAGCTTTCCAAAAGTCCTTGAGAGTTCAGATTGTAAAGTTGTAGAATTTAGTTTTTGCAGATTAGAGTTCGATTTTTTTCATTATGGAAATGACTTTCTGTAATTTTATTTTCATAACCACCCTGTTTTGTTTGTATTAGAGTTGATTATCACCCTGTAGTGAATATATTACAAGCAATATATATATATATATATATATATATATATATATATATATAGCCACTGAATTAGTAGATAAAATATAGTAGTTATAATGCAGTGTAGAATTCAAAGAGCAAGATCATGTGACTAGGTTAGTATGAAGAAGGGTAAACACAGATGAGAAATGTTAGTAGTCTGGCACACCTTGGAAACCTGGCACAGTCTCCCCTCTGCGTACGGCAAGCAGTTCTGACTGTAAGCAGGTGTAAAGGCCCCTTTAAGAGACAGACTCTGAAACCGGGTAGTATTGGTGCACCTCTTCAATCCCAGCACTCAGGGAAGCATAGGCAGGCGGATCTCTATGAGTTCAAGGCCAGCCTGGTCTACAGAGTGAGTTCCAGAACAGTCAGAGACACACAGAGAAACCCTGTCTCAAAAAAACAAAACGAACGAACAAAAAGAGACAAGTTCCGTCCACTCTCAATCTTTCTCTTCCCCGCCATTCTTCTGAAGAGGTAGATTTCTACCTCTCTCCCTCTCCCCCCTCTCTCTGTCTATCTCTCTCTGTCATCCTCTCTTCCCTCCCTTTTAATAAAACCCCACACTCAAACTATGTCTACATGGTGTATTCTGTCACCCGCCGTGGTTTGGACCCAACCTACTACAGGGCACTGCAAAGGTCCCTCTCATGCTGTATCTTAGCAAGAATCTGGCTGGGTGATGGTGGCGCTCGCCTGTAATCCCAGCACCTGGGAGGCAGAGGCAGGTGGATCTCTTGAGTTCGAGGCCAGCCTGGTCTACAGCGTGAGTGCCAGGACAGGCTCCAAAGCTACCCAGAGAAACCCTGTCTCCAAAAACAAAAGAAAACAAGAATGGTTAAGCACAGTGCCCATGTTTATGTCTCCGGCACCTCCTCAGGTTCCTCCCTGCTGCCCACGTCTGGGCAGGTTTGTTACTTGCCCTGGAAATATCAGTTACTCCTCTGCTGTTACCGTACTGCCAGACCAAATGTCTAAGTTAGGGTTTCTGTTGCTGCGAAGAGAAACCATGACCATGGCAACTGTTATAAAGAAAAAAAAAAAAACATTTAACTGGGACTTGCTTACCGTTTCAGAGGTTTAGTTCATTATCATCATGACAGGACATGGCAGTTTGGAGGCAGGCATGGTGCTAGAGAAAGAGCTAAGAGCTCTACATCTTGTTTGACAGGCAGGAGGAGAGACTGCCACATTGGGCCACACTGGGCATAGCTTGAGTATACGTGAGATCTCAAAGCCCATAGTGATACACATTCTCTAACAAGGCCACACCTCCTAATAGTGCCACTCCCTATGGGCCATGCTTTCAAACACCTGCGTGTATGAGGGCCATGCCTATTCAAACCACAACAATGGTCTGTGTTTTGAGAGCTCTGACTCCATCAACTAGCAAAACTGGATAAATTCTGACATCCCTAGAGGCCACCGAAAGGACTCAGGTTGTGTGTGTGTGTGTGTGTGTGTGTGTTATGGAGAGTGGTGGATAGAGCACAGACAATAGATTACTTTTCACAGAACTACTAAATTTTTCCCAGTCTTGAACACTGTATTAAAATAAGGTATACAAGTGAGCATATCTCAGCTGTAACATGAAAGCAGTGTAGTAAACTCTTACATAGTTGCCTCCCTAAGACCTGTCAAGTTTAGATACTTCTTAAGTAGGCTAGAGAAATCCAGATTTTCTGACCTCCTAATTAACCCAGTTCTCTGACCCAGGTGATTTGGTTTATGCCTTTAATACCAGCACTCCAGAAGCAGAGGCAGATGGATCTCTCTAGTGAGTTCCAGGTTAGTCATGGCTACATTGGGAGATCCTGTTCCCAAACCATTTTTTTTTAAATTAGTAAATTTGAAAATCTGTGAGTTTGGTAGCCTATAATTCCAGCTCTTGGAAGGCTGAGGCAAGAGAATAGAAAATTTGAAGCCATCCTGAGTTATGGAGTGAGAACTTGTCTCAAACAGATAAAGCACACATCCTGTTATGGTACAGTATATGCAATGCCTTCATCTTTGGGCCCTATCCTAAAAAAGCTGATAAATGGAACATAAAAAATCCTTTAAAATTTACCTTTGTACCATATTATCATCAGTGGTTACTATTATTTTTCCTGCATAATACTAGAAAATCCTAATATGTTAGGTTTTAAGAGTATGAGAGGGGAAGAATGGGCTCCAGAGAGAGGGGCAGGGTTTCAGGCTTCCTTAGGGAGAACAGCGCTATCCTTTCTCAGGTCCATTACAGAGGGAGGAGGGAGGGGGCAAGTGTTGAATTAGGAGTCAATGGACCCAAGGTTGGTTCCTGCCACCTAACTGGACTAAGAGATACTACGCATCCTTCTTGTATTTCTGGCTGAGATAAAAAGTCTCAAGGACATTTCTGGATAATCTACAAAAACAATGAACCCAGTTAGTAAAGGATGTGACAGTTCTCGCTTTCCCAGCTATGCTTTCTGGAAGGACCTGTTCCCCTGTTCTCAGGAAGAGAGGGCGTATGGGTGGAGGTACAGGGCAGGTCTCTTGACTATGTGATCTGATGTTGTTTTTTTCTTTTTTTGAGACAGATTTTCCTGTAGCCCAGACTGCCCTTGAACTCACTAAGTATATGCTAAACTGACCTTGAATTTCTGTGGGGCTCTGGGCAGCCTGGCCACTTGTGGGGCCCAGGCCACGCAGCTGCCATGGCGGGCAGCACCGGGTTCCAGGAAAAGCCATAAGCTGACACAACCCAGAGAGGGTCAACATCTAAAGGAAAGTACCTGAAGTTCCAACCAGTAGATAAGATTAGATAAGACCATCAGAAGTCCCTGAGCCCAGGACTCATTGTGCTTTTGCCTACATCCATGGGCAAATATCAGCCAATCAGGGTCCTGAATCCTAGACACCCCCCCCCACACCTACTATGTTAAAAATCCTTCCCAGACTGGTCTTGGCACTCCCTGCTCTCAACTTCTGCATCCAAGCTTAAGCTTGAATAAAGGCTCTTTGCTTTTACGTACAAGTGCGGACTCTGGTGGCTTGGGGGAACCTCATGATCTGGGCATAACATCTTCCAACTCGATGTCTTCAGTGCTGATATCTGAGGGGTGTGCCAGCACCTGCTACTCAACGCTGGGAATCAAACTCACACTTCAAGCATACTAGGAAAGCATGCTACCCAGTGAGTTACTCTACCCCCTCCAAGTCTGCCGTTATTAATTTGACTTGCAGTATATATGATGATTATATATTTATATATAATTTTCCTTACTACAATTTAGATGCTTATACATTTATTTTAATAGCATCAATTCAGTTTGCTTTTAATTAATTAATTTGCATTTGTTTATTTTTTTTGATACAAAGTCTCACTATGTATTTCTGACTCTCCTGGGAATGATGTATATGTTACATCCAGATTGCAGGGTCCCCAAACCACCATGGAGTCCGCACTCATAAGTAAAAGCAAAGAGCCGTTATTCAAGCCCGAGCTTGGACTCTCCATCTGTCTGCTGAAGCAGTAGAGCGGAGAGTGCCAAGCCCAGTTGGGACCATAGTAGAGGTGTGTGTGTGTGGGGGGGGATTTCCAGGGTTCAGTACCCTGATTGGCTGACATTTGTCTAAGTGTCTTGGCAAAAGAAGATTAGGTGAGTCCTGGGCTCAGGTACTGGTGTGGGAGGTCCTTCTGTCTATGTGTTGCTCTTACTGGTTAATGAACAAAGAAACTGTCTTGGCCTGTTGATAGGGCAGAACTTAGGTAGGTGGAGAAAACTGGATAGAATGCTGGGAGAAGGGAGATGGAGAGAGAGAGAGATGCCATGGAACCACCGCCAGAGACAGACATGCCAAAATTTTGAGAGTAAGCCACTGCCACATGGTGATACACAGATTAATGGAGATGGGTTAAATTAATATGTAAGAGTTAGTTAATAAGAAGCTAGAGCTAATGGATCAAGCAGTGATTTAATTAATACAATTTCTGTGTGGTTATTTCAGTTCTGGGCTGCCGGAAAAAGCTGTTCCTTCCAACAAGGTAGCCTGGTGATCTTATTTAATCTTATCTAATGGTTGGGATGTCAGGTACTTCCCCATTCGATGCTGGCCCTCCCTGGGTTGTGTCAGTTTATGACTTTTTCTGGAACCCCAGGCTGCCTGTCACGACAGCTGTGCAGCCTGGGCCCCGTGAGTGGCCAAGTGGCCCTGGACCCCACATGGCCTGGGCCCCATTATGTGGGGTCAGGCTGTCCTGGGTCCCATAGTATAGACCAGGCTGGCCTTGAACTGAAGAACTGCCTGCTTCTGCCTCAAAAGTGCTGAAACTAGAGGTGTGTGTCACCATGCCTAGCATATAGTTTTGGTTTTGGGACATTTACATTTACTTATTCTTTCTTTCTGTCTCTACCCCCACCCCTTCTCTCTCATGTGTGTATGTGTTTCATAATGTATGTGGAAGTCAGTTCTTGATTTTTATCATATAGGTCCTGGGGATCAAACTCAGATCATCCAATTTGGAGGAAAGCACCTTTACCTGCTGAGCCATCTTGCTTGCCCTAATCCTGCCGATTTTACGTTAACATTGGTCGGGTGGGTGTGCTGGCACAAGCCTTTAATCCCAGCATTCCAGAGGTAGAGGAGGGTGGATCTCTGTGAATTCGAGGACAGCTTGGTCTACAATATGAGTTCCAGGGCTTAAAAACCTTAAAACAACCAAGGGTGTTACACAGAGAAACCGTCTTGAGAAACCAAATAAAAGAAAAAGAAAAGAAAAATACAAAATTTTCAGTCCCCACTCCTGTGCTGTTGCTGATCAGTCTCTTTGATGGTTTGAACCCTCTCCTGAAAGTGTACAGCACTCTCATATGTATTTGTGCTTTTACAGTGTATTATTATTATTATTATTTATTATTATTTAGATAGTGTTTCTCTGTGTAACACTCTTGGTTGTTTTAGTGTTTAAGGACCGTTGCTGCAGAGGACTTAAGTTGAATTCCCAGCATCCATGTCAGGTGGCTCACAAAGGCCTGTAACTTAAGCTCCAGGGCAAGCAATACTATACCATCTTCTGGCCATGGGTATTGCTTGCACGCACTCACACACACAATTTAAAATAAAGCAATTCTTTAAAATGGAAAAAATTTAATCTAGGTTCATATTCCTCTATTTGGCATATAATTTGTTTCAAACAAGAGCCACACATTGTATTTGCATGATCTGTCTTAGGACTTATTAAATATGTTATTTTTTTCCTCCTCCACGCCCAATTTGTTAACCCATTTTTCTTGTAGGATTTCTTACGTTCTGAATTCTTTGGCTGCGCCAATGTCGTTTTATATACTCCCCTGTACTCTGTAAATTATTACTTTAGCTCCGCTAGATTGTTTTTGATTTTTTTTTTTTTTGCAAGAATACTTAATAGGTCTCCAATACTTTCTATTGGATTCTATCAAGCTCAGAATCTGTTTCTCATGTCGATGATCGCATCGCTTTCTTTACTTCGAGCAGTTTTTAGCACAGTTGCTACCATACCATTCTACTGCTATCTTACGTAACACCATAGCTGAAGTCAAATTCCCACACACTAGGTAGGAAAGGAATCGCTTCGCTGCAATTACCCAGGGCAGGATTTGGCGCTGCGGGCCCAATCCCGCTTTCTTATTGGTCACCATTGACGCCACTCACGATGGCGTGCCTTCCCTGTGACGTTTCAGGCAGCGGATGGTCAGAGTCCTGACGGAGAGGCGGGAGCGGAAATGGGAAGCCAGAGGCCCGGGTGGGCGGGCGCAGGTTGCTACAATGAGTCCCCTTCCGGCACGGGGGACCGGAAGTTGTGGCCCGGCGGTGCCCACCTCGGCTCCGCAGCCCGAGAGCGCGGCCGCCACCGCCACCATGGGCGGGAAGAACAAGCAGCGGACCAAGGGAAACCTGAGGGTGAGGCCCGGCGTGGCAGCCCTGCGGCGCGCGGCCCGGGCGTCTGCAGGGCCGGGAGGGAGGCGTGTGACCTCCCCGTGTGTGCGTCCCCCGCGGGTGGGCAGGTCGAGGAGTTAGGACCCAAACGACGTTTCACGCCGAAGCCGTGCGTGTGGGAGCGCGCCCAGGGGAGGTGTCCCTGGGAAACGGGGTCAGCGTTCAGCCGGGTGGCACCTGCCCAGGTGGCCGAGGTTGTGTAGGAGCTGTGGGAGGAAGAAGAGAGCGTGGGCTCCGTGGGCTCGGAAATGTCCCGTGGTTTTCCGTCCCCGTCCCTCCCGGCCAAGGCCGGAGCCCCTAGATGGTATGCGTGGTTTCAGTCGGTGTCGCCCCATTGGCTCTGTGGCCTCCAGCTCACCTCGCTTTTTCTGCCTTGCCCTGGCCACCCTGACCTCGCCACGTCTTGACCCGGCCTGGCAGGTTTCCGATGCCCTTCTGTTTAGGTGGCTCTAGACACGTCAGTGCACCCTTCCTCCAGTGTCAGCCCCATTTTAATGTAGCTGTTGTCGGTGCCAACGACGCTGCGTGCCACATAATTTACTAGCTTACTTTATAAACATTTTAAAGGCAAGTGTTACTGCCCTTGTCCTAATGGATGATAGACACACGCCCGCCCGCACTGGTTTTTAGCACAGTTCCCTTTTATAGACCTGTTCACCGCCTTTGACTCAGTTAACTTTAATGATTCCAGTATCAAAACACAACAGTTACAGTAGGATCATTCCTATATTAAATGCTTTTCTGGTATTCTCGTTTAATTGTCACAGAATGTATTTAAAAACCTTATTCACAAAAAAGAAAACAGGCTGAAAAGCCAAAAAAAAAAAAAACCTTATTCACTGTTTTAGGGCAAGCGTATTAGAATTGCAATTTGCGTATTCTGTTTTGAAAATGTTTTGCTGTATAGCTCTGTCTGGTCTGGAACTCAAGTCTGCAGACTACCAGGAACTCAGAGACCTATTTGCCTCTGCCTCGAGAGTACTAGGGTTAAAGGCATCTGCCAAGCTCCGAAACCTCCATATTCTTGGAGTCACCAGCTGTTAATATTTGTTTACATTTCATTTTCTCTCTGAATTCATAAATTTGTATCACCTTTAGAAAGGTTAATTTCGGTATTTTAACACCCAAATCCTTTACCTTATCTACTCTAAAAGCAATTCCATTCTTCATATACCGTGCAAAACTTTAGCCATGATGGGCTACTTAATCATAATGTGCAGACTTACAATTCACGTGTCTACTAGCCTCTGTATTTTTAATTCCGTTTTTAGATAATAACATTTTAAAAGCATTTGTGACTCAGTCAAGTATCACTTGTTCCCTTTGGCTGCCATTTAATTCTTTAGACGTAGACTGTTTCCCATTTCTTGCCCCCTTGAGCATGTTTTTAAATGTCACAATAACCAGGAAGAGTTGGCATTGCTTTCATTTATTTAGGCTCATCTCATTGTTTCCTTATATCAATTCGAGTTAAGTCATTCGCATTATATTACACTAGAAGTACACAGTACTTGTTCTTGGTTTTTCTTTATCAGCGACACTTGCTTAGTGTTGACCACCGAAAAGTTACCTTTTCCCATTGGCGAATGACAAATATGTGGTGTTGCAGTCTGACGTTGGATATACTGTTCTTCAAAGTTATTTCCAAAGTTTTTAAAACCCTTAGGTGATTCTTGCTAGGATCACTTATTACTATGGTAGTTTAAGAACTTACTTTTGATATTGAAAATGATTCAGATAGTGAATTAATTGCTCTTACCTCATTTGAAAGATGATCTAACTGAAGTTTACAGTTTAAGTTCGTATACCCTGGAAGCTTCAGAGTTGGGACTTGAAGTTTAGTTTTTAAAATGCTATCTATTTGTGTGTGCATGTGTAGATTAGAGGAGGATTTTCAGAGGCCCATTCTCCATCCCCCTTTATGTGGTTCCCAGGATCAAGCTCTGCGTTGTAAGGCTTGCGTGGAAAGTGTTTTCACCCTCTGAGCTATTTTTTTCCCCCTTATTTTTTGAGACAGAGTCTGTCTGTGTAACAGTCCTGGCTGTCCTGGAACTCTTGTAGACCAGATCGGGCTGGCTTCGAACTCAGAGATCTACCTGCTTCTGCCTCCCAAGTGCTGGGATTAAAGATGTGGCCACCACTGCCTGCTGGTCTGAGACTTCTTAATGTAGCTCAGGCTGGCCTCAGATTTGTGATCTTGGTGCAGCCTCTTCAGTGTGGGGATTACAGGCCTGTACCACTAAGATGGCAAACTGCTGTTCTCTGGTTTGTTTGTTTTGAGCCTGGGTCTCGTATACCAGGGTAGATTTGAACTCATTATATAGCTGAGTGTGGCAGTGATTGCTCCTCTTTCTCTTCCTCCTCCTCTTACTTATTTATTTATTTAGGTTTTTCGAGACAGGGTTTCTCTGTGGTTTTGGAGCCTGTCCTGGAACTAGCTCTTGTAGACCAGGCTGGTCTCGAACTCACAGAGATCCGCCTGCCTCTGCCTCCCGAGTGCTGGGATTAAAGGCGTGCGCCACCACCGCCCAGCTTCTTCTTATTTAAAGGTTTATTTATTCATTAAACATACAGTGTTCTGTCTGCATTGCCTGCATGCTAGAAAAGGGCAGGAGATCCTATTATAGATGGTTGTGAGCCATCATGTAGTTGCTGGGAATTGAACTCAGGACTTCTGGAAGAGCAGTCAATGTTCTTAAGTTCTGAGCCATCTCTCCAGCCCCATGATTGCTATTCTCGAAGTATCAGTTTAATGACGGACACAGATTTATAAGAAAGTATGATATATTAAGCAATTATGAAACAGGCATGAATGGACAGACTGAGAACAGAGGAGAATGTTGTCTGGTCTGAGGGAGAAAAGCATTGCAAACACCAGTGTCTTGAGGGATAGATAGATAGATTGTCAGGCAATGAAAGGAAGGAAGGGCCTTTAGATGGAGAGAAGACTATGGTTGAATTCTGAAAGCTCATACTTAGGGAACCTTGAGTGGAATTCAGAGTCTTGAATGATGGGAGATGGGANGGGGGGGGGGGGGGGGGGGGGGGGGGTGTGGGGGGGGAGTGTGTGGCAAAGTATAGGGTATTAGAGTAGTTTCTGTATTTTATACCCATAGTAGACATTGAATAAAAGATACTGTTTGTACATTTAAGGAAATAGTTTTAAATGGGAAGCTGGGGATTTATACTTTTTCAGTTGCTGCTAGTTATCATTGGCAACTTGAACTTCAGTTTCAACACAGCCTTCAGTGGTTTAGTAGTCGGAGTTTGTGTTTTATAGTTTTATTTTTTTAATTTGTTTTTGTTTTTTTGATACAGGGTTTCTCTTTGTAGCCCTTGCTGTCCTAGGACTCTCTGTATACCTTGAATTCATAAAGATCCACCTGCCTTTTCTCTGAGTTGACATGACAGGTTTCTTTGAATAGTTCAAATGTTTGTTTTCTCATTAGCAACAGAACCCTAACCTGCAGAGTAGGGGACTAGTATATTGATACCAGTCAAAACATTGACTATGATTCGAAAAAAAGAATGTTTTTTAGAAAAATTGATTATATGTGTATGCATGTGAGTGCAGGTGCCCTCAAGGTCCAGAAGAGGGCAGGGCTTCAGATCCCTGCGGTTGCAGCTAAGGCAATTACGGGCAACCCATTTCTGGGAACGAGCTCAGGTGTTCTGCAAGAACAAACACTGCTGAGCCGTCTCTGCAGGCTAAATATGTCTTTTGGTTTGATCATTACATTGATTTTTGTGTGTATTTTAGTAATTTTGGCTTCCAGTACATGGAAATGAGCTTATCTGCTCTGAAGGGGTTCCATAGCAGCATGTAGCATTAGATCTCTCTCAGTATGATAAACAAAATTGGTTGGACCTATTAGTTTATATCATTATAAGATATATGTATGCAAATACTGTCTGTGTGGTATTTGGAAACTAAAGTTTTCATAAGTGAATATATATTTTAGGCTTTGAACTTTCATTCTTTTTCTTTCAAATGTTCTCAGTGCCCATTGATATCCTAGCACTTGGGAGACTGAAGCAGGAGGGTCAGGAGTTCAAGACTAATGTAACTACATGAGACTACCTGCAAAATCAAGAGTTGTTCTGATGTTTAGGAAACTCTAATTAGAATTGTGTGTGAGTGTTTTTTTTTTTTTTAAGTTTTTTTTTAAGTTTTTTGAGACAGGGTTTCTCTGTGTATCCCTGGATGGCTGTACTGGAACTCACTCTGTAGACCAGGCTGGCCTCGAACTCAGAGATCCACCTGACTCTGCCTCCCGAGTGCTGAGATTAAAGGCGTGCACCATCACCCCCTGGCAAGTGAGAGGATTTTCGATAGGCTCTTAAGCCAGAAATACTCATCTCCAGGGAACTTGCAGGCTCAGGCAAGAAGGAGTCCACTGTGGTAAAGATTCTTGTGAAAGAGTTAAAGAAGTTAGTTTCTTGGTGTAGTTTACATATTTATTCTCTTTTTAGCCACAGAACCCCAACTTTTAGAACTAGTGGAATTGTGTGTTGTAAATAGCAGTCAAACCACTGACTGTGAATTGTTATTTTCAATTAATGTATGTGTGCAAATGTGATCTGACTTTCTTTCCTGCTTTTCCTTCTTATCAGCCTTCGAATAGCGGCCGAGCTGCAGAGCTTCTTGCCAAAGAACAGGGAACAGTGCCTGGATTTATTGGTTTTGGGACATATCACAGTGACCTCGGCTATGTTCCTGCTATTCAAGGAGCTGAAGACATAGACAGCCTCGTGGACTCTGATTTCCGAATGGTGCTGAGGAAACTTTCCAAGAAAGATGTCACAACCAAACTCAAGGCAGGTTTTCATTGCGCGCACACACACACACACACACACACACACACACACACACACACCACTTAAGAATATATTTCTGGCCAGGTATTGGTGGTGACACACGCCTTTAATCCCAGCTCTTGGGAGGCAGAGATATGTTGGAGGAGGGGCCACTTGTTGGTCCCTGGCTGCTCAGAACACCGAAATAATCACACAGAAACTGTATTAATTAAATTACTGCTTGGCCCATTAGCTGTACCTTATTATTGGCTAACTCTTGAATATTAATTTAACTCATTTCTATTCATCTGTGTATCGTCACGTGGCTTACTGGCTAAAGTTCTATCTGGCTCCGGTGGGCCTACATGGCTTCTTTCTAATCTGCCTTTCTTTCTCCCAGCATTCTGTTTAGTTTTCCCTGCCTATCTAAGTTCTGCTCTGTCAACAGGCCAAGGCAGTTTCTTTACAAATTAATCAATAAAAGTAACACATAGACAGAAGGACCTCCCACACCAAAGTAGGCTGATCTCTGTGAGTTCAAGGCCAGCCAGGTCTACAAAACAAGTTCTAGGACAGCCAGGGTTGGTTCAAAACTCTGTCTCAAGAAACAAGAAAAAATAATGTAGTTTGTTAGAATAAATGTAAGGTTTATTTGTTGTAAAAGAAAATGTGCAATAATTTATCATTAGTTCCTTTACAGTTGTAATTTTTTTTGACACATAAGTTTAGTTGACATTGACTTTTGGAGTTGTAAATTAGTTTGCCGCTCTAAAACATTTTGAACCACATTTTGGAATCTGGCTATGTAATAATTCACAGTAGAGGAATATAAGTTTTTAAATTTTTATGGTTTTGCTATGTAGCTCTTGCTGACCTGGAACTTGCTATGTAGACTATGCTGTTCTTAAATTTGTGACAATCTTCCTGCCTCTGCCTTCTGAGTGCTGGAATTATAGATGTGAGCCACCATACTTGGCTGTTGTTATCTAATTATGCATCTGAGTGTTTTGCCTGAATGTATGGGTGCTATGTTCATGTGTGTGCTCCGGATCCCAACAGAAGGTGTTGGATCCTCTGAAGCTGTAGTTAGGCTGTGAGTTGCTGTGTGGGTACCTGGAACTGACCCTGGGTTTCTTGAAGAGAAAACTGTACTCTTAGCTGCTGACCTGTCTCTTTACACTATTTCATTTATTATTTATTTAATTTCTTTTATTTTTTATTATTTTGAGATTTGGTGTTATATTTCTGAGCTCGTCTGAGCTTTCTGAGTTTAAGTGGTCTTCCTCAGCCTCTATCCTTTCCATTTGTTTTGTTATAGTAAAGTCGAAAAGTCTAAAAGTTCAGTTTCTACTATAATGGATGGTGAATTTTTTTTTGTTTCCTTGACACAGATAGAAATAATATATTCTCCTTTTAAATAAAGTAGACTAAACTTCCAGAACAAAAGAAAGAAAATGAGGAGGCAGTGTTACATTTGTTAATCCTTGACGATGTTAATTATTTTCAGGCAATGCAAGAGTTTGGAACTATGTGCACAGAAAGAGACACAGAAGCTGTAAAAGGGGTCCTCCCGTACTGGCCAAGAATCTTCTGCAAAATTTCCCTTGTAAGCATTAGAGTTTATGAGCCTGCTTTTGCTTAAGTGATTCATTTCTGGAGAGAGTTTCCATTCTGTGTTTGCTACAGAAGGTTGATAATGAGTTCCTTATAGTTACTTAGTCTTTGAATATCTCTTGGATACAATCTGATTGGAAAGGGGGAGAAAAGAAAAATTATGTCATATGATTGCCCGTAAAGAAGCCCTAAATCCTCAATATTTTAAAGCAGGCATTTTCTTTCTCTCTTCTTTGCTTTTTTTCTTTTCTTTTCTTTTTTTTTTTTTATGCCTTGTAATTGGATGGGGGCGGGGGTTATTGTTGTTTACACATGCTCCACTACTGAGTTATTTCCCTAGCCTGTCAGAAGTCGTATTAGTTTGATTATATACATAGATGAATTCCTACTGTGAGTCATTGTAGACTATTTACAGATATTCATATTTATTTTTAAACCACATTTCCATTATTAATAGGACCATGATCGCCGGGTTCGAGAGGCTACACAGCAAGCTTTTGAAAAACTTATCGTTAAAGTAAAGAAGCACTTGGCTCCATATCTGAAAAGTGTAATGGGATATTGGCTGATGGCTCAGTGTGATACATACCCCCCAGCAGCAACTGCAGCCAAAGATGCATTTAAAGCTGCTTTCCCTCCAAGCAAGCAACCTGAAGCCATAGCGTTTTGTAAGGAAGAAATTACAAGTGTGAGTTTCTGGAGTCATTCTGTACCTGTGTGTCTCAAGCATCTAAAGGTTCTCAGGTGTATGTGGTAGCTCTTTACCTGCTTTTATAAATGTGTCAAGAAGAAACAGATTATGTCTCTCTTCACATATACAGTAACAAAAGTTTTCTGTAACCTCAAAAGGTGTAAGGGATTGGCATGATGGCCCAGTGGGTAAAAGTGCTTACCGTGTAAGCCTGAATACCTGCGTGTTCCTTACAGCCCTCATAAAGGTAGAAAGAGACCTGATTCCACAGCTGTCCCCTGACCCCTTATCTGCACACGTGCACAGTGTGTGTTCTCTGTGGGCCAGAGATGGGAAAGGAAAACAAATCCTTATCTCTCTCAGATTTGTTAGCTGATTATCCCACGGTACTGCAGTTATAAGAATGATGAATAGCCAGGTGGTGCACATCTTTAATCCTAGCACTTGGAAAGCAGAAACAGGTGCATCTCTGTGAGTTTGAGACCAGCCTGGCCTACAAGAGCTAGTTGTTCCAGGACAAGCTGGGGCTCTTAAGGTACAAAGAAACTTTGTCTCGAAACCAAAAAAAAAAAAAAAAGAAAAAAAGAAAAATTACTGAATAACTAGTAAAGTAACCACAAATATTTAGTGGAAGATTTCTCTTGATGGGAATTGGAGCTGTCATAAAGTTCCTGTCTTTACCACAGTAGCAGCCAATGAAGGAGATAGGAAGAGAAAAATGACCAAAAATCAAACCTATGTCTGATTTGGTTAGTAGGTGGGTTGAGGGTATGGGAATTTTTATTTTATTTGTTTGTTTATTAATGTATGTATTTATTTGTTTATTTATTTTTAGATAGTGGTTTTCAATGTAGCCCTTGCTGTCCTGGAACTCACTCTAGATCAGGCTAGCTTAGAACTCAGAGATCTACCTGCCTCTACCTCCCAAGTACTGGGATTAAAGGTGTGTACCACCATCGGGTATTGGATTTTCCCAATATCTGATCAATATTGACAGTTCCATAAAATCTTAAGGTTTTGATGGTTTTCTCTTTCAGGTACTGCAGGATCACCTTCTAAAAGAAACTCCTGATACACTCAGTGACCCCCAGTAAGTTACGTTGTTTCTAAGTAACTCTCACTCCTAATACACTCCGTGCCCCTCCCCCCTCCCCAGTAAGTTACATTGTTTCTAAGTAACTCACATGAGGCATTTACTTTGTTGGTTTCCATGTGTAGTTTCAGTGTGACATGTTCTAAAAGGAATTCCAAATGCAGGTGAAATTATTTCAGAGAATGCTACATGGTGCCTGCTATGTGCTTTTACTTCAATTTTGGCTGGCTATTAAATTTGAATTTTCTGAGCTACATATGCAGTTCTATTAGAAAAAAATTTACATTATTTTTCTCATTTACCTTTGGCAGTTACAGCAGCAGGAACTATTGTAAGGTCTGGCATACTTGAAGTAGCTAAGAAGTTGTGTTGAAGAAGTAGTGAAGGGTTTTATTTACCTTTATGTTGTTGTAATCCAACTGTTGAAAGCTGCACTAAGTAGGCGGGTGCCTTCCCAGCCTTCCTAGAATCTCTTGGCATGTGCTGCCCAGAGAGCATGGTACTTGTGGTCACTTCCTCCATGTGTGCAAGTGTGGCTTTCACTTGAGTTAGTTGCAGAATGTGAGATTAAAATTCTGCCTGTGGACAGCCAGATGGTACCTCAGGTAAATGCCCTACAATCAATCCTAAGAACCCGAATTCAAGCCCTAGGACCTTCATGGTAGATGGGGAGAAACCTCTCCCCAGTTTGTCCTCTGACTTCCTTATATGTACGTGAATAAAAAAATAAAACCAAAAACAAACTCTAAAACCAAAACCTATTTATTTTTCAAATCCAGAACTGTTCCAGAGGAAGAGAGAGAGGCTAAATTCCATCGAGTTGTCACGTGCTCCCTATTGGCACTAAAGAAACTGCTTTGCTTCTTGCCTAACAATGAGCTCGATTCCCTGGAAGAGAAATTTAAGTCACTTTTATCACAGAATAAGTTTTGGAAGTATGGAAAACACAGTGTACCTCAGGTATCATAACAGTTCTTAAGATCCTTTTCTATAACTTCCCCTGATTTCACTGCACTTATGCTCATGTTTATTGTTTATGTTCAGAGTCATGCAAGCACACCTTTGTCATTGGCCTTTCAGGACTTAATTGCCTCTTACTAGATGGGTCCTGTATTTTCACCTCTTTGTTGTTGGGGTTGAACTGACGCACATGCTTTGCTAATGCTCCAGAGTCACTGCACATCGTCCAGCTGTGGGTCTCTGTGTTAATTCCATCCACTGCAAGAAGCTTCGGTTAGGGTTAAACAGAGCACTCATCTGTGGTTATAGCAATATGTCATTAGCATATAGTGTTTTATATAGAAACATATACAACAGTGTTTTCAAAAGAAAACTTTAAAGTTTGCTGCCTGTTAAAATGTCACTTATAGGCAATACTTTGCTGAATTTGATTTGCTATTAATTTTGAAGAATATACATAAATATTTTATAGGGCCAAATATTTATATTTTATTAAAGTTTTTTATTTATTGTGATTATAATTGTATCATTTCCCTATTCTGTTAAATTTATAACCTCTTTTTCTTTGACACACACACATATAAACATAAAGATGGTTAGTCTTTAATAATATATTCCTAAATACATAAGTACAAGCAGCTCAGTTTGTAAGTTCCTTGTATATGTATGACTTCAGGCTGACACTGGTACTGGATAGTCAGTTGGTGCCTTTGGGGAAGATGGTTTCCTCTACTTTCAGCATTCCTTACTTCCCTGTAGGTTTTTGTCTGGGGCTGAGGCCTTGTGAGCTTTTCCCCTTTTGTGTCTGTTGGTCTTGTCCTTGCTTAGGTTATGTTCAGGCAGCCTATGTGTGAGACTTTGTAACCAATAATGTTGCTTTTTTGACACTTCTAGGTGACAAATCTCACAGCAAAGCTTTTGTTCTTCTGGTTGCTGCAGTCTTTCCGCCCCTCTTCTGTTGTAGCTGTGTCATTAGGGGTGGGCTCTACAACTCTGTTTCCATGGTTGGATTTTGTAATAGTCTCCTCTTCCAAAGAGATGGTTCTTTGATGAGAGGCTGAGAACTACACTTACCTGTGGGTATAAGGATAAATGTTTAGAATATAGTTAGGGACTGTTCTGGTTTAGTAAAGTGGCAATTGTAGGTTCTCCAGGATCCATGGCTTTGCTACTGTAGGCTGGCTGACGGAGTTTCCAGTACCAGGCATTATTTCTTCCTTGTTGAGCAGGCCTAGAGGTTATATATGGCTTAGATGGAATGGAGTCAGATGGGTGCAGGGACCGAGATGGTGTGAAGAAGTGCATCCTGGTCCAAGCATGGAGTTTGGGGTAGATCTCTGGGGGTTGGGGTGGGGTTGAGGAGAGGAGGATCAGGTGGACTCATCTGTCTAGACCCTGGGGAAGGCTCTGTAGGATCTGGCTGAGTGGAGTATTGGGTGTGGTGTGGAGCCTGTAGGTTCAGAATTGGGGACAGGGAGAGACCTCCAGGAAGCCTAGAAATGGGTAGTGGAGCTCTGGATGTGAGACTACGGCTAGATTTGGGGGCTAGCGGAGAGTACATGGAGCAGGACAGGTGGTCTCACCAGGCATGTGCAGGATCGCTCTTCATATCTTTTCGATCTCAAAACGCATTATTTATATTCCACATCTTCATTTTAGACTGCCTTATACAGTCTTAAATGATAGCAATTATTTTGTTTTGAGCATATTGTTCCACTGTCTGTGATTTTAATTATTGTGTCTGAAGTCAGTTATCAGTCTTGCTGTCCTTTCTTGGGAGGTAGTTTGTCTTTTTCTCTGGCCATTTAAAAATTCTTATCTTTATATTTTCTTTTTCGTGGAACTCACTACGTAGATGAAGCTGGCCTTGAATTCATAGAGATCCTCCTGTCTCTGTTTCCTGAGGGCTGGGATTGAAGGCATGTACCATGCACTCAGCTTTCTTTACATTTTTTTAAGAACATTATTTTTATTTTATGTGCATTGGTGTTTTGCCTGCCTATGTGTCTTTGTGAGGGTGTCAGGTCCCCTAGGACCGGGGCTATAGACTATTTTGAGCCTCTGTGTGGATGCTAAGAATTGAACTCAGGTCCTCTGGAAGAGCACTGACTGCTCTTATCCACTGAGCCATCTCTCCTGCCACTCTTTACGTTTTCTTAACTGCAGTCTGAGATGTCCTGGTGTGGATTCTCTTCCATGCATTTATGTGTCCTGCTTGTGATTTACTGGGATTCTTGGATCTGTGTATTGGGGCATTTAATTGACTCTGGAATGCTCAGATATTGCCTCCAGATACTTCCTCTATTTCAGTCTTTCTTTCTTTGGTGTAATTAATGCAAGATGAAATCGCTTGCATATTATCTTGTTTGTCTCATTTGTTTTTCACAGTTTTGCTTTGTGTGCTGCTTGTGGATTCCTTTTATTCAGTCTTCCACTTCACTGATTGTGTTTAGTTTGCTTGTTTCAGCCTATCCATACTGTCCAAGCAAAATAGCGCAAGCTGGGTATTCCTCCCCCCTCCCCCCACAGATCTCATTGTCCTGAGCTCACTCCTTAGACCAGGCTGGCCTTGAACTCACAGAGATCTGCCTGCCTCTGCCTCCCAAGTGCTGGGATTACAGGCATGCACCACCACTGCTCAGCAAGCTGGGTAGTTTGTAAAAAGTAGAAATCTCATGGTTGTAGAGTCTGGTAAAACTCGATGTAGGGGACATGCACATGCTGACTTCCGGTGCTGACAAGCAATGTAACAGAAGTGATGCCTGAGGCATGCGACATGAGATAATTGAATACTTTAAGTCTCAAATGAAAGATGATCCTAACATGGTCTTAGCGGTGGCTGCTCTTGAAGAGAGACAACGGAGAGACACTTGAGGGCGAATCTCACCAGTGCCATAGAAAGACTCCTCCATGGCCATGTCCTCTGTTGGAGAGCTCTTCCTTTGCCTCGTCAGCCTCAGCTCCCTGGAGTACTGTGATTACTCCAAACGTGCGAAGATCATGATTGAGAGGGGAGCTTTTCCTCAGGAGAGCGTCCCTGTCAAGAAATAAAATTGCAGATCTGTGTCATACTTTCATCAAAGATTGGAGGGGGGGGGCACAGAATTTTGACTCATGCCTAATCCAGAGTCGTCCTGAGGGTCCCGGAAGAAGCCATGGCAGCCAAGAAGCTGTTCAGTGTGTCTATCATGGAGACTCAGCCTGATTTATCAGGGAAGAAAATGGCCAAAACCCTCTGCCACCTCAGTGTTCCTGTCACTGTGCTGCTGGATGCTGCTGTTGGCTATGTCATGGAGAAAGCAGATCTTCTCATAGTTGTTGCTGAAGGAGTGGTTGAGAACGGAGGAATTATTAACAAGATTGGAACCATCCAGATGGCGGTGTGTGCCAAAGCCCAAAATAAACCCTTTTATGTGGTTGCAGAAAGTTTCAAGTTTGTAAGGCTCTCAACCAGCAAGACGTCCTAGACAAGTTTAAGTTCAAGACAGACACTCTGAAGTCTGTGTAGACTGGACAGGACCTCAAAGAGGAACACCCATGGGTTGACTATACTTCTCCGTCCTTGATCACCCTGCTGTTTATGGACCTGGGTGTGGTGACTTTCAGATTTGTATGCAAAGGTTCACATCGGAAGTCCTGGAGAATCCTTTTAACTCAGCTCTCTCGTGTCTGAAACTTATTTGCAGTTCTAGAACCAAGCTGAAGCATCCTTCCGGTTTGCAGAAACTGACTGTTTCCAGAAGTCCAAGTTAGGTGACTGGCTGCAAACCCAAGGAAGGACAGCACACGAGTGGGGGCCTTCTTCTCATACCACCATACTCCAGGCTGGTCTGAATCAGTGACTGCAGTGACAGCCACTGAGAATACATCATAAGGTGCCTTACACAAGGCAGGAAACACTGCTGGCTGCATCTGGCTTCAGGCCTCCATCTCAGCACCGTCAGGCCAGACAGGAAAAACCAATGCAGGAGCCACCTTCATAGGATGGTGCTTACAGAGTGTCTGAACCTAACCTCTGCCTTACTTTAGACATGGTTAGGCCCCAGACAGTTTTTGTAAGTTAAACATGGGAACAAATCAGGATCTTTTCAAATAAATTATATGAAAAATTTAAAAAAAAAACATGTTGGGCTAAAGATGGCTCAGTGGGAAGGAGCTTTTGCAGAGGATTTGGGTTCCGTTTCCAGCATCAATGTAGTGGCATACAGCCATGGGCAAATCATTTCTTGGGTATCTAACATCCTCTTATGGCCTGTCCCCTCAGCTTGGTGCCTTTGCAGGCATGAAGCATGGGCATGATACACATAAATGCAGGCAAAACACTCACATATGTAAATACAATAATTCTCAAATTTTTAAAAGACTAATGAATATGGCATAAGAACAGACAGAAGGACCAATGGAACTGAATAGAAGACCCGGATATCCTTCAAACACCTGATCTTCGGCAAGGAAGCAAAAAAATATCAAATGGAAAAAAGAAAGCATATTTAACAAGTGTTGCTGGTATAACTGGATATCAACATGTAGAAGAATGAAACTAGACCCATATCTATCACCATGCACAAAACTCAAGTCCAGATGGATCAAAGACTTTGACATAAAGCCAGCCACACTGAAACTTATAGAAGAGAAAGTGGGAAGTACACTTGAATGCATTGGCACAGGGAACCACTTTCTAAATATAACCCCAGCAGCACAGACACTGAGAGAAACAACTAAAAAATGGGACCTCCTAAAACTGAAAAGCTTCTGTAAAGCAAAGGACACGGTCAACAAGACAAAACAACAGTCTACAGAATGAGAAAAGATCTTCACTAACCCTACATCAGACAGAGGTCTGATCTCTAAAATATACAAAGAACTCACGAAACTAGACACCAAAAGAACACATAATCTAATAAAAAAAATGTAGTACCGACCTAAACAGAGAACTCTCAACAGAGGAATCTAAAACGGCTGAAAGACACTTAAGGAAATGTTCAGCATCCTTAGTCATCAGAGAAATGCAAATCAAAACAACCCATCTTACACCTGAAAGAATGGCCAAGATCAAAAACACTGATGACAACTTAAGCTGGGGAGGTATTTGCTAAATGAGAGACCCCAGATACAGAACTCCGCTATTAAATAGGATATGTGTGAAAAATTTTATCCTTTCTGCCTTTATTCTGCCTTGGTAATTCCAAGTGTCTTTTCAGATTGTTACTCTTTAAGAGTAATTGTTTTCCATCCACTCCTCAGAGATGATAAAGCTGTCCATTAGTTGTTAACAAAGCCTGCCATATCAAGTTGAGGCAGGACCAATCCCCTCCCCTCTGTAAATCAAGGCAGAGCATAGTATTCCACTAGAAGAAATGGGCTCCAAAAACCCAGATCACACATGAGGGATAAGTTCTGGTCCTACTGTCAGGGGCCCAACAAAAAGGTCACCCACACAAACTGTCACCCACATTCAGAGGACCTAGTTCAGTCCATGCAGGTTCTTCAGATCTTAGTCCAGAATGCATGAGCTCTCACGGGCTCACACCAGTTATCTCTGCAGGTTTCCCCATCATGATCTTGACCTCCATTTTTCTTTTTTTTTTTTTTGGAGGGATGGGGGGAGTGGAGGGAGGAGAACTGTGGCTGATATGTGAAATGAATAAAGATATCAATAAGAATAAAGAAATTCACTCAATTTAGCCTATAAAGTTATGGAAAATAATACTTTTTAATGTGGGATGTCCTCTGTATGTGATGCTTTTATTGGATCATAAATAAAGCTGCTTTGGCTAATGACTTGGCAGAGTAGACGGAGTCAGGAGATGCCATGTAGCTGCTGAAGAAGAATGTCAGAACCTTACCATGTGGCCACAACATTGCGGTGATACACAGTTTAATAGAAATGGGCTAATTTAGGATGTAATAGGTAGCTAGAAATACAACTAAGCTATTGGCCAATGAATGCTGGAATTAATATAGTTTCTTTGTGATTATTTGGGTCTTGGTGGCCAGGAAATGAATGAGCAGTCTCTGTTTACAGTTTCTTTCTGGATGTTTGAGGTGTTTGGTAATAAAACAAAGAAAATCGCCATGAAAAAGAAAAGAGTAATTGTTTTTACAGTGCCTTTAGTTATATGAACAGGAAAGTTGTGAGCTATCTTAACCTACTGTTATCACAGCTAATTGTATCAAACGTCAGTAGGCTTCAGCTTAATTCCACTTTCTGTTTCTTTTTTTAGATCCGCTCGGCATATTTCGAGTTAGTTTCTGCCTTGTGCCAACATGTTCCCCAGGTGATGAAAGAGGAAGCTTCCAAAGTGAGCCCTTCTGTCCTGCTTAGTATTGATGACAGTGACCCTGTGGTCTGCCCAGCTCTCTGGGAAGCTGTGCTCTACACACTGACAACTATTGAGGTATGTAGCGACGCACATTTAGCTTGTTGGGGACCGCTTGCCTTTCATTTGTGTTTTTTATCCCAATCCCATATGAGAGAGCTCTTTAGATTGTACTATCTAAAACTCATTGGGAAAATGCTAAATGAATTTGATAAATATTTAAATGGCATAAATGTTAACATTTCCTTCTCATTCCTTTTTTCCCTTCCTTGCCTCTCCTTCCTCCCCCACCCCTTTTTTTTGAGACAGAGTTTTTGTATATCTTTTTCCCTGACTGTCCTGGAACTCACAGATATCTGCTGCCTGTGGCCTCCTGAGTGTGAGTGTTGGGATTAAAGGCGTGCACCACCATGTCTGGCTTTTTCGTTACATTTTTTGAAACATTTACTTTCTCACATGACCAGTTTTAAATCTCCTCAGGAAGCACAACAGTGTTGTGTGACTGTCACACATGACTTGAGTCTTTGATCACAGAGGTTTTACTTCATAAGTTAGTAATTTTACAATTCAGTTTTAATACTGCAGAAGTGTTTCTGTGTAAGGTCCACTTGCTCAGTGATTGTACTGCTGGAACTTTCACCGGGAGGATTTATGAACCAGAAATATGTTCATTTTTTTTTTAAAGAAAACAAACAGCTTTTATAAAAGTATTTTTAAATAATCTTCCTGTTAGTATAATAAATACATGATTATTAAATGTAACACATTTAAATTTTCAGATTTTTATTGTAATTGTGCTGAGAGATTTTAATGCTTTGCTTCTTAAAAATTTTATTTTTAAGTTAAAAAAATTGTTTTTGGGGCAGGGTGTTCTTCCATCACCCTGGCTGGCCTTGAACTCAGACCTACTTGCTTCTGCTCCCAGGGCGCTGGAGTTAAAGATGTATCCTCCTACACCTGGACTTATTTTTAGTTTTTATTTATTTTCTTTGAAGGAAGGGTCTTGCTATATAACAGAATGAAGCTATATGTGCAGCTGCATAGCATCCCACCTGCTATGCATACAGGTGCACCCTACCGTTCCCAGCTTGACTTTGTTTTCTCAGATCTGTTTTCTCTTAGTTGAGAAATATAATTTCTAATTACTATTGTAATTTTTTTTGGGGGTTAGGATTGTTGGATTCATGTAAATGCAAAAAAGAGTGTATTTCCCAAGCTGACGGCTGTGGTTCGTGAAGGTGGCCGGGGTCTTGCTGCTGTCGTACATCCTTACCTCTTACCGTTCATCAGCAGGCTCCCTCAGTCCATTATGGAGCCAAAGCTGGAGTTCTTCAAAAATTTTCTCACCTCTCTAATTACCGGGTAAGCAATTAACAATTTTTAACTTAAAAAAATAACACTTACTTCCTTATCGTGTGTATGTGTTCATGTGTGCGCATGTGTGAGGTTCAGAAGAAGGCTTCAGGACTCTTCTGTCTCCCGTCATGTGGGTCCTAGGGATTGACTCCAGCAGGCAGGTTCAATGACAAGTGCTGCTGCCACTGACCATCTTGCTGGCCTCAGTTCTGTCAAGGAATCTTTCTTGTTTTCATCTTCATACATTTCCTTCTTATTTGAATTTTGCCATTTTTTTTTCTTTCTTGTGTTTGTTGACCATTTAAAGCTTTCAGAGAAATAGAAATGACGGAGCAGAATAGAGTATCGCCACTGCCCAGGCTGGGCTGGGCACAGAAGAGCCTCAGCCTCAGCTTTAGCCTCCTAGATGGCTAGGATTAGAGGACATGGAATTGCAACTAACTCACGTCTTTGAAAATGGTCAGAGCTTCTATAAAAGGATAAATGCAGTTAAGATAGAAACAGATCATATTCTAAATGAGTCATGATATTATTGACAAATACAGATGCTCAGATTCAGAAAATGAGCTGGTGAAGTTTTTAAATGTTCCCTACAATCAAATGTTAGAGTTGTTTAGGACTTAGAATCTGGCTCACCTGCCTGGTAGCATATGCTAACTCTCAGGTGCTGTGCCCATCCACCAAAAATGTTTCTTCTGTTTAACACTTGAAAAAGTTCACCTCGGTCTCGACAGTGGTGGCATATACCCAACCCTAGCACTCAGGAGGCAGAGGCAGGTGGATCTCAGTGAGTTTGAGCCCAGCGTGGTATAAAGAGAGAGTTCCAGGACAGCCAAGGCTACACAGAGAAACCTTGTGTCTCAAAAGAACCAAAAAAAAAAAAAAAAAAAAATTATCTTGGACTGGATATGGCTTAGTGGTGAAGAGAGAACACTGGCAGCTCATACCTCTCTGTAACTACAGTTCCAGGGCTTCTGACAACCACACACATACATACATGCAGGCAAAACGTGAATGAACATACAATAAAATAAATTATAAAAAAGAAAAGTTGAAAAAGTTTACTTCATTTGTTGAATTTAGTAAAATGCATACATCTTAAATATTATAATCTCTGGTTATGTCTCATCTTTCATACTTACAGATGGATTGACACCTAAGCAGGAACTTAATTTTGAAAATAAGTTCTTTTCTTTTTATAATTTTTAACATTTACATCTCAGCAGCTGTGTATTTTGGTTGCTCTTAGTTCTTAAGTGTTCCTCCATCCCCACAGTTTCTCTGTGTATCCCCCACCTGCCCTGGAACGTGCTGGGTAGGCCAGGCTGACCTTGAACTCACAAGAGAGCCACCTGCCTCTTCCTCCTGGATGCTGGGATTAAAGGCGTGCCCTGTCATGCCTGGTTAGTTCTTTTAAGATTTGGTTTTAAACTCCTTCTTTAGTATGATACTCTTTTAATGTCTTTAGTGATCCTGAGTTTTTATTTTCTTTTTCTTGGAAGAATAATTCTCAGTTATTATTTCTTAGGCTGTCAACAGAGAGAACCAAAACAAGCTTTTCTGAGTCCTCAGCTGTCATCTCTGCGTTCTTTGAATGCTTACGGTTTATAATGCAGCAGAATTTAGGCCAGGAGGAGATGGAGCAGATGCTTGTCAATGAGCAGGTACGTGTGCAAGTCACTGTGCTCAAGCTCACTGTGCCTGTTTACATTGTTGGTAGTCAGCCTTCACGCAAGGATTTCACTTTCATAATTTACAAATTGAATAGTGTAGTTCTGACTGGGTAAGTGAAAATTTCACATTGTCAGTTGCTAGTATAATATCCACAGACTAATTTACCATATCCATTGTCTAGATTTAAATCCCTGACTGCTTTAGAGGGAAACAGTGCAGAACAGATTTTGGATGGTGCTCTTGGTGATGTGTAGTGTAGGTTTTACTTATTCAGTAATAATTTTGTTATTTCTAAAATGCTCAGGTGCACTTACCCCTTATAAACGGTTGTATTTGACTGTGAGATTCAGGGTAAAGAACAGGTTCTGTAATTGTAGATGCCTGAATGTTTGTTAATATCTTAGGTACTGTCTCTTTTTAGAAGACGTATGTTATGTGTCTCTGCATGTGTGAGTGTAGGTACCTTCCACGGCTATGGAGATTTCAAATCCACTGGAGCCAGAGTTAGGGTTGGTTGCGAGCCACCTGTTAGGGGTGCTGGGAACCGAACTCCAGTCATCCACAAAAGCAGTACATGCTTCTAACTACTGGGCCATCTCTCCAGTCCCATTGTCATCATCTCTTACCTTTCTTTCTTTTGCTTTTTTGAGACAGGGGTTTTTCTATGTAGCCTTGGCTATCCTAGAACTTACTCTGTAGATCAGGTTAGCCTCAAACTTAGAGATCCACCTGCCTCCATTTCTTAGCTTTATAATTCTGGAAAGGGGTTCTGAATTTTTCATACTTAAATGCCCTAATTATCTTTCAAATGACTTATACCCTATTTTATTTATTCATCTATTTTATTTATCTATGTATTTATCTATCCACCCATTTATTTATCTATTTATTTACCTGTTTATTTATTTATTTATTTTTTAGGCAAGTTCTTATATAGTCCAGCCTGGGCATCAGCTTCCTATGTAGCCAAGGTTGACTCTGGACTCCTGATTCTTGTGCTTCCACTTCCCAAGGGCTAGATATAGGCATGTACCAGCTGGCAGGCTTCTTGCAGTCTTAGATGTTTCTTGTATCTTTTAATTATGTAGGAAAAATGCAAAGCTGAGTTTAGAAAACATAAAACTGGATTATGAATTATGGTTGATTACATTGTAAAATTAATTGTGGTACAATAGAGTGGAATTGTCAAACTTTTTGAATGACTGAAAAATATTTGAGTTAAATTTTTTCAGATATCTGAGGGGACAAACAGTCATTTACCAAATAGGTATGTGTGTGTGTGTGTGTGTGTGTTTAGTGTATGGGTGTTTAAGTTGAGTGCGTGTGTAAATGCATTTCTCAGGGACCCACTCTTCTTGCCTTTTGAAGGTATATGTGTGTGTGTGTGTTTAGTGTATGGGTGTTTAAGTTGAATGCGTGTGTAAATGCATTTCTCAGGGATCCACTCTTCTTGCCTTTGAAGCGGGTTTTGAAGTGCACAGAATCGGATAGGCTGTCCGGCCTTTCAACCTCAGGCATCTACCTGACTTTTTAAATTTAAATTTTTTTTCTCTAATACAGATTTTAGGGATTTTAGGACGTCCTCATACTTGTATGACAAGCCCTTTAGCGATTGAGCTGTTTCCCTGGCCTTCCAATAGGAGGCTTTATTGTGTTTTAACATTGTTTAAGCTCTCTTGGAAACTGAAGTTTTACATTTTTTACCTTCTTTTTTAGTTGATCCCATTTATTGATACCGTTCTCAAAGATCCAGGATTGCAACATGTGCCTCTATTTAACCATTTAGCAGAAACACTAAGTTCTTGGGAAGCCAAAGCCGATGCAGAAAAAGATGCTGAAACTGTTCACAATTTGGAGAATGTTCTGCTAAATTTCTGGGAAAGACTGTCAGAGATCTGTGTTGAGAAAATCAGTGAGCCGGAAGCAGATGTGAAGTCTGTATTGAGTGTGTCTAACCTAGTAGGGGTACTTCAGAAGCCAAAGAGTTCGTTGAAGTCAAGTAGAAAGAAAAATGGTAGGGTCAGGTTTGCCAGCGAGGCATCTGAAGCTAAGAAGGAGGATGAAAAGTGTGCATCTTCAGAAGGAGAGAATGGCGAAGGCTCTGAAGGAGCTACGGAGTCGTCTCTCCTTCAGAGTTCCTTAGACCTTGTGTCTCCCTTAAGGAAAAAGCCCCTGGAAGACTTAGTCTGCAAACTTGCAGAGGTGAGCATTAACTTTGTCAACGAGCAGAAGTCAGAGCAGCACCTGCAGTTTCTCTCCACGCTGCTGGACTCCTTCTCCTCAGGCCAAGTATTTAATGTCCTCCTTGGTGACGAACAGAAGAACGTCGTCAAAGCCAAACCTCTGGAGGTAGGCAGACTCGCTCAAGAAAACCCTGCAGTGCAGTTCTTGTATCATAAACTGGTAGGCTGGCTAAACAACAGCCAGAAGAAGGACGGGGGCTTTCTCGTGGACATCTTGTACAGCGCCCTCCGATGCTGCACCAGTGACATTGAAAGGAAAGACGTCTTGGATGATCTAACCAAGGTATCACTGTCACATGCCTTTTGTGAATGTTTTTACGATATATGATAGGAACGAGCCTGCGTGGGTGCCATTTCCGGATTGCTTACTTGACTCTGCATGTCACTTTAAAGACAAGCAATGTGCTATGTACCGTTTGGGGAAGTACTGGGCTGGACTGCCTGGTATTGTCCTTTTTTTTTTTTTTTTGTTTTTTTGAGACAGGGTTTCTCTGTGGCTTTGGAGCCTGTCCTGGAACTAGCTCTGTAGACCAGGCTGGTCTTGAACTCACAGAGATCCGCCTGCCTCTGCCTCCCGAAAGGCGTGCGCCACCGTCGCCCGGCTCTGGTATTGTCCTTTTGTTGTGGATGCGGGGAAGCTTCAGTTATGTTGTTAAAGCTTTTCCGTTTGTCCTGTAACTTTCTGTTTCTTTTTTCAGGAGGACCTGAGTTGGAGTTCTCTTCTTCAAGTCATTGAAAAGGTATTTTAAGCCCCTCCCCCTTTCTTTCTTTTTCTGTGTTTGTGTGTGGGTATAAGCAAATTAAAACCACAGTCCTGTTTTCACACTGTAGTCAAGTGTCTGATAGAGCACATCCTTACTGTTGTAAGTTATGGCAAGGCGGCTCTGAGGAACCCGGTTTGTTTTTTAGCAGCTGATAGAACCTTGCGGATCATTGTCTAGTTGAGGCTCCAGGTTTCCGCCCTTTGTGTTCTGTAGAAGTGAATGCATGGTGCTAGCTCTGACTAGAACATGTCTGGAGCCTCTTTCCCTATCTGGAGAACCATTGGAGAGGTGAGGGTGTTTCAGCATTGTACAGTTTGCCATTTGATTAAACAAGAAAACTGGTAATAAAAGTAATGAGAAGAAATCAAAGGATGCAATCTAGACATTTTACAACGGCTTGAGTCTTCTTTCCTGATGATGGCTTAAATGACATAACGAAGTTTTCAACTGTGGGTGCTTATAATTAGCTACTTAAGAGACCCTCACAGCATGTTGACTCATTTTTCTATTTTATACGCATTTATGTTTTTCTACTTAATATAGTAAAAAGTACAAAACATAATTAGCTATCCTAATAATTTTTTTCTCTTTTCTTTTTTCTTTGTTAGGGATTAAACCCAAAGCTTCCCACATGCTAAGCAGGCACTCTGTCATTGAGCTTGCTTCAGTCCTAATTTCCCTGAACTTTATTTTGTGAAACTACATTGTAGTTGTCAGTGTAGCTTAGAGGTAGAACACTTGCCAAGTTTGTTTGTGGCCTTAAGCTTGATTCTTAGCTTCACAAAAAAGAAAATATTAAATTGACAAAAGCCCTTTCAATTGTGTTCACTTCACAGTGATTCCCAGTTCCACCAGTTTATGTTTGACAAAATATAAGTGCGGAATAGTTTTTACTGTTTACTGAGAATTACAGTAACAGTTATTTTCTACTGTTAGTGAGACAGTGACTTACCAAGCGCACCATTCACACTTGTTTATTTGGTAGCCTGTGAGCAAGCTGCTAAAAGGCCAAATGAGCTGCTGATAAGCATTGACTCAATAGGGAGAGCCAGTAATTTGATAAAAGTAAATGGATACAGGCTCAGTGGGTAAATGTGTTTGCAGAGCCTCATGGCCTGGGTTTGATCTCAGGGACCCGCATGGTAGAAGGGAAGAACAGGTTCTTGCAGTTTGTCCTCTGGTCTCCACACTTTGTTATAGGCTGTGTGCCCACACACATACAGTAAGTAAACATGTCTGTCTGTCTGTCTCACATACATACACCCCACAAACATAATTTTTATAAACTAAGAAAAGAAAGAGTAAACGTGTGTCCATCCATTTGACTCCAGCTGTATCTGCCAGGTCAGCAGGTGCTTGTCTCGGTTTAGAAGACCATCTTCCTGTGCAGTGTTTGTGAGGTCCCCGTTCCCTGGGTGTCCTGGCTTCTCACAGCTGCATAGTCTTTCTGACCCCTAACCTCATGTCTTGGTAACTTGAGAGACATCTTATTCAGAAGATTCTCTGCCAAGACAGAAACATAGAGTTTACAAATTAGGAAGTAGGCCCTGGTTGGTTGAAAGATTTGTCAAAGATTATAAGGCTAGTTTAATGATAAAGCTTAGATTGAATTGTAAGCGCTTATTATCTATATTTTTTTTAACATAAGAGATAAGCAGTTTTTAGTCACTACCCAATGTGCACTTGGGTTTTCTTTTTTTTCCAGATTGCTTTGAAATGAACCAAGTTGCAAATTCCTTTCTTCTCAGCCTTTAAAGCAAAAGAAGCTCTGGGAACATGGATCAGCATGGTTTTGGGGGTGGATTTACAAGTTTTTTTTTCTCTCACTTCTCCACTCAATGGAAATAAAAAGTTACCAGTATATACTTGGCCCTATGCTCTCTGTTTCAGAAACTCTGGGGAAATAATTTATCCCATTGTTAATATTGAATTGATTATTATTTTTTTAGCTTTAGAAAGATTAATGAACAAAAGTGTACAGTTATGAGGCTATTTATAGATCTATCTTCAGAGTTCATTCATTGTTCATTGAACATATTTCAGGGTTGGTAGCAGGTAACAAAAGAGTTTAAAACTGTCTCTGGGGCTGGAGAGATGGCTCAGGTTAAGAGCATAGGCTATTCTTCCAGAGGTCCTGAGTTCAATTCCCAGCAACCATATCCACTCACAACCATCTGTAATGAGATCTGGTGCCCTCTTCTGACCTGCAGGCATACATGCAAACAGAACACTGTATACATAATAAATAAAGATTTAAAAAAAAAAAAACTGTCTCTGGCAAGGACTCATTGGAAAGACAAGACACACAGACAAGAAACGTTTATATATATAAAACTTTCCAGTAAGTGCTTTATAGAAAGTCAGAAGTAAGGATCTGGAAAGATGGCTTAGTGGCTAAGAGCAATGACTGCTCTTCCAGAGGACACAGGTTCAGTTCCCAGCACCCACGTGGTGGCTCAGAACTCCTATAAATCCAGTTCTAGGGGAACTGGTATCCTCTTAAAAAGAAAAGATCTTAGTTGGGCAATGGTAGCACATACCTTTAATCCCAACACTTGGAGGCAGAGGAAGGTACATCTCAGGGAGTTCGAGGCCAGCCTGGTCTACAGAGTGAGTTCCAGGACAGCCAGGGCTGTTATACAGAGAAACCCTGTCTTAAAAAAAGTCAGAAGTAGTGATCTTCGTGGTCTAGATTGGATGGGGAGATTTTGAAAAACAAGTGGGCTTTGTACTGATTTTCAAATAATCATTTGATGTGTGGTTGTAGGCTAACATCACAAAGCATGGGAATGATTATTGCTGGCTTACTGGATGGGGGTGGGGCAGAGAAGACAGTAGCCTTCCCGGAACTTGGGAAGGAGCAAGAGTAGAGGGGAGAGTTGGGACCACATGATGGAGGGAGCCAGTAGGAGCCACATAGTAATCTGGATGCACCTTTTGATCTTGCTACTAATCTTTAATTTTATGTTTTTTAGGCATGTTCTAGTTCAGATAAACATGCTTTAGTAACTCCTTGGCTAAAAGGCAGTATTCTTGGAGAGAAACTGGTTGCCTTGGCAGACTGTCTGTGTGGTCAGGATTCGAAGCCCTCATCCTCAGAACAGTGGAATCTGCTAAGACTAGCGTTGTCACAGCACCTTAAAAATGGTAGGGACACGCTTCTGCTTTATAGCAGGGTTGATATTCCTTCTGTCTCCTGGGAGTTCCATGCTTTTAACTGGAATACTGTTGGTTAGGAGCTGTTTTCTCAAATACACTTGTTATAAATACTGTGTTCATTACATGGTATGACTTGAGTGATATGTTATAATATATATATATATATATATATATATATATGATATCTGTTAATAATTTTGATTTAAAGTTCTTTGAATATAACATAGCTGGTCACTCTTGAATTTTGTAGACTGTTGTTGGGTTTTATTTTAAAATTGCTTTTTAAAACTTGAGGATTTGTAGGTGTTAGAGGGCAGATTGACTTTTTAAATGCTTTTTGTCGTTTAATATGTACATACATGGCTTTAAAAAACAAACATAAAACATGAGAAATAGCTATATGAATTGCTAGTCCAGGGTAAGATATTTCAAAATGTGCTGTTATTTATATTTGTCTATTTGGATTTTTTTCCCCTGTAGATTACTTGATTGGAGAAGTATATGTTGGAAGAATTATTGTTAAACTTCATGAAACTTTATCCAAAACAAAGGACTTATCAGAAGCTGAAAATAGTGACTCTTTGATGTCTTTTGTCTGTGATGTGGCCTATAGCTATTTCAGCTCAACAGGAGGCTTGCTAATGCCATCATCTGAAGATCTGTTATTAACTCTCTTTCAGCTGTGCGCTCAGAGCAAAGAACGAACACACTTGCCAGGTAATAGCCTACTGCTCAAATGTTTTGTTGGGAATCTCCGGCTCTGACCTGCATAGTGAGTGTAAGTGCCCAGGCTTTATTAATTGACTCGTAATGTAGTTGTTAGTTTTAAGAATTTTGGGAAAATACCACTGTCATGTTTTTGTTCTAAAACCAGGCTAAAAATAAACATACAGATGACGTTTCTAAAGTGTGTGATTGATATTAAGGAGACAGTATGAAAGGGCCGTACTGGATGACTTAGAATCTTAGCCTCTTCACTCAGTAGTACTAACAGGGTGCTTCATTTTCTTTAAAATTACGTTCACTTACTTTGTGTGTGTATGAAGGTATGTGAGGGCATTTGTGGTTCCTGAGAGTATGCTGCTGTGTATGTGTGGAAGTCAGAGGACAGACAACTTGTAGAAATTGGTTCTCTTCTACTACATGACTATCATGGGTAGAATTCAGGTACTTAGACTTAAGGCCAGTACCTCTGTTTGCTGAAGACATATTATCAGCCTGGTACCCCTCCCCCTTTTTTATTTTCCTTATTTCTTTCCCTCTGTCCCTCCCTCCCTTCCTTCCTTTCTTCCTCCCTTTCCTCTCTTTCTTCTCCTCCTTCTTTCCTGAGACAGAGTTTCAGTATATTGCTCTGTGTGTAGACCAAACTGGCTTTGAACTCAGAGCCCATCTCTGCATCTCCAGTGCTGGGATTAAAGGTATGCACACCATGCCTGCTGCACCTAATCTCTTGATGGCTCAATTTCCTTATTTAGGAAGGGATAATCATATGCATCTTTTTTATTATAGTAAAAATCATTGTGTCTTGCTGTATGAAGAATGAAATTGAGATTGCTTTATAAGGACTAAGTTTATCTAGGAAAGGGACATAAAACATATTGATGAGGCTGGGCATGGTGGTGCATGCCTTAATCCCAGCACTAGGGAGCCTAAGACAGGAAGGTCTCTATGAGTTTGAGGTCAACCTGGTTCACGTAACTAGCTCTAGGCTAGAACAATAAATAAAAAATACTATCAACACATAGCTTTCTTCTCTAATCCTTGTTTAATACTTAGATTTTTTTTTTTGGTTGTTGTTGGCAAAGATAACTTGTAATTGCACTCCTCACAGGACAGCTCCTATTAATGAAGACGCTCAGGATAGGGAAAACAGCTGTCCTATCATATTATATTATTATGGTAAAGCTAGCTTGTATTGTGTGAATATGACAGTTACTTTTGGTAAAGAGAGTTTAATTTTGTATTTTGTTTTTAAAATAACATTTTAAGATCTCAGATCTGCAGCAAATTTGTTTCAGATGTTTTATACTGATTAGTTCATTCAGTGAAATTACAAATTATTGCTAATTCTTTTGATTTTTAGATTTTCTGATCTGTAAACTGAAAAATACTTTGCTCTCTGGTATAAATCTATTGGTCCATCAAACCGCAAGTGCACATGAGCAGAGTGCTTTCCTCCGTTTGTCTGTGCTGTGGCTGAAGGACCAGGTTCAATCTTCAGCTTTGGATAACACGAGGTAACCTTTTTGTATATCTTTATGTAAGATCTCACTCTGCTGTTATAGTTCACGCCCATCTGTAACTCCTAGCACTCAGAGGATCACAGCTCTGAGGCCGTTCTGGACTGTATGGTGAGAACCTGGTCTTATAAAGAAAGATGTTTGTATTGGTGTGAATTCCAGTCTTTTTTTTTTTTTTCTTATAAGGAAAACAGTTAATTGAGAGGGCTCACTTACAATTTCAGAGACTTAGTGCGTTATCATCAAGTGGTGTGCTGGCAGATGTGGACTGATACCCTGGGCGGGATCCTGAGCATAAGAAACCTCAAAGCCCACTCCCACAGTGACACACTTCTGCTAGCTAGGTTGTTCCCACTCAGACCAAGTCATACCTCCTAATAGTGCCAGTTCCTATGAGATTATGGGGGCCAGTTACATTCAAACTACCACAGTGTGTGTGTGTGTGTGTGTGTGTGTGTGTGTGTATGTGTTTGTGTAAATACATGGAAGTACATGTTCCACAATGCACTTGTTTTTTTTTTTTGACTGAAGTTACTCTAACCTTCTTAAATACGTTTTCAATAATAGCAAATAGATCAAACCGTTCATAGAAACATAGAACTTTCCAAAACTAGATAGTCCATATATTTCAAAAAATATTTTGTCTTAACACTATTCAACTGTCTATTGAAAATTCTTCTGCTGAACGAGCTTTAGTCAGTGGCATGGTTGTGGTATTACTCTCTATTAAAGATTTTGGATTGTTAATTGTGATCTTTTATGGCTACCCATACATTCTAATTGTCCTTGGTTGTTCATTTTTAAGATTCTGGTTTATAAGGATATTTTATATAGCTGTTCATATAATGAACTTGAAATAATGCATATTGTGTCTTTGGGGTTGGTTCATATGTTTTTATCATTCAGTAACATAGTTGTATTTCAAATATTCCATATCTAAAAATGGTTATCCACCACATCCTGAGGTAGAAGCATCACTCAGTTTCACATTACGGAAGTTTGATTATACCCCTAGTTTTGATTGTGTGTGTCTTAGGTGCTGTGAGGGGTAGGAAGGACCACTTTCTCTTTCCCGTCTCTGCTCAGGTGTGCTGTGCCTCTGATCAGATGTCTTTAATGTGTGCTAGATTGGTGAACCTAGCTGTCCCATAACTGCAGCAGTTCTCTGCCTCGTTCCTAGTCTTCAGGTCCTCTTGGCTGCTGTTGGTGACCTGCTGAATACTCTTGTAGCGAGCAGGGATACTTCTCTTCTTGGAGTCTATATTGGAGGTGTAATGCCCAGTGACAGTGAGTGGGAGAAGATGAGGCGGTCTCTTCCTAGTCAGGTATGTTTAACATGCAGAGTGCCATCTCATTCTGAAGTTTCTATTTCATGCATGATTCAGTATTTTGATCCTGGAGGAGAAAAAACAGTTTAAAGCCGTCTATTGTTGGTCATGCTTGTGACCAACCACGGCAACTCTTATAAGGAAAACATTTAATTGAGGGGCTCACTTAGAGTTCAGAGGTTCAGTCCATTATTATCATAGTGGGGAGCATGGCAGCCTGCAGGCAGATGTGGTGCTGGAGTAGTACCTCAGAGTCCTACATCTTACAGGCAACAGGAAGTCGACTGAGATACTGGACGGTATCCTGAGCATAGGAAACCTCAAACTCTGCTTCTTCAGTGGCACACTTCCTTCAACAAGGACGTACCCACTCCAACAAAGCCACACCTTGTTCCAACACCTCCTAATAATGCCACTCCATATGTGATTATGGGGACCAGTTATATTCAGACTACCACAAAAGCCTGCCTGCCTGCCTACCTCCCTCCCTCCCTCCCTCCCTTCCTTTCTTTTTCTTGTTTTTTTTTTTTTTTTTCTTTTTGTTTTTCAAGACATTCTTTCTCTGTAGACTGTCCTGGAACTCACTTTGTAGATAGACTAGGCCAGCCTCAAACTCACAGAGATCCTCCTGCCTCTGCTTCTGCCTCTAAGTGCTGGGATTAAAGGTGTGTGCCACCACCGCCTGGCTTAAAAGCATTTCCTACATCACTCTATGTCTCTGAATATTACAAACAGGTGTTATTAATGCAAGTATATCATTTGACAGTGGTATAGCCTCGTATAAAGAGGAATATGGTCTGGTTCTGTCTTAGGGGGGTCTTAAAGAAAAGTGCATGTTGATGACTGCTCTGATAAAAATTAAACTTCTGAACTACTGAGGATTTACATAAACTACATATTCTAATTGTCTCATTTAAACAAGAATTGCATGGATACATGAGTAAAAATTGGAAATCTGTAAATAATAATCAATTTTGAATATGTAATGAATTTGCATATAATTTAGTGTGTTCTGTTTGCAGTGGCTACACAAACCTCTTTTAGAGGGAAGATTGAGTTTAAATTATGAATGCTTCAAGACTGACTTTAAGGAACAGGATACACAGACTCTTCCCAGTCATCTGTGCACGTCATCACTATTGAGCAAAATGATCTTGATTGCTCGGAAAAAGAAAATAGTCCTAGAAAACAATGTCCTTGAGAAAATAAGTGAGTATGTATGAAGATTCAGTTAGATAAATAAATGTATAAATAACTTTTTTATTATTTTTTTTAATATTTATTTATTTATTATGTATACAATATTCTGTCTGTGTGTATGCCTGCAGGCCAGAAGAGGGCGCCAGACCTCTTTACAGATGGTTGTGAGCCACCATGTGGTTGCTGGGAATTGAACTCAGGACCTTTGGAAGAGCAGGCAATGCTCTTAACCACTGAGCCATCTCTCCAGCCCAAATAAACAGAACTTACAATTTTCTTTAGGTTTGCTATAATGTTAGCCATCCAGCATAATTGGGTGTACAATCAGTTATTTCTTCAAGCTGGCATAACATCAGAGTAAGAAGATCCTATGATGCATGCCCTGAAGAAAGCAGGTGTGATGCTGAGTCTTCTCCCAGGATTCTGAAAGTTCTTGTGGATCTTGAACATACATATGTTTATACACAGGGCTCTAATTATTTCCCCGGCAGATAGAGGCTCAAATGTTGAATCTCAAGAAGATTTAGAACCCCAGCAAATTTCCCCATTCATAGTATTGTAGGTCTATCCTGTACACAATAGTATTCAGGGTGGAAAATTTGCACCCTGAAAAATGGTCTGTGGAAGAAAGGTGAAACTTTATTTGGCTATTGAGTGTCACATTTAGTTAACATTTCTCAGAGTCTGTCCAAATGTGAGACTAGAAATGATGATTTATTCTTGTTGGGTTACCAGTTTTTAAGTTGTGTTATTTTAATTTATGTATGTGTACATGCCAGTGTTCCTGGAAGCCAGAAGGCCACTTCAGAGCACCATCAAAGCCAGTGTTAGAGAGTTTGGAGTGGACTAGCATGGGCGCTGGGAACTGAACACAGTCTTCAGGAAGGGCAGCAACTGCTTTTAACCAGTGAGCCACACCTCTAGCTCCTTCCCCGCACCTTTCTTTCATTTCGAGGCAAAAATCTCAGCCTGCCTCAGCCTACCAAGTGTGAAGATAATCATTGCCCTCTTTCTCTAGTCATTGCTGTTTTTTGAGATAAGGTATCAGCGTATAGCTCTAGCTGTCCTTGAACTTACTCTGTTGACCAGGCTGGACTCAAACTCAGAAAGATGGACTTGCCTCTGTCTCCCAAGTTGCTAGAATTACAGGTCTGAGCCATTATATCCAAATTGGGATGTTTAGTCTTCTTGTTGCCTTCCAGTTAAATACTGTGATTGTCTCTGCTCACTTAAGAGTGCTTGTTAAAGTAGGGTCAGATTTCAAGACCCCTGATCCCACAACCTGCATGACTTTGAAAGAGTTTTGACCATCTCTGTGCTAGAAACCTGGGATGGTGAAGTTCCTGCTCTATTTGTGCTAAGAGACTCCACTGCAGAGCAGTCTGTTACTGAGACACGTGTTTGCTTGTTTTGTTGGTTTGAGACAGGGTCTTACTATGTAGCCCTGGCTGGCCTCAAGAGATCTTCCTTTGTTTGCCTCTTAAGTGCTGGGATTAAAGGCATGTCTCCCACCTACTCCCTCCAATTTTACTTTGGTACTTTACATTGGATCCTGGTTTTGCCCATTTGGCATGAAGTTCTCTTCTAAGGTCTCAGAACTTCTTAGATGTTCTTTTTTTTTTTTCTTGTGGTTTTGTTTTTTTTAGAATTTATTTTTAATTGTGTAGATGTGTGTGTGTCTATATGTGAGTGTGTCCACTTGAATGCAGGTTCGATTCTTTGGAGTTAGAGCTACAGATGACTGTGAGCTCTCTGACATGGGTGCTGAGAAACAAACTTGGCAAGTGTTCTTAGTTGTTGAGACAGCTCTCTAGCCCTTCCCTTTTTGTAGAACAAGCTGACTTTGAACTCACTGAGATCTGCCTGCCTCTTCTAGGATTAAAGGTGTGTGCTAACACTCTTGGCTCAGTTTTTTTTACTTTTGAGTGACTTACCAGTTTTGCCATAGTACTAACTAGCTTCTTTCAGTGTCTTGTAAATTCGGGCTCTCCTGGGAAGAGGAGTGGTACTTGTTTCCACATAGGGTCTCACTAATGTGTCATACTGTTCTGTCTCTTTTGTCGAGACAGGGTTTCTCTGTGTAGCTTTGGAACATGTCCTAGAACTTACTTTGTAGACCAGGCTGGCTTCAAACTCCCAGCGATCTGCCTTCCTCTGCCTCCTGAGTGCTGGGATTAAAAGTATGTGCCACCACTGCTCGGCTGCTGTGCTGGTTTCTAATTTCTCCCACCTCAGCCTCTTGGGTGTCTGGTACTATAAGTACATGCCGCTGACAAAGGTGCTGCTTTATGACCGACAGCTTTTGTCACTTTCTTATCTCAAAGCAGTTTGAGAGCTGCACATGAGTGAGCACAGTTGTTAGAAGTGGGTAGAGGAGTGAAAGTGTTTCAAGGGCCAGCCACCATGTGATCTGTATGGCAGAGAATCTATGATGTCTGTGCTTTAGATTCTGAGTGAGCACATTTATTACGTGCATAGTAAGCAAAGGTGAATGAAGAAATAGCAAGTACCTGGTAGGTAGTGGATAGTTAGCAGAACATCATCAATTGGAGCACTCACAGTGGCTAGCAGAGATGACTGGAGCAGCTCAGTTGAGAGAGTAAACAAAAGGTAGCATCTTCAAAATAAGCTTACAAATTCCCTGCAGAAATCAACTGGGGAAACAATTGAGTATTAAGTGGAGCTGCTGTTGTTCAGAGCAGTGTTGCCCTCAGTAAGGCAAATAGTATTGCCAGAGCAGGCACTTTAAGTCATCTAGTGGATATCAGCTCAAGGAGAGACCCAGGTGACGGGTCCTCTTGGCCCTTTCCCTTGGTGAGCTTCTAGTGTCCTTTTCCCACTGCAGAAGTTTAGATTGTGGGATAAACAACAGTTACTTTGTTAAATGATTGCTTTCTTCCTGTTCTGACCACCACGTTTTCAATGCCTTCAGCTGCCTGCTGACTTTCTCCTTGCTTTATATATAGCAAGGTTGGAATCCAGCATACCCCAGGACAGGGAGTTCTGAAGGAGACAAAGGAGAGCTTAGATAGCAAGTGACAGTTCAGTCAGCATGGGGTTCTGTACACTGTGTGCCTTTGATAACCGGCTGTGCCGTTATTCTATTAGTTGCAGAGCTGCTGTATTCACTGCAGTGGTGTGAAGAACTTGACAATCCACCATCTTTTCTGACTGGATTTAATGCAATGCTTCAAACAATGAATATAACGTATGACAACTTATCCGTGCTTGGTAACACGTCCAGCCTCTTGCAGCTGTTGTTTAACAGGTAGGATTCTCCTTCAGTTTGTTTTAAAATAATTATTTGTGTATGACTTTCCCTTCTACAAAATGTAAGCCCAGTTTGTGCTTTTGTTTCAGTCAGATCATTGACCTAATCCTTTTTAATAGTAAGCATTCAATTTAGAGCTTTTAAATATTTGATTTACTCTTTTAGGGGAGTATTTGGATTTTGCCTCTTATTTAATTCATAACTTCACTGAGGTGGCAGAAGATGAAAGAATTAGACACTTGAAGACATTGTTTTAATTTGTTACATGTTAACTGGTCCTCCCATTGTGTTGTCGGAGTTTCTGTCCTGCCCGGTTCCCACAATTGTTAAGTCCCAAAGAAATCACACAGAGGTCTACATTAGTTATAAACTGATTGGCCCATTAGCTCAGGCTTCTTATTAACTCTTATAACTTATATTAAGCCCATTATTCTTGTCTATGCTAGCCACATGGCTCGGTACCTTATTTGGTGAGGCAGTCACATCTTGCTTCTTCTGTGGCTGGGTCATGGCTGAGGACCAAGCTTTTCTCTTTTCAGAATACTCCTGTTCTTGTTGCCCTACCTCTACTTCCTGCCTGGTTGTCCCGCCTATACTTCCTGCCTGGCTATTGGCCAATCAGCGTTTTATTAAAATACAATTGACAGGGTACAAACCATTGTCCCACAGCACCATTGCTTTCAAGTATTACCTGTACTTTAACTGTACCTGTAGCTTAGATGTTTCTTAATGTCATAGCTATGAGTTTCTCTTCCCTAGATGAGGAAAATGGGTTATGAAAACAGTCCTTGTAGCATTATAGTAGTTAGATGCTTAGCTTTTTGAAATGGTATTTTTCTTTTTTTAGTTTACCAGTATTTTGAATATGCTTTACGTGTGAGGATACCAGACTTTCCCTCTAATGATGGTCCATACTGTCACTTTGATCTTGCTGGGCACAATGAAGCAGGCTTTTAATCCCAGCACTCGGGGGGAGATAGTAGGCAGGTAGATCTCTGTGAGTTAGAGACAGCCTGGTCTACATGGCAAGATTCAGGTAGCCTAAATAAACCCAACCCAGTCCCTTAGGGTTTTATAAAGTGCTTCTTTGCCCTTCACTGAGACTCTTGAGTTATTCTCTGGGAGGTAGCCTTTTCCCAGCTGTGGCTTCTGATCTTCAAGTCAGATGTTTAAGGTCTTCTCAAGGATCTTGAGGTATTTGAAATTGCCTGGGAGTAAAAGCTCAGCTCCTGTTGTGAAGAATTACCTAAACTCCCAGTCCTTTAGAAATTAGTGGTAGTCGGGTACAAGGTTTTGGATAACTTAGTGATCCAAATTTATTATGTAAAAGGAAACATGATAATCAGTGTTTTAAAATCCTAACACTTTTCAGAATGATTGATACATACCTATATCTATATATCTGTATTTATCATCTGGGTTATTTTTTGCCTCTTTTTTTTTTAGATCTAGAAAAAATGGTACACTTTGGTCTCTTATTATTGCTAAGTTGATACTTTCCCGAAGTATTTCATCTGATGAAGTAAAACCATATTATAAAAGAAAAGAAAGGTATTCTTCCACTTTGTTATTTACTATTGTAATTGGTTACTTTGGCCATCTGTGATTTGCGGACAGTGTAGTGAATCAAGAAAACAAGGTTTGGGAAGCAAGGAAGTTGAGTGAAGCGAAATGAGGACTAAAGACTGACAGATGGGAATGGGTTTGTTGGAGTCCTAGTTGTTTCTCGAGACAGGGTCTCACCGTGCAGCCCTGGTTCTCCTGGAACTCTTCATAGGCCAGGCCGCCTGCCTTTGCTGCTTGAGTGCTGAGATTAACAGATTAGTTCTTCCTTTCTTTTTTCTAACTTGACACTTCCTAAAATTTTATGCTTATTTCAGAAAAAGGATATTTTATAAACCTGATTTCCTCAGAAATCCTTCGGTGGGGAGCTAGAAAGATGACTCTAATTAAGAGCACTTGTTCTTGCAGAGGACTCGGGTTCGGTTCCCAGCTCCCACATAGCAGCCAACAACCATCAGTAACTCCAGTTCAGAGGATCTGGCACCCTCTTCTCTGAAGGCACTAGGCATGTAGCTGGTACATAAAGACATTTGGGCAAATCACCAGTACACAAAATAAAATAAGTGAAATGAAGTCTTCTGATAGCAGTACTTTTTGTTTTCAGCATACCTCCTTATTTGTTCTGTGGAAGTAGGAGTTAAAAATTGTTCTTTAAAATCTCTTTTGTGGTTTCCCTTCTTTGGCTTCCTGGTCTCACAGCCTCTATTTTTTTCTTTTTTTTTTTTTTTTTAAGACTCATTTAGTTTTCATTTTATGTGTTTGCTTACATGGATATATGTGCACCATGTGTGTGTGCCTGGTGCCCATGGAGTCCAGAAGAGGGTAAGAGGGCGTTGGACCCTTGGAACTAGAGTTGCAGGTGATGTTGGTGCTGGGAACAATTGGGGTTTTCTGTATGAGCAACAAGCACTCTTAACCATGAGCCATCTCTGTAGCTCCTCCTCTTTTCTCAAATAAAGGACCATTGTTTAGAAAAACATGCCAGAATGCAGCACATGTGTAAGACACGCAGACTGTGGTCGCTGAATGCAGCACTTGTGTAAGACATGTAGACTGTGGTAGCTTTCCTCTTAAACTCAGCTTTCAGATTAATGCTTGGCTGAGACTTACCAACAAGTGTTTACAGTACTGACTCAACTAGAATTCTGTGTGTGTTCAGGAACTATAGAATTGTTAAGTACATTTATATTTTTTGTTTGTGTTTCAAGACAGTGTTTCTCTGTGTAGCTGTGACTGTTCTGGAACTTGCTCTGTAGACCAGGTTGGCCCCGAACTCCAGAGATCCTCTTGCTTCTGCCTCCTGAGTCCTGGGATTAAAGACCATTGCCTATCTTAAATTTCAGGTTTTTAAATCTTATAAAATAATTAAGAAATTTTACTTAAGGTAACTTGATTCACTTATAGGAAGTAATACAAAGAATGAAAAAAATATATATATACACCCTGTGTGTATGTATGTATATATATATATGTATATATATATATATCCTGTTTACCCATTGATACCGTTCTGTATAGTAAGTTTTGGGGTTTTATTTGTATTGTTTTCTTGATGGTAGACATTGATCTCAGGGCTTTGTGAATGCTGGGTAAATACACTCTGCTACTAGACTTTATACAGTCCAGTCCACCAGTAGTAAAAGATAAAAGATCAGCATACCAAAGTTATATATGTTTACTTCAAATAAGCAGAAAAGATAAAAAGCAACAAATAAAAATAGCCATTTGAAATTAGCAATCACCAGTCTAATGTTTTCTTTTTTCTGGACAAGGATTATGATTAGACTTATTTTCCTTTAGAATAGTCTGAATAACAGAATTTTGTGAAAGAGCTGTGATTATTGAATGACTGTAATTAATATTTTCTCTCTAAACAGTTTCTTCCCTCTAACAGAAGGTAATTTGCATACCATCCAGAGTCTCTGTCCATTTTTGTCTAAAGAAGAAAAGAAAGAATTTAGTGCTCAATGTATACCTGCTTTTTTGGGATGGACTAAAGAAGACCTTTGCAGCATTAATGGTTAGTTGCTGGGTAATATATCATTTTAATCATTTCTTGAGTTTAATTAAGAGTTTCTTAATATGTAAAACCAAAGGTATAAGTGACAAAGTATATTTGAGCTCATTCCTCAAATATAAAATACAAGTATTTCCACCTTACAGTTTTATTACTAGCCAAGATGGCAATTGTTAGGATGAATACCTGGAAGAGTGACTGTTGCCTCTTTTTTGGAACAGGAGTGCTAGAGCCTTATGGGAAAATGTATATCCAGAAGTACCCTATAATCATTTATTTTCTAGATATGGCTGTTTTTCATGTGGTACTGGGGTATCTAGGGCTTTCTGCATGCAAGACATAAGTAGATACCACTGAGCGGCTATAGCCTGAATCTTCCACCCATACAACTTTAAAGCCATGTCTCTTTTCTCCCTAGTCAACTCATGATTGAATATATAAAGGTACAAGAAAAGTTTTTATAGTATTTGAACATTTTTGAACTCTGCGCTGTGTTAGCTCATGTATTTATTGATTTAATAAGCATCTCTGCAGTTCCTATTGTAGAGAAACAGAGGTCATGTTACATCCTGCTGTAACTGCTTGTAGTGGAGCACTGTATACTGCAAGGGAAATGGCAGAAAGGAGGGAGTTGCCACTGTTTCCAGTATCAGTGTCAGTTTTACAAAAAGAAATACCTTGAATAATGTGTTGAAGGTTTGTGTTTGACCATGTATGCATGTTGGAAAGAGCCTTTCTGGAACACAGCAGATAAGTGGAGATAGTTCCATTTAGCTGACATTTAATGTAAAGTTGGGAACAAAAGATGTTGGATAATCAGAAGGTGGGTTTTGAAATTGTAGGGTTCTGCTGGATGGTGGTGGCTTATGCCTTTAATCCCAACATTCAGAAGGCAGAGGCAGGTGGATCTCTATGCGTTCGAGGCCAGCCTGATCTACAGAGCTAGTTCCAGGACAGGCTCCAAAGCTACACAGAGAAACCTTGTCTCAAAGAAAACAACAACAAAAAGGAAATAGGCTCCTTAGGAGAGAAGCTGATGAGCTGAGTGAGGCGGCCTTACTCACATAGCTCTTTGTAGAGTTAAACTGGGCACTGCTCAAGAAAGATTTTGGCTTTTAAAATATATATAGAAAAATCGAAAAGGCCAGTGTAAAGTTCAGTGCAATGCATTTCCTGTCGCCTTCCCTTATCATTTCCTGTTCTGGACTACATGCAGGGTAGGCATGGAGACACTTCTGCCATAGCATTGCAAAGGTCATTTGTAGACTCTTTACTAAATACCTTTAAATAGATGTGTTGTGTAGGCCAGGCTTGTCTGGACATTGCATCCTCCTGCCTCCACCTCCGAAGTGCTGGATTGCAGGAATCTGTATCACGCCAGGCTCAAGCTTTTTAGAATCAGCAGCTTGTGCATTACATTTTTAGCTTTCCAAAGTGACTTTTGTTTATAGACATTGTTTAAAATGTATTTTCCTATTCATTCTGAAATTTCCTTTAGGGGCTTTTGGACATCTTGCCATTTTCAATTCTTGCCTGCAAACCAGAAGTGTAGATGACAAACAGCTCTTGCATGGTATATTAAAAATTATAATAAGCTGGAAGGAACAGCATGAAGACATTTTTCTTTTCAGTTGGTAGGTAATACTTTATTTTCTCCCATATGAAATGTGGGCCCAGATTCTGTATTTTAAAATTCTTTTTTTTTTTTTTTTTTAAAGATTTATTTATTTATTATGTATACAGTGTTCAGCCTCCATGTATGCCTGCAGGCCAGAAGAGGGCACCAGATCTCAATTACAGATGGTTGTGAGCCACCATGTGGTTGCTGGGAATTGAACTCAGGACCTCCGGAAGAGCAGTCAGTGCTCTTAACCTCTGAGCCATCTCTCCAGCCCAGATTCTGTATTTTATATGTACAATTTTTTTTTTTTCTTTTCGATTTTTCGAGGCAGACTTTCTCTGTGTAACAATCCTGGCTGTCCTGGAACTTGCTCTGTAGACCAAGTTGACCTGGAACTCACAGAGATCCACTGCCTCTGCCTCCTGAGTACTGGGATTAAAGGCATACACCACCTGGCTTATATTTACAATTTTTTTGACTTAACAAAATTCTAGTGAATATTTAATATATCATTTATGCATACTTGGATTAAAATGGAATACTTCCTAATCGAATGTCTTTGCCTTTATCACAGTAATCTATCAGAAGCAAGCCCGGAGGTGCTTGGTATAAACATAGAGATCATGCGCTTCCTCTCCT